CAGACTCTTGCATTGGCTGCAGACTCTTGCTGTGAACGGAAAGAGGAGGGTGGGGGGTTGAAAAGCTGCAGCGAGGATGCAGAACACACCTTGTTGCCCTTTTATCCCTGCTCAAAATAATGATGAAGGTGATGGTGCTTATCATTTAGGTGGTGCAGTGATGTCCAAGGACCTCATGTACCCCAAGTCCAGAGTATGAGAAAGTGCTGCTATTGGGGAAATTACAGCACCTAACCCTGGACAGCTCCCTTAGCCTTGGTGTGGCTTTGCAATGAGCACTCAGCACAGGAACTTAAGAATAACCTTCCTGGATCAGGAAAGGCCCCTCTGGTCCAGCCTCCTATTCTCCCAGAGGCCAACCAGATGTTTTGGGGAAGCCTGCAATCTGTGGGCATCAACACTCTGCTCACCTGTGATTCACAGCTTCAGACATTCATAGGTATGCTGACACTTGACAGTGGAGGTAGAGCATAGTCACCATGGCTAGTACCCGCCGTGATTTTGTCTAATCCCCTTCTAACATCATCCAAACTGGTGGCCATCTCTGCATATTCCATAGTTTTAACTATGTGCTGCAGGAAAGCACGGGACGAGCTCACGCCCCACTCAGTGCCACATCCGGGCCCATAGATCCAGGGGGAACCTCAAACCGCTACAACTTATTCCAGTGGTTTCCAAACCTCCTTTCCCCACAGACCACTTGACAATTGCAGAGGGTATTGGTGGATCACTATTTCTGCCTTTTGCAACAATTGTAATGTGCTAGATGCTGCATGATTCTAAATTGCATTACTGTTGCGTCTTTTCTTTCTTAAATATTGCATTCCCTAGAATTCAGATTGCATTGCAGTAAAATACAAAATAAGAAATGGAAGAAGCAATAAAAAATACAATCAAAACCAGTGTGTATGATTAATGCAAGGAATGCACCATCTCTTTTCTTCAACTACAAATCCACACACTGTGGACAACCTGAATGAAGCTGCTAGACCACTGGTGGTCCATGAACCACAATTTGGGAACCCATGACCTATTCCACTTGCGACTGTTTGGCCATCCATGATACACTAGTACAGGGATGGGATACCTGTGGCCCTCCAGCTGTTGCTGGGCGACAGCTCCCATCATCTCTGACCTTTGGCCACGCTGACTAGGGCTGATGGGAGTTGGAGCCCAACCAATGAGCTCTCCACCCCAACATAAGTGATGGCACTATATAAAAATTATAATTAATGGGTTTTCTCTCCTTCTCTCTTTGGCAGGGAGATGTCAACAAGCCCAGCAGGCAATGTCTCCTCATCCTCTCTGGTCCTGGAGGAAGCCACTGTGCGCAGCACTGTAAAGATCATCACTGGAGTGATCTTCAGCTTCATCTTCCTAGCTGGGGTGACTGGGAATGGGATAGTGTTGTGGGTCACCGGCTGGAAGCTCCGCTGGACCTCCAACACCATTTGGTTCTTCAACCTTGCCTTGGCCGACTTGGCTTCCACCTCCCTAATCTTCGTCACAGTGTTGAACTTGGCCCTGGACCTGCACTGGCCCTTTGGCTCAGTGGCCTGCAAGGTGGCCAACTGCCTTTTTGGGCTGAGTGTGTGCAGCGGTGTCCTGCTACTCAGCTCCATCAGTGTGGACCGCTGCGTGCTGGTGGTGGCCCCCGTCTGGTGCCAGAACTATCGGACCCCGCGCCTCACATGGGGGACTTGCGGGCTCCTCTGGATGATCTCCCTCACCTTCTTCGTCCCCAGCTCTTACTTCTTCACTGAGATCTCAGTGGAGAAGAATAACCGGAGCTCCTGCAACAACCTGGACATCTTCCAGGACTGGCAGGAAGCAGAAGTCCTCACCATCTGCATCTTTCTCTACCAGTTCCTACTGCCCTTGCTGGTCATCTCCATCTCCTACACCATCCTGGTGGTGACCATGCACAAGAAGAAGCTCAACAAGTCCAGCAAGCCCTTCTTGGTGGTTACCAGGGTGGTCTTCTGTTTCTTCCTCTGCTGGCTGCCCTACCATGCCCTGGCTCTGGCAAGGATCTCTATGGATGCTGTTCCAGATGCTGTGCACCTGGTGGCCATCCCTCTTTCCAAGTGTCTGGCCTTGTTCAACAGCTGCATCAACCCCTTGCTCTATGTCTTTGTGGGGCAGGAGTTCAAGGATGCAGTAAGGAGGTCTTTGCTGCAGGTCTTCAAGACAGCTTTTGAAGAGGCACCAGTGGCCACCAGTGTTTGAGATAAGCAACTGTCAGTGTTGCAGAAACCAGAGAAGGCACTCTTCTTTTTAAAGTCACCGTATCTCATCACAGTGCTCCATTGACTGTGCAGCTGGAGAGGAGAGGATCTCTCAACACAGACCTGTGTATACTGTGCATTTAGATACAACAACATTCTGCAGCAAGGTCCCATGCAGCGACATTCTGCAGCCTATTTTCAATTCTGCAAAACTGACATACGTCTTTTCAAGGTTAAAAAGAGAGGAGAATTATCCTATTCCTGCTCGTTATAAGGAGGGACAAGGAATTAGGTACTGAAAGCTCACCTCTGACAATTAGAAATCCTGCTCAGGCTTCCCTTTCTTGAATCCTGAGATTTCCCTAGATATTGCCCATCCATCCTCAAGCCTTTTTTTTTTGCAATCACAAGGGCTAGAAACTGAACATTTTAGAAATAAGGCTGAGACTCACAAGGTGTCAGGGCTGGAGTCAGACACAGGTCAGGACGAAAGACACAAGGCTCTGTTGCCAGTAAAGTCAACTTTTTATTCAAGGAAATGGCAGACAACTCAGCAACCCTTTCCAGCAGGTCTTGCCTCTATGGAGCAGTTGCCCAGACTGAAGGTCCCTGTCTCCCACTCTTTCTAAGGCTCCTCCTCTCCCAGATGTTTTCCAAGCAGTCTCAAACTGTGTCTGTGCACCTCTGGTCTCTGTCCTCCTCTTTATTCTGTGTGTTCTTGGAGACCAGAGCTTGCCACAGTAGGAGAAGCACTCTCTCTGGATTCTTCAGCAGCTTCAGCCTTGGAGTCTGAACTGCTTCCTGTCACCGGCTCTCCCTGCTCACTAAACTCCATTGCCCCTTCAGCATCCAGCCCTGCCTCTCCTGCTGACCTCTCTTTAGTGTCCCATCACTGACTCCCAGGCTCGGAGCCTTCTTCCTCTGGGGTTTCCCTTGGGGGTTCCCCGGCTGGTGCCTCCCACCACTCCTCTCTGTCCAGTTAGTCCCTGACACAAGGTAAGACATTTTACTCTGCCCTTGTGTTGTCAGCATTGCTAAATGCACACAACTCTGCCAACCTGGGACTTCTCAGCTCTCCTCAATGCCTCTTAGTCCTGATCACCAGTGTACTGTGTAATCCTGCCCAGAGGTGTACCTAAGTTCCCTTGGGACAGAGCTGCATTGGTGCCCATCCCCTCGTCCCTTGTACCCTTGGCAAGGAGCAGTACTGGCACCTCAAAAACTGGGAGAGACCATGAGCCAGAAACTCAAAACGCTTGCTCGCTCCACCAGTGAATTCCCCCATGGCCGTTGGGGTCAGGTCTGCTCTGTGATGGCCCACGCCAGCAGCCAAATTCCTCCACCAAGGCACCCAGATGAGCCTATGTGCCTTGCCTGGCCACCCAGAGAAGCAGATGAGAAGCCTGGAGAGCACACAGATGGGCAGGTGGACTCAGCCACTCTGAGCCAGAGTGGCAAGGCATGATTCTTGTGCCCTGCCCCGGGCCCCTTGGTATGCCCTGATCCATATCTACTGAGATTTAAGTCCTACTGTGATCAATTGGACTTAATCCAGGGCAGCGTTCCCCAACCTGATGCCCTCCAGATATCATTATGACTCCGATTTCCATCAGAACCTGCCAACATGGGGCAATGGAAGCTGCAGGGACAACATCATCTGGAAGGCAACCAGATCAGGAACTACGTCCTTGCCTCTCTAATGCAACGGCTGTCTCTGTTTTAGTGAGCAAAGTTCTGCGAAGTTGGGTGTGACATTTGCCAGCTTTACCCTCGGATCCTATTCAGCAATTCGCCTGCTTCTGCATTTGTTCTTGAAGATGCTGCTCAAAATAGCCTCTATTGCCATCCCTGGAAAAATGAAGTACTGTACATCTTCTTGACCCTTTTGCAACTTTCCCATGTACTACTTGGTTGGAGCTGATGGACCACCAATGGTTCATGAACCACAGCTTGAGAACATTTAGTTTACAGGGTGTCAGAGCAGCTTTTTGTAGTGTGGAAACCTGCCATGTCGCTGCTTTGTGGTGAAGTTGGGCCCAGCAGGAGAGCCCCACTTTCAGACCATGGCCAGCCAAAAATGGAGGCTGGAGGGAAAGAATACAAAATTGCTACTACCCACTAAATAACACAGAACTATAATTCAGCAGGGAGTTGTCTTGCCTAACTCCCCCTCTCCTTGTGTGTGCCTCTTCTAAAATAGTGCATGCAATCTACAGTTTTTATAGGTGTTTCGTAAAGAGTTATTTTTTTTTCTTAATGGTGTACCAATAAGTTGGGGTGGGGTGGTGCTTTTTAATCACTCGCATGGAATGTACGGAGCTGCCTTACACTGTGTCAGACTATTGGCCCATCCAACTCACTACTGCCTGCACTGACTGGCAGCAGCTCTCCAGGGTTTCAGAAAGGGAGTCTCTCTCAACCCTATGTAGAGATCCCAGGGAGTGAACCTGAGAGCTGCTGCATTCAGGGCAGCTGCTTAAGTCCTGAGCCACGGTCTTTCCCTGAATGCTTTTAACTCAAAACGCTTTTAAGTCTGTCTTAACTGATTCAGCACCAGCACCTGCTTTTTTTGTGTGGTTTTGGGTTATTTCTTTTCTCTCTCATACACAAAGTGCATTTGATGATTTTTGAGCAAATTCCTCATTTTTCAAATTTGGTCTACTTGTGTCTCTTTATAATCCCCAGGGGCATTTCACAGAATCATAGAAATGCAGTTGGAAGGGAACCTGAGCATCATCTAGTCCAACCCCCTACAATGCATGAATATACAGGTGGCCCATAAGGGGACTGAACCCTTATCTTGGCCTTATTAGCACCACACTCTAACCAGCTGAGCTAACTCGTGGTCCAGCAAATTATCTGATCATTGCAAATGTTTTTTATTGAGGGGGAATGCAAAAATGGGGGACCGTTCCATCCTAACCCAGCTGCTGACTGAAAGATAAGGGAGTGTTTTGTGTGTGTGTGTGTGTGTGTGTGTGTAGAGCAGACAGGGAGAACTATTATTATTATTATTATTATTATTATTATTATTATTATTATTTATTACTACCATTGGACCTCAAGATGACATTGCAGTCCATCAGCCCCACTCAGTATGCCTGATGTTCAGAGATAATTGGAACTTCAGTACAGCAACATCAGGACCATCACCAGCTTCCCACCCCTGGTGTAGAGAGAACATCTACTGCAGCTGGATTGAGGAAGGCATTTAAGTGTGAACAGGATTTTTTCACCAAGAGGTGATGGGTCATGGGGAACTGGATTCCCTGAAACACCAGCAACTCCAATTTCTCAGCTTTTTAACATCCCCAGATTGCATTTTGTTTGTTTGTTTTTGTTTTGCTTGCAACAATGAGGGCTAGAAACTTGATATTTACAGAAGAAACTGCTGCCCAGATGCACTGAACACATGCAACTAGGGTTGCCACCTGCCCTGCATAAATACAGGACTGTCCCGTATTTCAAAGTGAAACGCTATGTCCTGTATTGATACAGTTTTGTCCTGTATTTCAGGTCTTCTCTCTCAATCTGTGCCAAGTTAAGAGATCTGCTCCAAACGCATCTGTTTGAAAGGGGTGTGTGAAAGGTCATGCATTTAAGCTCTGAATAGCCAAGCACAGACAGATTTGCAAATTTATGTGTATGTATGTGCAACAAATTCCAGAGAGGCCATCCTGTTAGATTGAAATAGATTGTAATGGATTGCTTTGAAGACACTTCAGCACCAGCTTGGGGGGCGGGCGGATTCCCTCCAACCCCCCCACCCCCACCCCGTCCTGTATTTTGCCAGAATAAAGGTGGCAACCCTACACGCAACATGGGAGAATGTTCAAAATGCTCTTTCAGTCACTTGACATCGCTGGTGGCCTTCGCAAACCCTGTTTCAAGAGAAGTATAATTTCCCTTTCTATACACCGTCTCCCCCACGACTTCTCTTCAGCTTGCATCTGCACATTTTGATTACCAATCAAGATCTCTGTGGGATTGTTTGAGACTCCGGATCATCAAAACCGATGTTTACAGAGATGAAAAGAAATGACTTTTGCGTACCTGTAACAGGAAACACTGCCCACCTCATTGCTGTCGACACTGTGCCTGCCGTCTCTGATGCCTGACTCATGCGATGCCCAAGACGTTTTGCTGCCTTTTGCCAAGGACAAGATGACTTTGCACTGACCGTTCCAATGAACAGAACTCAACCCAAGTGGCAGCTGAGAACTGAAATACTAGCTATGGGAGGAACTGCAGCCTCCACCGCTGCTGGATGCAGCAGGTTAGCTTCATGGCCACTGCCAACCAGGGCAGCTGCCTCACTCTGCCCAATGGTAGGGCCATTCCTGTTGGGCCTGCTCTGATACCCCCCTCCAGAAACGAGGTTGTTCCCCTCCTGCTTCCCCTCACAACTCCCATCACCCCTTATGCAATCACTTGCGAGTGTGTATAAAGGGGCATTAGGGCTCTATCAAGCAAGGATAGAAGCAGTTTTTGCTTTGCTTTTTTCCTCCGCATAAGCTTTTAAGCAGGCAGCAATTTGTGGCATCATGTGTCAAGTGTGCCTTGTCTCTTTCAGGGTTTGTGGCGGCGGCAAAGAGATCGAGAGATGTAGCTGGAAGTCTGAAGAGTCACAAGGCTCAACCCGCACTGTAGACTTTGCCGCTTTCTCAGCAAGCGTCCCAGAGTTTGTTCCTCCTCCTGGTTGCAAGGACTTCACTTGGGAGGAGGAAGTTAATGGGCAGGGCCACCCCTGGGGTGGGTTGTTAAGCAAGGCAGGCAGGCAGGCAGGCGAGAGTTGGCGAAGGGGAGGCAGAAGCTAGTTGTTCAGCACATCCTTTGCCCTAATGAATGAGCCTCCATTGGTGACTGCATGCTCACCTGCTCCTGGTGAGGCCATGAACAGCGAAAAAGGAGTGGCGTCCTCTGCTCATCTTTCCTTCTGGATTGGGCCCACAGAAAACGGAAAGCTGTGACATTGGCAAGGACCTACGCAGAGAATCTTGCCCAAAGCTGCCCTCTGGCCAGCACCCAGACTGAACTCTTGGTGCTAAAAACAGCATCCAGTGACAAAGCCAAATGCCTTGGAGTGGAGGCTCTGCTGCTAAAACACCTGCAGCAATAGGCTTGACTGAACCACTGCTTCCTCCTGCTTTCAGGTCAGTGGTCCTCAAGGAACCAGGATCTGGGCCATCTTGGCTTTGGCTCCTCCTCCCAGAATTCACTGGTGCCAACTCTGCACAGCTGAGACGTGAGATGAGGAAGAAGAATCACCGTGTACCTTTAAATTATTGCAGTGGTACCTCAGGTTAAGAACTTAATTCGTTCCGGAGGTCAGTTCTTAACCTGAAATTGTTCTTAACCTGAAGTTCGACTTTAGCTACTGCTTTTGCTACTGCTGCTGCTGCCGCTGTGCCACTGCCACACAATTTCTGTTCTCATCCTGAAGCAAAGTTCTTAACCCGAGGTACTATTTCAGGGTTAGCGGAATCTGTAACCTGAAGTGTCTGCAACCCGAGGTACCATTGTATTATTATTATTAATTCAATCTTCATACCACAGGTCTCAGGACTGGCTCCAGGCAGAGTGGGAAGGTCCCATTATTTGCATGCTGTTCAGGCACATTGCAGTGAAAGGAATATCTGCTTGCCAGCATCTCAATACAGGCAGAGGGCCCAGCGATTTAACATGTGCCAGCCTTTCCCTTTTGCATGGAGCTCCCTAATCTGCAACACTTTTATTAATTATTGTTAAATTTCACAGTTGAATTAGTTGATGTCATTAATCAGCAAAGTACTGACCTGGCTGATTTGGGAAAGGGGAGGAGAAGTTGCAAGAAACCCAAGGAACAAGACTGGCTTTCAAATATAAACAGCTTGCTTGCTTCTCTGTGAATAGGGAGGTTTTGAAGTAGGCTCTACTTCCAGATCTGACAAAACCACAAACTCCACCGCAGGCCTTGCCCCGTTACCAGCACAGCTATTAATTTTAAGAGCTAACAAGTCTAAGTTTGTATTGCCATGTGGCACAAGGCAGTAGGGCCAGACTTCTGAAAGCAGCTTCAGAAATGCCTTTTTGGGATTTCCTGTCCCCTAGTTCAACTCAGTTTTGAACAAAGAACCATAATGCCTCCAGCTTGACAACAGCTTATCCCTCTGAGCCGGAGTCTAGAAATCATAGAATGAGTCCACTCATTTTCCATATCCTCTGGTTAGAATATTGCAAGCTCATTGTGCACTGCAAATGGGCCTTTCAGCATGGTCTATCAGTGATGCCTAATTGGACTCAAGGATTGTTATCCAGAGAGCCTTAAGTGTTCCTTTGATGGCTGTAGATGTTCCTAAATGGGCAATTCGAGCCGCAGAGACAGGTGGTCTGCATATGATAGTGCTTTTACAGCTGAAAGGGTCCTAGAGAGGGGCAGGGGGTGGGGAGAGAATAAGCTAGTGTTGCTTGAAAGGAGAGCACCTTAGGCTGAAGGCCACGTAGCTCTGGAGATTGTTGCCTTGAAGACTTGCCTGTTTGCCTCCACTCGTGATCTGCTTGTGTGCTTGTCAATAAAGCAAATGTTACAAAGACTGCATATTTATCTTGTGCTCCTCTCTGGAAAGCTAAAAGGTTAAGGGACCCCTGACCATTAGGTGCAGTCGTGGCCGACTCTGGGGTTGCGGCGCTCATCTTGCTTTATTGGCCGACGGAACCGGTGTACAGCTTCCAGGTCATGTGGCCAGCACGACTAAGCCGCTTCTGGCGAACCAGAGCAGTGCACGGAAACGCCGTTTACCTTTCTGCCAGAGCGGTACCTATTTATCTACTTGCACTTTGACGTGCTTTCGAACTGCTAGGTTGGCAGAACTGCCGACCTTCTGATCAGCAAGTCCTAGGCTCTGTGGTTTAACCCACAGCGCCACCCGTGTCCACCTGGAAAGCTAAGTGGGGTGCATTTGGTTGGTTTCTGTTTATGACATCAACTCACAGCTTCCATTTCTTGAATGATTGCTGTGTTACGTCCCATTGTTGGCCCTGAAACTTTCCCCTCACTTCGGACTTCAGGGTCAAGTGGGAAGGCATTTTGTGCATGCTCAGAAGCACTAATCATGGGCACAGCCTTCAAGATACACCTTCAACAGCTGGAATGTGGGGTTTTTTCGCGTCCATGACAAAATATTCTATACTCTCTTCCCTTGCTGATCCTCTCAGGCAAAATACCCCACATTCCTCGGTGGAATGTCCTCATAATTCCCCCAACAGGTACCGTTGTTTGCCTTAACCTCTACACGTTAGATTTTGCCACCAGATGCTTGAAAATTAAGCCCAGCTGCATAACAGCCAGATTTTTTAAAAAATTATTATCTCTTAACAATGACATTTGGCAAAACCTGTTGGTTTCTCTTCCAAGTATTCTGCCAAAGCATGACCAGAATACAAAAAATGGGCTAAATAAATGAAAATTTAATGCAGTGACACCAAGGAATAGTAGTTGTTTGTTATCAAAGCCCCTCCAGAAATTGAAGCTGTTCCAGCTCTAAAAGAGCTCTCTCCTCCTAAGGGAGATGCAAAGAATATTTGCTCAGCAAAACAGAGAGAACACACAGAGCTGAGTACACGGAAAGTAGAAGGGGGTAGTTCTTCAGAACTAGTCTAAAGGACAGAACGTCCCCCTCCTTCCCCAATTCACTGTGGTTTTAAAATATTTTTTTAAAAATTAGTTTCCCAATATATCCCCAACAATAGCCAAATTATAACAGTAAGAATTCCCAAATTATATACCATTATCAAAGTGCCAATCAACTATCAATTAATACATTTTAGTTAAAGTGACTCCCTGCATGGTTTGGGTGCATTTCTGATCTTAGGTCACTGTGTTCCATAATCTTAATTAATGTCAGTTACATTTTAGTTATAATAATAATCCCTTAGCCAGCAGCTATATAATTAATGATTTCCATTCGCGATGTTACAATATATAAATTTAAAGCTTCAAATAAGGAACTCAAACTATTATCTTTATTCTGCCCTGCGTGTGAAAACTGTTATATCCATGGAGATTCCTTGTGTCCATATATGCTGTTGTCTCTTTAACTTCCCAGTTGCTGTTTTCTCCCATCGTGGCTTGGGGCAGAACTGAATCTCAAAGTTTCTCAGGGGTTTTAGCTCTCTCCGTCCCCTGCTTCAATGTTTCGGAACAAGGGACAGTCTGCTAGAAACCATTCTGCCTCAATAGTAAAACATGTTGCAGATCTTCGCCATTTCCCTCTCAGCCTAGGAAAAGGCGGGCAGTTTTCAAATGTGCTGAAGATTTAATCCTTTCCAACTCCGCAGCATTATTATCACAGCCCCCAAATTATTTTCCTTCCAGCAAGATTTATGGCCTAATTAAACTTTATCTTAGATTACATTCCATCAGTAGCACACACAAATCTAAATTTTCCTTGTCTGCTGTTTATAAATGGAGGTGAAGGGAACTACTCTTGCCTTTCCAATACTGTTATACTTGAGCTTCCCCTCCCCCTTTCATTTCAGTGTTTCCATTTTTGCTTGTTAATATCAGTATTACTCCAACATCCCTTCCTCACTTCTAAATATATTTTTATTTTATATTCCAGAGAGGATTGCCAAATCCTAAATATAGAAAACGTGGGCTTCCCTCTCCCTCTCACGAAAATCATCTCTCAATACAAACCTTTGATCCATGTAGCTGGTATATTCCCACAGTATGTTGTTGCAATCCTTTCCCACCATGTGCCAGTACTTTAAAGCAGATTTAACATCCAATTAAACAGAGAACTTCTGCTTCTTAATGGTGGTGTAGGAGGGTTTTCACCAGGTGCGGTTTTCTTGCACTCAGCGTCTTGCTGCCTCTCACATCTCATGCAAGTGAAGCCCATTCTCCCCAGCCCTGGAGGGAATTTGCCAAGGTGATCTACCATGTCATCCTTATTTTTCGTTTGCTGTCCCGAGGGCTGCCTCCATTAAGGCAGGCAGGTCCAGGAGCCCCAGTTCACTCTTTTTCTAACCCCCAACCACAACTGTTCCCATCCTGCCAAGATCTGGGAAAAGGCCTGCAATTCTTAGAAATGAAGCCCTCCAAAAGTGCTGTAGTACGGGTTGTTCACTGGATTCCATTGTTGAGCTCCTCTCCAACAACAGGAACTGTTGTTCAACTGTAGTTCAGCGATGGGATAATGAGAGGGGCACTAAAAATAATTAAGACATCCAGAGAAGACGACATGCAAAGTGGCGATATCGGAGTCTATGTAGTCGGCAAATGCCAAGAGGAAACCTGAGGCTCTCCAGATAACAGAAGCTTGTTATATAGAGGGATTTGTTCTCTAGTGCAGAGAAGTATTTGCTTAGGGTTCACAACCTATGAGTCTTGGGTCCCAATTCTGCAGGATGATTTCTCTTGCACAAAGCCCAACTGAGATGTACAGACGTGAATACAAATACAGAGCTATAACCTAGAGGCGACAGGCTTCCTGCAACTACTTCTCACTAAAGCAGTGGCCAGGGAACCTGTTTCTTCTGGAAAGCCACGTTCTGCTGTGGGCATCCTGCAAGGACTGTGTGGGGCCAGTGGGTGAAGCAGCAAATGTGAATTTTTGCCCAGCAGTGCAAAGGCCAGAAATTGCTACATGTCTCCTGCCCTCCCACCCCGAGCCTGTCTCCATTTGGGTGAGCAAGAGACATGATTACAGTTCAAGTACACATTCCATACAGGCGAAAGCACTCTAGGATACAGAGCAGGGCTAACTGGTGTGCGTGTGTAGCATCTTGAGGGATGGATAAAGAAGCCTGGAAGACTGAATTCAGGCCCACAGGCCCAAGTTTCCCCCACTCCTGTCTCAAATAGTATTACTCTGTTCCTGTCACCCCAGCCCAAAGTGAATGAGATGCCAAATAACGATCGAGCATTTTATTAATCGTAGAGAGGAGGGGGGAAAAACAAGTGTACACCAAAAAAACAAAAGTTAAAAAAAAATTCCAACAGTTTTAAAATTACATGCCACTAACAGAGGGTGTTGTGTGTGTTTGTGTTAAGGGGTGTGTGGTTAGAAAACACACTTAGATACTTGTTCAGTGCAAGAACCACAGAGGCAGCAGCTGGGAATTAAAAAAAAAAAGAGGGGTCAGGACATAATCAGGGCAGACTAAGGGGAGGGGAAGAGGAAGTTGGTGGTGGTTTTTCATGATAGATGCTGGAGATTCCAATTGGCTAATATGCCACACTGGATAGTCCAAGCATTGCAGGAGACAGCGACCTGATTGTCCCTCCTGCCGACTGATGTCTTCATAAAAGCATCCCTTTACCCCTCCAAATTTAGGTAGGGCCAAGCTTAAAAAGCCTGGCTAAGATACCGGATGTGTGTTTGACAAACTTTTAGCCTAGAGGCAGTCTCCCAAATGCTGAGGACCCAAGGCAACACTTCCTGCTGGGTTCATATCCTTCACCGCCCCAAAGTAATATTTTCTGCAAAGAGCTGCTTCTCCCAACATGCTACCTACAGAAGTTCCTTCCAGCACAAAACACAGGGTACGAGGGGGACCTGAACTGAGAAAGAATAGTAGTGAGTTTGGTGAGAAATTAAAACAATAGGGATTTAAGCACCCCTTCCTCCCCTCTCTGGGGCTGGAGGGGAGAGGCCTCTGCTGCATTCAACTTAGAGCATAAGAGAAGTTTGCTAACAAAGGAACCCCCCTGAGAACTAGTTAGTTTTGTAACCAATGCTCTATCTGATTAAGTGGTGTTAGAGACACTGAATGGAGGACCCCCTGGGACTTTTTAAATCGCTGGGATGGGGGAGTGGCAGGGGCAATCTGGCTGCCCACTGAGCAAAGTTCATCAAGAGGAAGGCCAAATCAATACCTCATGCACAGCTACATACAGCACTGTGGGGAAGTTCTCATGCAAACTGTGGCCAAAAGGTTACAGAAGCTCCAAGCACTTTGCCTCCCCAGAGTGTTCACATTGACCATGCCAAGTGTAGGTTTGAAGGGGCTGCTCTGCCTCTCATGAGCTTGCACCAGGAGGCAGGACTGGAGGGGGGGGGGGCGAGGGAGAGGCTGCCATTTGCTGCCACCTGGTGGCACAACAAAACTAAAGATGGAGCCTGGCTAAGATGAGATAGGGAGGAAGTATCACAGCTGCCGAGGAAGGTTTCAGAACATGGAGCTAAGAGTGGAAGAGGGAGGTGGACTCCAGAGTCAGCCACTGACCAATATCACCATATGGATCCACTTGGGATGGGGGCTGGTCGTAGACATGCAGGGAAATGGGGAGGGGGAGAGAAAGATCGGTCCAATTGGGGCCCAAGTGGAAGAGACAACAGCGTCGGGGCTCCTAGGGCTCAAACCAGTGCCAACACTGTGAAAAGAGAGAAAGAAAACGAGTTAAATTCTAAGGGTTACTTGCAGAAAGTCACATACAAATTCCTCCACTGCCAGATTTCCAGATGGTTGGGTTTCTTTCTTGCATGAACAATCCCATATGCAATTATGAACATCTATTGTGAGGGATCATCAAGTGCAGAGACAAGTGACTGTACAGCCAGGAGAGGCAAGAGGGCTGCTGCTCCACCCTCTTGTCCTTGTTGGCTGATGGCTGCGACAGGAGCCGGCAGCTTGTAGGTATTAATGAGTCATCAGAAGCCATTCAGCCGTAATCTCCGTGTCACCTCAACCACCAATCTCTCCCCCGTGGAGTCAGTCCACCCGCTTAGACAATAGTACTGAGCCAGGAGGAATCGAATGGATTGTGCAAACTAACCTGACAAATATTCAGCTCCAGGGTTACAAAAAGGACAAATCAAACTATCAGAGGGTGGGGATTGAAGGAAGATGTGAGAGCTACTGCCAAAACAAAGGAAGGTTGCAATGCTTGGGCCTTTTTTGTTTAGAAAGCAAATCTATGGAATGATGTGCGGTGAAGAAAATGGAAAGAGCAGCATTTCTCTCCCTCTCCAAGGACCATCTACTGAAGCTGGAAGGTGGGAGAGTCAGAACAAACAATAGGAGATACTTTACACCGCACATAGTGGAATTCATGACCATACAATATGACACCAAGGCTATCAAGAGGCAGTAGTCATAAGGGCTATAACCTATCTCCATGATCAGTGGCTCCAGGCTACTGGGAAGCAGCAACATGCCCCAGGTCCTGCTTGTGAGCTTCCTACAGGCATGTGGTTCGCCACAGTGGGGACCAGGAGGGTGGACTAGATAGGCATTTAGTCTCATCCAGGAGGGCTCCTCTTTCACAGCCCGTGCTCCAAATTCAAGCAAACCACAAGGTCTGTATGCTTCCCCATCCAAGCTCTCTTTTATGTACACCTCTCCCTCCCACCCCTGCTGATCTTGGAGCTGGTAAAGAAAGCCTCCCCTTGCAGCAACTCCTTTTCCTCCTCACTCGTCTTCCCTTTGGCTGGAAGAATTCAAGTATCAGGAGAAACACTTGGGCACTCTTCCAAGAGTTTGCACCTGTCTCAGATCTGGGACAGGAGCAAGCTGCAAGGCAACTCGGGAACAGAGGTTGAGAGGAGAAGGCCTCAAGCTGACAAGCACATCCTTCCTAGTTGAGAAGATGGGAAGCGAGTGTTTTGTCTTGACACAAGGTGAGGTTGTTCCTGTTGGGGAAAAGGACGTTCCTGACTCACCAGTCAGCGCCTCCTGGGCGAAGTATTTGACATCCACATCGGGGTCCTGTGTTAGTTTCTCCAGCACTGGCTTCACCTCATTCTGAAGGGTGCTGCGGGGATAAGAGTGGCAGAGGGATGAGTAGGAAAAAGTGAGTGAAAGGCCAAGGCAGTAAATCCAAAGGTCTTCAAAGGCCCCAAGTGCTTCTCCCACTTTCCCCCCTCCCCATAAATGCATCCTTCAACCGGGAGGAGTTTTGGGACTGCTGCCATAAAGGCGTCAGGTGCAATGGTGCCCCCAGTGATCTGTCATACCTGTTGTCCAGGATTGGTCCAATTTTCTGAAGGGACTTGGCCACGTTGAAGCGGACGTTTGCTACGGCGTCGCCTGCCATCCGCAACACAGTGGGAAGCATGTGCTTGGTGGTGATCTCCTGCCCACACACCTCTGACAACACCTAGCAAAGGAAAAGGCACGATGGAGCTGGATCATGATCAAGTGGGATCCACAGGGTATGTGGGAGACTTTGAGCTTCCCTTGGCTGCTAGGTCTGTGCTGCTCACTTTGAATGCCATGCTTGCTGATGGACCTAAAATGATGCCCTAGCCCTCAGAAAGCATGGGGGGTTTCCACTAAACAAGTAAAGCACCCCTAAAATTTCTCAACACGTTTCGCAGAAAGAGCATAATTAATCTGTCCCATAGGAGTCCTACAAGAAGCACTCAATAAAGGAGCAGTTTGAGGACTCTCCTCCTCCTCTCAAAGCATGATGACCAATATCTAAACCAATCAACAACCCAATGTCTCCTAATGGACTTCCCTGGGCAGCTTATTTCTATGCAAAACAGCTCCGTGAGTACTTGGTGATAAAAAAAGAAGAACTCTGGTGTATCCAATGCTAATTAACCTCAGAATAGATGTATGGAAAATGAATGGAAAGGACTAACTTCAGACCATTAATTTCAAAAGAACTTAAGAGACAGGCAATCCAACTTGTGTGTTAAAGGGGGGAAATCGGGAACCTGAAAGTTTTTATTCTCAAGTTTGAAAAGCAGAAAATCTCACCGGGGTGGGGGTGGGGGAGCTCTTTTGTACCTGGCATAGGAGTTCATCCCTTTCCAATGCCCCCCATCACCCGCCTGTTCCTCAGTGGTTTACACTGAAGTTAGTTTACATGGGGGGGGGAGGGCAAATCCAAAGTTCTGCACACAAAATGCCTCAAAAGTTGCAATTAAAAATATGCACCACTTATTTTTGATTCAGAAAACAGTTACATGAAGTAAATCATGCAGAAATGGAAAACTCCACTAAAATACTCAAATTATTATCTGGAGCAAGAATTTTAACTGCATCCAAATGGAACTGAAGTTTCTTCTAGGTCTAAATCGTTTAACAGAATATGGGATGTGGCAATATTAGAACGATTAATGACTTATACGTGACGGAAGAGGAAAAAGGGAGAACATTTTTAATGCAGTATGTCAGCTCTTTCATGGTGGAGAACACATTCTTCCCTTTGCCCTGAGTTCATCCCAACTTCCTCCTCTACCCCACCCTTGCCCCAACTCACATTGATGCAGAAGAGCGTGGTCATGCGGTGCAAGTAGTTGGGGTCGTTGGACATGGCCAGCACCTTGGGGATGATGGTGGCATGGGCCCAGTCCTTGCCAAACTTCTCCACAAGCTTCTTGAGGTTGCTAGTAGCTGCCTCTCGGATAGCGTAGACTGGAGAGGAGAGCAGTGTCAGCACAGGTTAAAAGGTGAGAACACTCCGAACTAATGCTATTGTCCAACTTCTTCAGCACATTTGGCAAAGGAAGCCACCCACCCACTCTGAAGTTTGCAAGATTTTCATGCATGTGTGGGTGCTTATTAAGGTCGTGCACCAGATCTGGCTAAAGTCCCGAGCCCAAACCAAATTCGGTCAATGGGAGGAGTGGATATCACTGCAGGCCCTTAGCGGCTCTATGTCAAAAGCCCTATATGCTTTGCATTGGAAAACAATAGAAACCCAGCTCAATTTTAGACCACAAATGCTGCCAGGACTGAGTTGGGATTGTACTCCTATGCCTTATACATGTCACTTGTTTCCTGCCCCATTAAAATTCAAAGCAGGAGATGGAGGTGCGACAGATTTCAGAGCTCCGCTCCAAAGAACAATAGGCACCTTTCCACTGGCAATTTACAGCCACTCTAACATGGCATTTGTCACTGGTTAAGCATCCCTTCCACGAAAACATTTGAAATCAGCAGTGATATTCTGGGCTGGAAATTAGGGAAGATAGGCTTTCACGGATTTCATAAATTGATAGCTCATTTAACAATTTGAATTGGTCATTGGTCACACATTTTATTCGGTGGAGACGAGACTGAAAGGCACAAGTTCACTTCTGAATCATTCTGGATGCATTGAATGACTGAAAGGTTTTATGTTTTGTTTTTTACGGCAGAAGGAAATGGATAAAAAAGCAGTAGCTTTTGTTTATAAAGCTTTTGGGCCTCATAGTTTTCAACAGCCCCTAATGGCCCCAGATATTTAAATTTTAGTTACATTATTCCCCCTCCACACAAAATGACTAAAATAAATTTTAATTAGTGAACATCTGTTATTGAATACACATTTGTCTGGTTCAGACATTGCTAAACCAGGGATAGCCGATGTGGTAGCACTTGGATATTCCTGAACTATGACTCCCATCATCCTGAAGCACTGGCCATGCTGTCTAGATGTGATGGGAAGAACTGGTGCTCTTCAGGTGTTGCTGGGACTCCTAACATTGGCTACCTGCACTAAACCATAGTTTAGTGTTACAAAAGCAAGCCTCAGAAGGCTTCACGGTCTCATGCTTCCCCTCTGGTGTGGCAGCAAAGTGGTTCAGAAGCCTTTTTTCTACCACTGTATGTTTGCCACAGCCTGCAGTGTCATCTGAACTTGGACAAGCAATGGTTAACCCTAACTATGCTTTCAAAAAACCATCATTAATAACCACAGTTTAGTCTGTTATCTGATGTAAAACAAAGCAGAAGCTTCTGAGATGTGCCACAATCACGAGGTTTTCTGTGGCTTATATAAACCATAGCATGTGTAAACTAGGCTATTGAGTTAATGCAGCAAACCACCATGGAAACGAGCTACATTGCCTCTCCATCATTGTGAAATAATAGCATTGAACTTGAGCTTAATTGCTCCTGTGGCTGAAAAAGAACTCTCCCATTCAATATAAAAAAATACAACTTTTATTCCTGCACTAAAAGCTTAGATGAGCCAATTCTCTCTGCTGGAACAGGAGCTTTCATAATGGATCCCATTAGCTTTGAAATATACTTTCCATGTTAGAGATCACTAGTTGGATATAAAGTGCTTGATATTTTAAAGAGATACAAAGCACCTGGGCCATAATTCAAAGAGCCACTTTAGCATGTGCTCTTGGGTCTCCCTTCCTCTCTACAGCCCTTTTTCCTACAAATAAGGGTGATAAAAATCACCCCTCTAGTTAACACAGAGAGACTGCACCTCTAATTCTTGTCCAGATGTGGCATTCTACCTTCCTTTATTTGAACAAATGCAAATGTAACAACAGGGAGAAAAAGGGTTAAGGGAGGAAAGAAAATGTTTCAACTTAAGAGCCTTACCGTGATCCACCAACCATGCCATGCAAAGGGAATTTAGCTTCTCGTCAAAGAATTCCACACCCTACAGAGGGGAAATTACAGAGAGCTCAGATTAACTTGTGATAATGCTGTTTATGGGATTCTCACAGTCAGAAACAAAACACGGAGAAAGTGGTCTCGCTCATATGGCAGGTAGGGAGCAAACCAGTACAAAGGTTGTGAAAGGTTCTAAGTTTTTAAGCTGAATGGTTAATGCTCCCCAAGCAAATGGGCAGTAACTAGCAGTTCCCACAAGGCGGAACACATACAAAAGCTTTCACAAAGCCAAACAATGTGCCTGCGGCAACCCAGGCCCAGCTGACCCAAGAATATTTGATCACTGTGTTCTCCCAGCATGTCAAACTCATACGCAAAAAGCCAAAGATGCACTTACTAGCTGCCCAGCCAACAGGGGCATGTACTCGATGATGGCCAGTCGCACACGCCACTTGGCATCCTCTGCCAACTCCACAATGGCTGGCAGCAGGGACTGGGACAGCTGCCGGATGCCAATCACCTCATTCACACAGTCCAGGTTAGAGATTATATTGAGTCTGACTTCCGGGCACTGCAGAAATGTGAACAGTGAGATCAGAGGGCAGTTCCACCTCCCAGATGCAACCCCTAAACTCCACCCACTCTTCTAGACGACTGCAAATACTTGCGTATCATCTTCCACCACATCTAAACTAGGCTTGCAACCTTTTGACTTGGTGAGGTGGCTTTGATTTATTTTCTTACTACCCCAGCTTCCCTCCATCAAAAATCCCAAGGTGGCGTACATGTGGCTCCCAGGCAATCAACTATCTAGGCGCTGACAAGACTCAGACTTGCTTAGCACCAGCAAGGTGGTGACCTCATGCGCCTTCAGACCATAATGGGCACAGCCTCCCATTTCAGAGATGGAAGATACCAACCCTAATTTAAATGGGCCTGATTTGGCCATATAAGCCCTTGAACACCAAAATCAAGGGTAGGGGTGGTACTATGTAGGAACCTACATAGGTCCATCCCGTTCATTATTGAGTTTGTTCACAAATCTTTTCAGTCCCAGCTACTTAGCACTGAACCTGGAACCCTAAACATATAAAGCATGTACTCTATTACTTTTCTATGGCCTCTCTTTAGAGAAATCGGTCATTTATGACTCCAGCTGAGTTCCCAGAATTCCGGGGGGGGGGGGACACCCACACACACCGCATAGTTAATTTACATTTGCAGTGTGCAGAAACTAATCAGCTAATCTTATGTAACAACTCCCCCAGTATCCAACCTGGTGCCCTTCAGACACTGTTGGATCCTAACTCCATCAGCCCCAGCCAGGAAGGCCAATGGTCAGGGATGATGGGAGTTGTAAGTCAACCACATCTGGAGGACACCAGGTTGGGGAAGGGTATATTTAGCACTTCCGAGGCAAGGGAGTGAAGCAGCCATGAAATAATGCAACTTCAGGAGATCAAGGCAGAGAAATGCTCCTAATTCTGAACAGTTTGACACAGAACTGTTAACAAGTGGACCAAAGGAAAATGATGGGGGGGGGGTCCACTCACCTCATCTTTGAGCTGAGCCAAGAAGAGAGGCAGAAGGTGTTCAATCGTGTTGTCTTTGCCCAAAATGGGAGACAATCCCATGATCACAGATGCCAAAGCTGATTTTACATGTTGATTGGCATCCGACACGAGTTCCTGAATGGAAAAAAGTAGTATTAAAAACAAAAAACAAACAAACAGAAATTTACTTGCTTGCCGTGAGGCCAACCACAAACACTGAACTCTGGGTGGCTGACAAACATAAAATAAAAGCAAATGGGACACACCGAACACAAATGTATCTGCTGTAACTCTTCAACCCATCTGCAAAGCATACCTGTCTTACTTCCTTATTCTATTACAAGCAACCTTTATACCATGGGTAAGCAAACTAAGGCCCGGGGGCCAGAGCCAACCCAATCGCCTTCTAAATCCGGCCCGCGGACGGTCCAGGAGTCATCGTGTTTTTACATGAGTAGAATGTGTCCTTTTTTGTTAAATGCATCTCTGGGTTATTTATGGGGCCTACCTGGTGTTTTTACATGAGCAGAATGTGTGCTTTTATTTAAAATGCATCAGTGGGTTATTTGTGGGGCATAGGAATTTGTTCATCCCCCCCCCAAAAAAATAGTCCGGCCCCCCACAAGGTCTGACGGACAGTGGACTGGCCCCCTGCTGAAAAAGTTTGCTGACCCCTGCTTTATAATGTAAATTGCCCTGTGATTGTCAGGTGACGGGCAGTATATAAATTTAATAAACAAACAAATAGTTAAGTCGCCCCCTGCTTTAACAGTGAGACACTTGCCTCCATGGTTTCTTCAGCCCTTAATTGTACTGTTATTGCAAGCCGACAAATGCTTCAAAAAACAAGCTCAAGACTCACTAGAGATTATCGCGTCCTGGAACATACCTTAATGCAGGGCAAGATCTGGGTCATAATGACATTTTCACGGCAATCAGCAGACAGGTTTTCACAGAACTCTTAAGGAAAAACAGTAATCACGTTGTTAGGGCTTCACAACCAAAGTGGTGCAGTGGGAATGCTGTTTAGCTGGCTAACAAAGGAGCTCATCAGGAAGATATGAGCTCTGAGTTAATCTAGTAGTCCATTAGGCATCATCACTCCACTGTCAGACTTCCTAACACACCATAATGTACAAATTACTGACCTCCAGAAACACATCTTCCTGCAACTGAATTTAGACAAGTCTCTCGTTTCTATAGAGAGTGTCATTTGGCTGTTTAAAGGTTAGTTGTTGTGGCATTATAGAACTACGTCATGTGCTACCTTTTTTTCCTGACCTATGTGTGGAGTCTTGTATCTGTACTACAGCCACACCAAATCACAGGAAGCAAGGCTTATATTTTACTGAATATCAGTTATATTCTAAGCATGTGCCCAACTATCATAGCTATGTAAATAAGGCTTGAAAAATAGTAGGTGTCATTTTTAAATGGGTCCAGCACACAGACCTTGAGTGTTCTGAATGGTAGAGCCATTTCACTTTCCCTTTAAACATTTTACCTCTTATAAGCATTCCTTTTCTATCACTTACATTGTCCCTCTCCCTAGCTTCTTCAAGATGTCAAATAACAAGTTCAGAATAAAGCCATGTAGAGGGAACAGAAGGTATATACAACAATGAAAATCTGATTTGCAATATTTGAATTATTTGAGTGTTGAATTTACCTTTTCTAGAACAGAAATAGCAGTATTTGTAGCACAAAACATGAACAGCTGTTTACAGGATTTCCGATAAGTGAGAACACGGATGGGGCAGGAGCACCCCTCAGAGAATCAATTGTTTTGATTCCAAACAATTGGAAAGCACAAGCCGCCACCACAGGCATTGTGACTGCAACTGACCTTTGACTTTGTGGGAGGCAGCAGCCCGCACTTCAGCTTCACAGTCTTTCATCAGGTTCTGGAATGCTGGGACCAAGTCGGTTTTTGTGATTTCTGGACCGACAGCTTTCTGGAGCTATGGGCAAGAAAAGGCAAAATATATGATGATGATCCCAAATGGATCCCTGCCAAAAAGACTTGCGCTCCAACTGAGAAATACCCAGGAACTGTAGAAATAAGAGGAAAGGACACTGCTTCTGACCAGAGGAATAAGGTGCACGAAGTGAGTTTTTGCAACATTTTTTTAATAAGTTGAATGGAGAGGTTTTTCCAAAAAAGAAATAATGTGTGTATACACACACACAAAGTCTGAGTTTCAGATGATTTGATCAAAAGGCTGGGTATAAATCTTAAAAATAAAACGAATACCACACAAGCACTGCATGGATTCGTACTAACCTCCGTGAACTTGTCAGCCACCATGTAACGGACCCGCCAAGATTTGTCCTCTGCTGCTTGCCGTAGTGTTGGCATCACCAACGATTCCAGGTCCTCCTGGGGCAGGAGCTGTGCAATATTAACACAGGCCTCCACAGCTAACAAACGCACAGAGTCCTGTATGAGAGACATGAGATGGGTTACATGTGTTCTAATCTGCCCCAGCCCTCTCCCAGAAAGCAAGGTGCCATCACACAGACCTGCTCATCAGAGGCCAAGTTAGAGAACATGGGAATGATCTCGCTCTTGACATGTTCCAGCTCCAAGACCTTTGCGAATTCACCCAGTTTAGAGGCTGCCGCTCGCCTGACCATCGGAGTGTCATCTGAGCACAAGTTCCGGAAGTACCTGCAGGAAAGGGATAAGGACTGTTAGCTGGGAAATATAGAGTCGTCTGAATTGGTGTCTCTCACCCTTTGACATGGGTGACCCAACCAACAGCCCCCAGACCTTAATGTAAAGCATCTCACTTACTGTCGGAGCTCAGCTTTGACCGAACTGGAGACTCGAGGGTAACAGACACTGAAGAGGCCACAAGCAGAGGTGCGGGAGGTGAACCAGTCACCTCCTGCCAGGCGCTTCACGAGGGGAACAAAGTGGGCCTCGAGGTCAGATGGAGAGTGTTCATGGGAGATGGCTCGCAGAGACTCCACCGCTTTGTCCCGGACCACTGTCTCCTCAACAGTAGCAAGGCTCTCGAGTGGAGGCTGCAGCACAAAGAGGGAGGATAAATTTCACATTAAATGCAATGTCTGCAGCTTAGCATATCAAAGAGTGTTGCAACACCAAATGTGTTACTGCCTGACCTTTTTCGGGTTTCTTATTACAGTAAGTAACAAGAGAAATGGAGGGGGGAAATTTGAAGGAAAATGTGATGTTCTGAAAGCTAGATAAATCATCTAAAGATGTGGCATCCTGTCTATGCAACTTCCTCTCAAGGGAATGTAAGACTGGCTCCATGTCAGCTTTCCGTTCCACATGGGTTTTTAATAGCTTTTAGTCTGTGAGTTAATTCCACTTCTCCAGGTTTCTAGGTATGTTCTGCTCCATTCATAATCTAGTTTACTGATAATCTAGCAAGGGTCCCCAAGGCAGTATGTGTGTACACACACACACACACACACACACACGAAACTAAGTTTAGATATTTTGGTTTTGTACACTGCATTGGATTCCCCCTCTAGGGCCAAAATACAATTTATAAATATTTTTTACAATAAATCAGCAAATCCCTTAAGGAAGAAAACAGTCTTCTAATACAGCATGCCCCTGTTACAATCTTTGGCCCCTGTGCGATTTATGGAAATACATAAATTCTGTTTTCAAAGAAGTATGAAGAGAAGGAAGATTTGGAAAGCAAGGGGTGCGACCTGTATTGGTGTGTGAGAGTGGATGTCAACTGTGCAAAGAGTCCAAATACAAGGTTACAGCATCTGTTGTTTTGGGGCAACATTGTTGGAAGCAAATGGGAAAGGCATTCCATATACCATTAAGCTGCACTGTAGAAGCAGGCAAAGGGTGGATGTGTGCTACCATTTTACAACATATCCTTTTTACTAGTGGGCAGTATAATTCAGATTCCAACCTAGGACCACCCTCAAATCTGCTAATGACCAACACTTCACCCACCAAAGTTTGAAAGGAACAGAGGTGTTAGAAAATCTCACATTCTCCCACTGTGGAGAGCACTCTTCCCCAGTCATTCACTGGACTTACCAGCAAGCAATGGACATATTCAGGGCCCCCAACCAGAGCTGTGAAGGTACCCAGCTGTTCCGCCAGAGCAAGTAGCACTTCATCCTCATCATAAATAGTGTCTGTGGGGAGAAAAAAAAAGCAATTAAAGCAAATCAAGACTAAAATCTGCAAAGTCAAGAGCACAGAATCTGGAAGCTAACATGATGTGAGAATTTGAAGATGTGAACTATTGCCCTCCAGTGCAGGAAATAAGTATACCTTGGGCACAAGCAATCCCATCAGCACAATCTTGAACCAACTAAATTCAACAAGGACACAGTCCCTTTCTTTTGACAAGGCTGCATTCATCAGCAAAGCTTTGAAAAGGATTTAAAATTCTGCAAGAGTCTCAAGTGCCGCTGAGCACGTATATACTGCAGCCCTAAAAAGGAAATCACTACAGCTTTGGGAAAGGGATTTGGGGTACTGCCCAAGCTGCAATTCAAACTCACATGCATCACAGCCCCTAGACTCAATTCTTATTCCCTAAAATCAGAGTTCCTGGTCTTTTCATTACCTGTGAGAAAAGGCAAAAGCTCACTGCGCGTCCTCTCAACTCCCAGGGCCAGTGCAATGGTAGAGAGTTTCTTGATGCTGTTCAGACGAAGCTGCATAGGGGAGAAAGAAATCAAAATAACATATTTTTTAAAGGTGAGCCACTAATTTGCCAGCCAACCCTGATTCTTCGTAATATGTCACTGGAGTACAATCAATATAGCAATAGCAATTTTAAGTGGTATATAGTCAGAAAACATGCATATAGACGCTCAAGAAAAGGTCCATGGGAGGTATGGCTTTTCCCAACTCTGAAATAAGCAGGCCATAACTTGTGGGAGCGAGAAATGGGAGGAAATATTTCAGAATGTCCCCTGTAACACTCTTGATTACATACAGAACAAACGTACTTTGCAAATAAATCCACAAAAGTGGATGGCCTACTTATCATTTTTACACTAAGATATGCAGCCAGTGTGGCAAATTGAGGGTACCAAATGGGACACTTCCTGGACAGAGAAAGCCTGGACATAATTAGCTGTGCACTCAGTAGATTGCTGTAATGTGCTGCAAGGAATACTGGACTACCTATGTTTTCCAAAAACATGCCTGCTGGTTTGCCAAGTGGAACCAGCCAATAGAAACATCTGTTTGTTTTAACGCAACTGCACTAACTTCCAGCCCATTTTTGAAAAGAAAAAAGTATTAGCAGCTGTCCTGGGAGCAGGAATACTGTATGAGTGGAACATAAATATTATCTATACAATTCAATAAATAAAACACCCAATTGCTGAGATGGGCTGTTTCCTGTTATGAATCACCCAATTAATCATCCACCATCCCTGTCAGAAAAGTGATTTCTGGAAGACTACGGCTGGTGGCAGATCATCATCATGCAGCAACACCAAAGGACAGATCCATTTTCATTTTTGAGTGGACTGTGAGATAATATCATGAAGCCATCTAGAACAATGAGTTGAGTTAGGCGGGCCCAGTAATAGTTGAGTGCAAAAGGTGTTTTTTTTCTCATTAACATCCCTTTCAGTTTACTTCTTCACTCATTTTGCACGCAGTGCCATTAAACTATTGCTTGTGAATACCACTGTTTTGAATAGTTAAAAGGAAAGCCCCCAAAGCAGCAACTCATAGTTGTTCTTGCTTTGCTGGGTAAAGGGAAACTCTTTGAACGACCTGGAGAGGGGCAGGGATACCCCTACAAGATTGCCTACTGTGAAGGGTGTGGGGGGTGGAATAGTGCTGAGCAGGGGCCGGCAAAGTTTTTGTGGTTTGGGCTGTTTCATGGTCCCCCACATGCCGAGGTGGGCCGGAGTGTGTATGCGCATGCGCACACACGCACAAATGCTATTTCCGGCGCTCCTTCTGGCGCGGAGGAGGCATGCGCAGCTTCCCATTGGCTGCAGGAGATTCCTGCAGCCAATGGGAAACTGGCCAGCATCGCGGAAGGCGCTCCCCGATCTGCTCCGCGCTGGTTTAGGTTGCAGACCCCTGGTGTTGAGTGTTTGACATACCAGAGAAGATGATTAGGTACATTACACCTATCCCCTCTTCCAATCTCTCCCTCAATGAAAATATCTCTGGCCACCTTGCCAACCTGGCCTCTGGTCTGCTGATGCTGTAGTAAAATTCCTCCAATCTATTACTTTAGCACGGTTGATCTCAACTATATTACTGAGGGTAGGTGAGCTTGGAGAAATTACTCTCTCCCAGCTGTGGCCCCCCTGGGAACTCAGGTTTGGAATCAGAATAGATTGGAGGGCTGGGTGGAGAGAATGATGTGGTCTTCCTCCAGGCTTTTCATCTATTTAAGTGGCAATCTGCTGTGTTTGAACTTTGTGCAGGACAATTAGGACAAACTGGAAATTCTGCTGCTATACTGCCCACCCTGCTGTCTAGCGGTCTCGCTGCCCATATCAAGAGGTGACCTCAGCTTTGTTGTTGAGCGTGCCCAGGATTGTTCTAGGGGATCCCAACACCCACCATATCAAGGGCAGCTCTGGACCAGACAGCCAGAGCAGTCCCAACATGCCACTGGCCCAAGCCATGTAGCAGAGAACAATATTGATTTGTTTTTCTAGCATTATTAATAATATTATTACTGTAGAAAACACACAGAGAAAAAAGATTTCACTTGTTTAGGCTGGCACACTAGCTATGACCTTGGGCATATATGGGCTAGCTTTCAAGCCCTGATAACCTACTGAATTTATTCCTGCAATGTGTATCATATGTGGAGGAGCTGCAACTGAAGCTGAAACTTCAGTTAGTACCCCTGTAGCCATATTCTGTATCATCTGGGGCAGGTGTATATATTATGCCAGTACTCCATCATATTTTTGTTTGTCATTATGATATGTATTTTTCTGTTTTTATATTGTAAACCGCCTTGTGATCTTCGGATGAAGGGTGGTATTGAAACTGAATAAAATAAATGATAAAAATCTTCACTGACTTTTGTTCCACCCCTGAGCCCAATTTTAAGTGCTGATTTTGACGCTGGCATCTGAAGGAGCACCTCTCCCCACATGTACCTACATATGCCTTGAGTTGTCATCTGATGCTTTTCTCAAAGGGCTCTTGCCAAATGAGGAAGGAAAGGCCTTCTCAGCAGCCTCACCATCACCACCTGTGAAGTGCCTTCCCCAGAGAAGGCATCTATTTTAAGATATTTGCAGCACTTGGAAAAGCTTTCCTTTTCCCCAGGGCTTTTAGTATCTACTGTTATAACTCTGCAAAATTTTAATTCCTCTGTGGTGCATTTAATTTAATGTTGCATAGTTGTGATCCTCTGCTCAGTCTATATTTATATATAGTTCTGAAGCTTTTGTTACTATATTGATAGCAGAAATTATTATAACTTGTTCTTGTTTTTTCTTGCAAGCCCCCTAGAAAATGTCTCATAGCGCAACTCACAAATATTCTAAATTAATAAAGATGGAGAGCCTTAATAACACCTATCTCATGCTACATGTATGCACTGCACTGCACACACACACCCATCTCCCATACCTTTCTATAATACCTTAATGTAATGTAACACGGGAAACTAATTTACACGAAGAGGTAGGTCTTACTCTCTAAATTCAACAGGGGACAACAGCTTAAAAAGTAAGACTCAACAACAATAACAAGGGATAAAAGTAAGTAAGGGAAGCCGGTTTACAACCGTCAAGTAATTAAACACATTTTACATCCAAAACAGAAAACCCCTAAGTGACACCCTGAAGCCCTTTTCATCACATCAAATCACAGCTGGGAAATAGCACATGTACGTATTCTTCCAATGAACCTTTCCATTTCCCTCCCCCAACCCTTTACTGGCTTTTAGACTGTTAACTCCTCAGGGCAGAGACCTTGTTCTGTGTTGTTCTACAAACAACAGCTTACAGTGTAGCTGTTTTACATACAAAATACCAAGGAACAGCTATTTTAGATGCACCTCGGTTGCCACCTCTGCTAGCCCTCAAACAATTCCATCACTTAAGCTATTGAGGCCCAAACACATCTATTGTATCACCAAAAAAAGTACTATATTATGGGAGGTATTGAGGGATGCAGCCTTTCCCAATGGGCAGGCACCATGCTAGCTAGCATTAATCACAAATTCCAAAACTATGCATTCCTTACAACCAGAAGCCCAAGTAGATAAGAGAGAGAGAGAGAGAGGGAGAAGGGGAGCAGTCACGCACCCCACATACATAGTAAGGCTACCTCAAAGATGGCACCCCTACTGAGATCTCCCCGCCCCCATGAATGGCTCCTCTCCATGACAATCAGCTATGCACCACTTCCTCGTCTATGTCCTTAGCCTAACAACCCCCTGGAAAAGCCGTAGCATGACGGGCATGAGACCCCTCATCTGGAGATCAGATCAAGACGCTTCCTTGATTGGTCAGGAAACACCCGTATAATAAATAGGCGAGGCTCGACCCAATCAGGAGCCTCCTCTCGCCATTCCATCAATATATTTATTAAAGGAAAAGGCGACCCTCCTCCTGATTGTTTTGATTAACCCCCATACTAGACAAACAGGTCGCCCAGCCAATCACGTGGCTGCTCGCAACACGGACGAAGGGGAGTCTCACTGAATAATACGGACCCTTCCATTAGCCAACACCCTGCTCCTCGCCTTCTCAAATGAAAATCCTTACAGCCAATCCGGTTGAGCTTCTGATCGCTCACACGCGGGGTTCTCGGATGAAAAGCGGCCGCTGATTGGCTACTGTAACCCAAGGCGCGGCTTTCGGGCCCCGGCTGCCCGAATAAACTCCGGTCGCTTTCCCTTACGCCCAGGGAGGCCTCGGTTGACGCGAGCCGTACCTGAACGTCTTCGTTCCGCAGCTCATCGATCAGCACAGCAATAGGGTAAAGGGAGTCATCTCCGTCGGCGGCCGCCATCTTACCTCCCGGCTTCGGCTCTGAAGGGTGCGCGGGGTTCGCGCAGACGCCTTGCAGGGGCGGCTCAAATGCTATTGGCTGCCTAGGATGTCACTCTCAACTATTCCTGAAGCTAATTGGCTTGTTTCTAACACGCCCCACCTCTTCTGTACTCCTGTTTGAAATAGCCTTCTATCAGTCATCCTCTCTCTTGCTGCCCATTGGATTAGACATTCAGAATTAGACCACTCCGTAAAAAGCATTGGGAACGGGTGCCCTTAAAACCCACCTCTTTCTTATAGCCATTGGCTAGATGTACTCTATCCCCACCTCCGTCACCCTATCATGGGTTGAATTTTACATTTGTATTCCCAGTCAATTCAGCTCTGCGGGCACTCAAAGGAAATGCCCCTCCATCCTTGGCACGCTATTGGATGGAACCGAAATCCCGCCCTCCATGTTTTGGAAGATGATTGGCTGTTCATTTTTGAGCGACAATGAAGCGTATCCAATCGTAGGCATTTGCTTCGCCGAAGAGGCGGAGATGGAAAATGAGAAAGGGTCGGACAGCGTGCATACGCGTTGCCGAGCGACCGCGCGTTATTTCTGCCCGCCGGGCGACGGAGTTCTCTTCTGACGTCACTGTATATTGTGGCGCAATTTTAAAACGCAGCCATATGATGTCATCTTTGTGGGATAATAGGATAAACTAAAAAAATGCAATGCATAAAAGTGTTACATATGTAACCGCTATTCACCATAGAATTGGAAGGGACTCCAGGAGTCATCTAGTCCAATCCTCTGCAATACAGAAATCTCAATACATAGCTCCTCATCCAATTTGAAACCATACCTGCCCCTGCTTAGCTTTGCTAAAATGTACTAAAGAAATGAACCTATGCTGCCAATTCTCATAGTAGACCAGTATAAATTAAATAGCACATAAGCGGCACACAAAACACTACTAAACCATTCTATGTTCTAAATCTTATATTAATAATCCAAAAATTGAGAGCTGTGTACAAGATCTACTACAGAAGCCACAAACAGAAAACTCATTCAAATTGTGTCCAAAAGGAAGATTCAGTCTTTAGAGTTCCTTTAGCCAGGCTTAGTAAATGAATAAATGCTTAAGTCAAGAAAGAACTTAACATATGAAGCTGAATGTATGTAAATGCACCAAAATATTGAGGGAGAATTTCCTGACAAAAGAAATTAAATATTGTAGCTTAATCTAAGAAGAAGTGTAACATATGGACTTGAATGTTTATAAATGTATCAAAAGCGCGAGAGAGAATTTACTGAAGAAGCCCGAGACTCTTCATGGGCGAAACAGGTGATAAACGCTGGCACCCTGTCTAACTCTTGTGCATAACATCACTGACACTTCGTTTGATCAAACTTACCTTTGTTGATATCTACAGGAGCCTGGGTAAAGGAACTCTAAAGACTGAAAGAGTTTTCTGTTTGTGGCTTCTGTAGTAGATCTTGTACACAGCTCTCTCAATTTTTGGATTAGTAATATAAGATTTAGAATGTAGAATGGTTTGGTAGTGTTTTGTGTGCCGTTTATGTGCTACTTGCTAAAATGTACTGGCAGTTTTCATGCTGCACCAGTGGTTCTTCTTCGACTGTGGCAATGCTCCGTCTAGTCTGCACAGTGGACCTGCCATCCATTGTTGCACCAGCCCCATTTGATGAATAAAATGCAAGCAACGAAATAATTTATAAACGAAATGTGTGCACATATGTGTGCACTTATGTATTGATAATGAACTCTGCGTGTGTCTCACTGAATGCATGCCAAACAGAATTATACAACATCTTCAGCCGCTCTGGTGCTGCACTGACAAAAGAAGAACATTGCAAAAGACCTCAAAGGTCCAAACACAGCTCCTGATCCCAGCAACGCTTACAGTTTCTTGCAGGCACTATGACAGCTGCAATTCCCTAACAACCTGGTAATCTTGAAAACAGGCCGGGAGCAAAAACAACTGGAGGACATCATGTTGTCTACCTCTACTCAATGACTACTCCAGGCTGGCTCACAAACTACCTGCAAGCAACCAAAATTACTTCTAGGTCAGCGTTTCTTGTTTTTTCATGGATCACTTGAAAATTTTCTGGGGTCTAGGTAGACCATCTAATAAACTGTTCTCCCCACCCCCCATTGAAAGCACAGCCATTGCTCATTTTAAAAAAAATATTTTTTTTTGGACAATTTATATACCACGTCAGCTTAAACTCTAAGCAGTTTACAACTTTATTAAAACATCTTAAATAAACAGCAAATAAAAAATATACCAGAGCATTTTTACAACGTACAGAACACAATTAGCAACAGTTTTTTTTAAAACAAGCACAACCATATAGACCATCGTCCATTGGATCAAAAGATCTTTGAAGTTGATCTCAGTCATTGGGTTAAAACAAACACGAATGAGGCTGCATGGCCAGACACAAATATGTTCAGCTGTTCTGAAACCTCTCAGCAAAACATCTGAATGGAGCTCGCAGATCAAGATTTGGAAACCTCTGCTCTAGATAATAACAAGAATACCAACACCAGTTGACTCCCAACAACCCAGCAATGCCTTGCAGAAGAAATAAGTCAACTAACGTAACAATGGAACCTGGTGCCCATTGGGATTGGCAGAGCAGAAAGCAGAGACCCAGAGCCAATGAAAGGCAAAGACAAATCATTCTAGTTTTACTTGGATCCTCTTCCCTGCTGAGTTCTACAAGAGTTCTACAATGCTGTGACTAAGGAGGAGCAGAGGGTGACAGCCAGTAGAAACCGCTGGACTAGTTGTAAGTAAGGAGGTAGGTGAGTGAGGGTTGGCTGAGGACAGGCTGAACTTGGTGAGGCAGTGCCCCCTTTGCCCCAGTGGTAGGGTTGCCATATTTTTAAAAGTGAAGATCCAGACACAAAATCCATCAAAATCTACACTACCAACATGGGCTGCCGGATTTTCCTGGACAGTTCAGTGATTTCCACCCGGACACTGTTTACGAGGACTGAACACCAGCTATGTCCGGGAGATTCCAGACGTATGGAAAACCTACCCAATGAAGAGCCTGCGCCGTAGTTGGGAGTGAACTGATCAGACAGGCTTGCTGAGACAAGAGTTCCTGAGGACAGAGCCTCCAAGTTTCCCTATTTTCCAGGGACAGCCCTGGATTTACAGAAGCCGTCCTGGTTTCTGATTTGATTCCTGGATGTCCCGCTTTTCCTTAGGATGTCCCTATTTTCAACAGAGAAGTGTTGGAGGGTATTATACAACCCCCGAGCTAAGGAGATAAGTAACTACACAACCTTTAGAAGACATCTGAAGGCAGCCCTGTGTAGTTTTATTATGTATATATGTATATGTATATGTATATGTATATGTGTGTGTGTGTATACATATATATATTGGAGTCCGCCCAGGGTGGCTGGGAAACCCAGTCAGATGGGTGAGGAATAATAATGAAAATGATGATGATGATGATAATAATAATGGAACAGGGCATTCCTATTTTCATTGGAGAAATGTTGGGTGATATGTCTATGGAATGATGCCTGTAGATGCTACAGAAGCAAAATTGTGAATGGCAAGATTGCCATGGAAACAGAATCTGGAGTAAACTACATTCACACTGGTAGTTGAATAAAAACCATCTTTTATTTATGATGAGAGTTATAGGGTCATCCATATTACTTGGGGGGGCTGTCAGGGCAAAGAATAGAATGCAATATCAACCGACAAGGTAATAAATAAAAGCATCAGCAAAACTCCTAATATGCAGTGCAAAAGTTTATCTTTGCCTTTCTTTCTTTTTGTCAGGGGAAAAGCAGCATTTGCCAATCAGTAAAATAAAACACAGCTTTACACAAAGAGAGCCCAACTTTTGCTTAAAAATACTAGTCGTTGAAAAGGCCAGGGTGAATCAAAAGGGCTTTCGCAGTGCGCTAAAAAGACCATGAGGGAAATGCCATGTTACTTTTTCTGAGGAGGCATTCTAAAGCCATGCCACTACCAAGAAGGACCTCTCTCTCAGGGCTGGACTGCCCATGAGGGTGAAACAGCCAGCACTGGGTGGCAGAATCTCATGGGATAAACAATTCTAGGAATCAAAGCTAAGATGTGCTTACATGGAGAGTAATCATTACACTTGCCACCTGTTGTTTTTACAAGAGCCAGTGTGTTGCAGTGGATATGTTATGTACTGAGTTGAATAGGATCCAAAATGCAGTAGTCTGATTGGTCCTAGAACAATAGGATTCAGAATGCAGCAGTCTGATTGGTCCACAGGAGTCACCCAATCCAGCTCCAGGTGGAAGTGAATCCGCAGCCTGATTGGCCTACAGGAGATTCCCGGAATTAGCCAATCACGTGGGGCCCATTGTGTAAATAATGTATCGTATTTTTTGCACCATAACACTCACTTTTTTCCTCTTAAAAAGTAAGGGGAAATGTCTGTGCGTGTTATGGAGGGAATGCCTACGGGTGGCATGCCTACGGATTTTCCTCCTCTAAAAACTATGTGCGTGTTATGGTCGGGTGCGTGTTATAGAACGAAAAATACGGTATATAAAGCAGACATTCTGGGGGAACTTCCATTCCTCCTCACCACTATGAGCTGAATAAAGAGCATGAAATCCACTCTCGACTCCAAGTATATTTCAGGATAGCAATTTGGATGGGCACCTCGGAGACCAGGGTTCGAATCCCCACTCTGCCATGAAGTTCACTGGGTAACCTTGAGCCAGTCACTGCCTCTCAGCCTTACCTACCTTACAGGGCTGTCGCGAGGATAAAATGGAGGAGAGGAACCATGTATGCCACACGGAGGTCCTTGCAGGAAAGGTGGGGTATGAATATAATCATAATATTCCCCCGAAAGGCGATCAAGGAAACCTCGTATTCTGCCCTGAACTCCTTGAAGGAAAGGTAGGAGCAAACATTCTGCATGTGTGCCGTAAATTTAAAGCACATAACACCCTCTCACAAAAATCCTGGGAACTGTAGTCCACCCAACAGCACCCTTAAACTACAGTTCCCATGATTTGGGGGGTGGAGAGTCATATGCTTTAAACCTATGGCACAGCAGCGTAACTAATTGCTTAGGTGCCCAGGAAGGTGGGGTGAGCCATGGCAGGGTGCACCACTGAGCTTGTTTGCAGTTTATCTGCCACCTCCCCCTCTTCTGTAGGGCGGCTGAGGGGAAGGCGGTGGGCAGACGCAAGCCCCACGCTGCCCTTTTGGGCAGCGTGGAGCCTGCAGGCGCCCAAGCCACTGCATCACGCCCAGGAGAGATGTGTGGCACGGGCGCACTGCAGGCCCCACAGTCTGGTGCCCAGTACGCCCCCTGCCCCCCAAGCTACACCTCTGCTCTGGCATGTAAAGGTAAAGATAAGGTAAAGGACCCCTGGATGGTTAAGTCCAGTCAAAGGCGACTATGGGTTTGCAGCGCTCATCTTGCTTTCAGGCCGAGGGAGCCGGCATTTGTCCACAGACAGCTTTCCGGGTCATGCGGCCAGCATGACTAAACCGCTTCTGGTGCAACAGAACACCGTGACGGAAACCAGAGCAGCGCATGGAAACACCGTTAACCTTCCTGCCACAGCAGTACCTATTTATCTACTCGCAGTGGCGTGCTTTCAAACTGCTAGGTTGGCAGGAGCTAGGAAAGAGCAATGGGAGCTCACCCTGTTGCAGGGATTCGAACCGCTGACCTGATTGGCAAGCCCAAGAGGCTCAGTGGTTTAGACCACAGCGCCACCCTTTTAACCTGTATCTTTACCTTTGCTATGGCATGTATTCACACGGAAAGCACGAGATTAACTTTCCTTTTTGAGGCAATGCTTATGCAAACACACCTTGGCAACAGCATCAATCAACTCTGGGCTATTTTGCCTGAACTTGGGGGTTGAGGGTCATTTGCGGGGAAACACACACACAGGTTTATTGAGTTGTGTGCAGGAAGTTACTGTGCACTCATGCCTCATTTTGGTTTTCTCATCCCCAGATGGGCCCCTTCTTCTTCCGTCTTCTTCCAGCCAGACTAGTATAGCCTTGTGGGCTGGAACTTCTCCATACCCATTTTTTGTTCTAGCTTCTGCCTTCTTTCTCAACACAGGAAACAGCACATCAGAGGACGGTCCCCTGCAGTGTGCAATTGGCTGCATTTCCATACAAATATATAGGGCTTTTCATCTTCTGCTTCCCTCCCCTCTCTCCCCTGCCTACTTATAATTCTCCACAGATGGGTTATCTGGTGCAGAATTTGAATGCCAGTGAAACTCAGCTTGCAGGCTGTCTTGTTTTCCCCTTTTCACTGTTATCTGATTGCTGCTTCAGAAATGGACGGGGCTGACATATATTAGGGGCACTGGAGGAAAAATAGGAGCTATATAATTTATGAGGGTTTGAAGCACACACACACACAAAGCTGGGCAACCTTTGCAAATTATTGGATCGGTCTGGAGGAGACAGTAGATCTGGATCTGCTGGCTGATTTGCAAGTAGATCAGCAAGGATTTCTTACGCTAGCTTGTTTAACAGTGGTATATCCCTTTTCTCTAAGGAGTTCAGGGCAGTGCACATGGTTCTGTCCATCCTTATTTAATCAGTACAACAACCCTTTGAGGTAGGTTAGGCTAGAGGAACTGACTGGTCCAAGGTCACCCAATGAGCTTCATGGCCAAGTGGGGATTTGAACCCTGGTCTCCCCGGTCCTAGTCTGGCATTCTAACCACTACACCACATGAGCTGACAAATTATACTGCTCAAGTGACGAATATGTTTGAGGAAGGGCTGTAGGTTGGTGGTAGAGCATCTCCTTTGCATGCCAGATTAAATCCCCAGCATCTTTGGGAATGACTATCTAGAACCCTGGAGTGCTGAGGCTGGTCAGGGTCAACAGTACTGATCTAGATGGACCAATGGCCTGGCTCAGGATAAGGCAGCTTCCTGTGTTCTTATGTCTGATGGGGGAAGGGCCATAGCTCAGGGACAGAGCATCTGTTTTGCATGCAGAAGTCCCAGGTTCAATCCCCAACAGCTCCAGGTAGGGACTGGGAGCCACTCTCTGTCTAAAATCCTGTAGAGGCACTGCCGGCCAGTGTAGACGATACTGAGCTATATGGACCAATTGCCAACCCAGCGGTTTGGAAGCATACCAGCGCAAGTAGATAAATAGGTGCTGCTGCGGTGGGAAGGTAAACGGTATTTCAGTGCACTCGGGCTTCCCGTTGCACCAGAAGTGGTTTAGTCATGACCTGGAAAGCTGTCTGCGGACAAACACCAGTTTCCTTGGCCTGAAATTTGGCTGGACCTAACCATTCAAGGGCCCTTTACCTTTACCTTACCTATATGGACCAGTGGTCTGGCATAATAATGTTCCTATGGAGTAACCAGAAGGGGATTTTTGTGAAGGACTGTCAGCTCTATTCTGTTCTTGAACTCAGAAAAAAATCTTTATTTCTAAGTGTATGACTTTTGTGCCAGGCTCTAGGGCTGGGCAATATCTGGTTTTCAACATTGTGATGTTGAAAATACCAAAATACCAATATATCACAATGCCTGAAATAAGGATGGAGCTATACAGAGACATTGGCTGGCTTCACAGTTTTTCCCCTATTGTGATTTTTGCATAGCGCGCGCGCGCGTACACACACACACACACACACACACACACACACACACAGCATGATTTGTGATATATTGCCAGGTCAAAAATTATGAAGCCAATATCACAATATGGACTTCAAACCAGTTTTGAACAATATAGTGATATATTGTGCAGCCCTACCAGGCTAGTAAAAAATCTGAAGGAGATCTTGCAAGCCTGAAATCTGTTCACTCCTGTATTTAGGTAATGGTCTAATGTTATTTCCACTTAGTGGTCTTATGCCCTCCACCTTCTCTTTAGGTGGCAATGCGTGTATTTCATGTACTTCAAAATGCTCCAAAGTCCTGATGGCACCACTGCAAATGGTATTGACCTCAATGCGTGCTTAATCTTTTATACAATGAGGAATGGTTATATGGATATTATTATTGCACATGATAAGAATGAGTCTTGTGTGGCATCTTTAAGACTAAGAGATGCATTGCAGCATAAGCTTTTGCAGACTAGAGCCTAATTAATCATCCATGGTTGGCAAATATTTATTCACGTAAGCATTATTTATCATTTAGTTATTTGCTTAATGCATTTTATTCCATTATTTCAGTGCTTGCCCCCAAGAAAAATCTTGCAAAGCCGCTCACAAATGTCATTGATAAGATAGCTCTTGCCTTCAAGCTTACAATCTTAAAGGACATGACATAAAAGAAAAAAAAGGATTGGGAGGGAGGAGGAAGAACTCAAACTCAGGCACTATTACTTAAATTGCAGAGTTCTTGTACAGTGGTACCTTGGGTTACAGGCGCTTCAGGTTACAGACGCTTCAGGTTACAGACTCCGCTAACCCAGAACTAGTACCTTGTGTTAAGAACTTTGCTTCAGGATGAGAACAGAAATAGTATGCTGGCAGCGCAGTGGCAGCAGCAGTGGGAGGCCCCATTAGCTAAAGTGGTACCTCAGGTTAAGAACAGTTTCAGGTTAAGAACGGACCTCCAGAATGAATTAAGTTCTTAATCCGAGGTATCACTGTAATGACCAGCTGAAAAGAAGAGGAGGGACCAAACATTGCTGGTCTTTCATCATAGCTGACGGGAAAGCCCTGCAATTCAATCTCTTCGGGGACATACTGGAATGGGGATGCTAGTATCATGAATGGTGATGAAACCTAAGAAGAAGAGTTCATGGCAGTTTGCATATAAGATTAACACACTGGCCAGTCATTGAAGCAAAAATTGATGACGATTCACCTCTCCCTAGCTTGTTGTGCTAATAATTTAACTGTGAGCAAAAAAGTCCCCAGTTCCATTTTTTTCTCCAGTTATAAATACATTCTGTGCAGCAGCCCGTTACCCATCAGCCCTCAGCTCAGCAGTATAAAGGGAACAAAACAGACTTCTCTTCTAATATAGGGAAGTTCATATATAGTTCCTATATTGCAAGTAAGGGTTGCTGCTAAGGATATGGTTATGAGTTTTATGGGTGTGGGTTCAGCTGAATGCCTGGGCCACCTTCCAGTTGTTGTCATAGCCAAGCTAGTTTCCTGGTGAAGTGATAACCTAAGTAATGGACCACTAAGGGAACAAAGGAAGGGGCTCTGTGCGAGACAGAAAATGGGTAGTCCCCCCCCCAACTTGCAGGTAGGACAAAAGGTGAGAGTTGGGAACTGAGTGATGTGAGCTAGAAGCAGAAAAGCAACAGGCTGGGAAGCCAGAGAATCAGAGCAATGTTTGGTTTCTGATTGAATCCAAGACTGCAGCTATGGAGAAAATCAGACTCTCTTGGGGTTTTATGCTGTGAACCCCTCCACTGTAGGCTCAGGTTATATATATGCTAGGGTTGCCATGTGTCCTCTTATTCCAGGACACATCCTCTTTTTCAGGGGTAAAATTTCTGCCTGGGTGGATTTTTAAAATTTGCCAAAATGTCTCCGGCTTTCCTTTCTGGATGAGACATAGACATAACTAGTGGTTGAAGACTTGCCTTTCTCTTCTTTTCTCCCGTCCCCTCCCTAAGCAATATATCACAGCTTCTATATCCTATATATAGCAGGGGTATTTAAAATGAGAGTCGTCATGGCTTCCTCTTTTTTGCTCTTCAGAATATGGCAACCCTAAAAACCATCTATCATAAAGATACTTCAGTCTCTGCTGTGCCTCATTCCAAAGGAAACATGAACCCCGAATAAGCACCCAGAACCCCAGGAATCTCGCCCCGCTCGGTGGTTGCGCATCAATGTGATAACATGCACAAAAACTTCGTAATCCATGACTCAGCACTTTATACAGTGGCTAAGACTGCACTTCTAAACACAGTTCCTAGTAAGAAGTGCCTTACTTCTGCGTAAACATGCCTCAGATTGCTCTGTGTTATTGCTGATTATCCAAAAATCCAAACTCTGCAAAAACCTGAAATATTTTGCATTAAGACAAAAGCATGCAATCTGATTCCTTTCATGGAAAGGACCCTTCTTTGGTCTATTGTTCTCTATCCTAGGATGATGTAACATCCAATCAGGTGAGGTGGGAAAAAGCCCACCTGTTTGTCTCTACGGCAACAGGGCAACCTGTTTGGATATGTAAATGGCTGTACTTAACTGGCCAGCTCACACCATTATCTTACAAAAAGACTAATGTGAGTGGTATAGCAGGTTTCCTCTTAAAGATTTTAACTTTGGAAGGGACCCATGGGGATCATACAGGCGGACCCCTGAAATCTACAATACTATTTTCTTCTGTAAAATGTTGGAGGCTATGGACAACTGACTATCAAATCTGCATTCTGGATGCAAATCTACACTAAAATGTCCCCTTCAGCCATTGATTTCCAAGCTCTTTATCTCTGTTGATCAAAGCAGCTCTTGCTTAACGAGGCTACTTTCTCCCTCAATCGTCCCATCTTACAGTCACTGTCACCACCTTCCCCACAAAGGGGAAGAGAAAATCTAATTTGAATAACCAACAGAAGTTGCTGAAATCCCTCACATTGGCGTTTTTCACACCACAAACAAGACGGTTCCCAGAGGAACATCTGTTTGAGGAACCGAGAATTCAGCGATCGGCCTTACCTTTCTTTTGCACCCGAATAACTAACAGTATTCTTTACTAGGGTTGGCAAGCATCCGGGAATCCAGTTGTCTCTAGCAGTGTCTGGGTGGGAATCTGTAAAATGTCTGGGAAAATCTGGATGTATGGCAGCCCATGCCGCTTTTGCTGATGTTTCATAAAAATAGCTCTGGGGGCAGAACTAGAAAAAGCTCAACGCCTTTGGCCAAAAATACCCCTGCTTGAAATATGGCAACCCTAATTTTTACAAAAAGCAGAATGTTGTTTATTTCCAGAATATGCAAGAAGCGGGGGAACCACTTCTGAGTGAGAGTGTTCTAGGTGTCTGATTTCCTTGCAACCTTATAAACACTATGTTTTTCTTTAAGTCAGGGGTGGAGGAAACTTTTCCAGCACAAGGGCCAGCTTACCTTTTGGTTAGCCTTCCAAGGGCCACATGCCAGTGCTGAGTAGGGCCAGAGCTAAAGTGGTTGGAGCAACCAATGTATATTTTACCTTTGCACAGCTAGGCTGGTTTCTACACTCACCCACATGCCAGCAAGCAAGAGGCATTGTTGTGCGTTCCAGCCAGGAAAACAGACCCAAGCAGGGTGCAAATCAAGAAGGGAGAGGGGTGTGGCCTGGGCAAAGGGGGTGTGGCTGAGGAGGGGCTTGGTGTGGAGAGAGTTCCAGGAGAGAACCAGAGAGGCATAGATGGCCTCATTTGGCTCCTGGGCTTGAGGTTGCCCACACCTGGCTTGGGATAGTGAAAGATGATTATTTATTTCTTATTAATTGCCTTCCGCAATAAAACAAAAAACACCCGAAGAAAACAGTTAGAAAAAGCATGGAAAAGAACAGGAAGCAAATAGGAAAACAATAATATGGGTATGTAAGGGCACTGGGGGAGGAAGAGGAGTGTGGGGGGAGCGCACTGCCCCTGGCAGCACAATCCCTGTGGTGTGCCATCGCGGCTGCCCCCCCGCCTGCTCTGGCTGCCACGCCCCCACAGGCGATGCGCGACATGCCCCCAGGACACGCGCCAGCCCCGCCCCTGCCTGCTCTCTGCCCCCCCCGGTGCCGGAGCATGAAGCGCCGCCACTGGTAAGGGGTGCTAGTGTCTAAATCAGGCACCCCCAAACCCGGCCCTCCAGATGTTTTGGGACTACAATTCCCACTTTCCCTGGCCACTAGTCCTGTTAGCTAGGGACGATGGGAGTTGTAGTCCCAAAACATCTGGAGGGCCGAGTTTGGGGATGCCTGGAAATCAATTGTTATTGCGCCTGGGGGCTCCTACCAGCAGGACCTGCTGAGCTGGGGGCTGAGCACGAAGAAAGTTCATGCAACTGGAGTCCTGCCATCCGGACCTCAGGTTTGCAACGGGCAGGTGGGTTTCAAGGTCACGCTCCTTGCTTTCAGTGAAACTGGTGCAGTTTTTAAAACGGAAGGCAAAACAAAACACCTTTCTCTGTAAGGAACTTTGCCCTGTGCTCAATTTGCAAATAATACAGGAACTGAACCAAGCAAAAGAGATTACTGTCAGAAAGAGCGTCATAAGCCTACTGGAGTCTCTCTCTCTTGTCTCTTGTCCCTTGCAAGCAGATGCCCCTGGAATGTTCAAGCTGTCCAGGTAAGTGGTTTGTTTGTTTCATTTACAGCTCACCTTTTCCTCCAAGGAGCTCAAGATGGCATACACGGTTCCCCCCTCCCCTTTTCATCCCCTCAACAACCCTGAGAGGTAGATGAGGTTGAGAGTCCGCGCCTGAGCACTGTCCCCCAGTGGGCTTTGTGGCTGAGTGGGGACTTGAACTCCTGTTTCCTGGGTTCCTAATAATCCGGCACTCTAACCACTGCCTGCCCTGTGGAATGCCCTCCTGTCAGATGTCAATGAGATAAATAACTGCAACTTTTAGAAGACCCCTGAAGGCAGCCCTGCATGGGGAAGTTCTGAACCTTGGGTGTTTTATTATATTTTTATAACTGGGTAACAATTGGCAGAGCAGACTACAAGGTGCAATGGTGCCACCACAAATTCCTACCTCAACTGGAAGGGGATTTGGGCAGGTGAAGGAGCAGCAGGGTCTCCTCTCTCGTTTGCATTCAGAGTTAGGGATGTCATGGTCTGCCCAACCCCATCTTTTTCAACCCATCCAAATTTCAGCCCCACATATCTGAAGAAGCAGATATGTCACCTTCACCCAGACCATTGGTTGTGTGGGCATTTTCTTGCCTGTTGCATTGCTGTTCTTGCTGCTGTTTTGATACTGTCTTTATCAGTTAGTTTCGTGGTTTTGCTTCATGATGCCAGTATGCCTCATGCCTGTTTTAGTTGTGGCACTTTTGAATTCTGCTCTGGCAGTTCTTTTTCTCTGGCTGTACTCAGTACTGACACCTTTTTTTTTTCCTAGAAAAAAAAACCTCCACTGGTTAAAAATGTGGCACTGACTGTAACATTTTCATGGTGAGTACCAGGACTGTTTTTTTCCAGAAGAAAAGCGCTGTTCTGGGACCGTTCAGTGAAGGTCAGGTTTAAGATGGGCCAGCAGGGATGGGTGGGGGAATTCCTTAATCCATCCAAGTCAGAAGTGATGGTAAGGAATATGCTGAGTCATGTGTAGAAGGTAAAGGTAAAGGTAAAGAGACCATTAGGTTCAGTCGTGACCGACTCTGGGGTTAAGGCGCTCATCTCGCTTTATTGGCCGAGGGAGCCGGCGTACAGCTTCCGAGTCATGTGGCCAGCATGACTAAGCCGCTTCTGGTGAACCAGAGCAGCGCACGGAAACACCGTTTACCTTCCTGCCGGAACGGTACCTATTTATCTACTTGCACTTTGACGTGCTTTCGAACTGCTAGGTTGGGTGGAGCAGGGACCGAGCAATGGGAGCTCACCCCGTCGCAGGGATTCGAACCACCGACCTTCTGATCGGCAAGCCCTAGGCTATGTGGTTTAACTCACAGTGCCACCCACGTCCCGTGTAGAAGGTGACACCCTGCAAATGTCTGATTGGTCACCACTCCTGGACATCATGTGGATTGGAATGAAGAATTAGCAGGCATGAGCTTGGAAGTTAGGCTGTCCCCATCATATGAAGCTGGCGGCAGACAGTTGTCATCCTGGGCCTAAGAGGCCTCAGACGCATGCTGGGTCTTAGTAATCACAACGTATTTTTCTCAGCGTTCACAGACTGACCATTTAATTATCTGTTCTTGGATCTTTTCAGGTATTGACATCAAGCTGGCAGGTTGATAGTTACCTGTCTTCTTTTTTCCCTTTTTTGACGATGAGGACAACATTTGCCTGCCTCCAGTCTGCAGGGACCTCACTTGTTCTCTAAGAATTCTCAAAGATTATAGACAGAGGCTCTGAGAATATACCCACAAGCTCCTTCGGTTCCCTTGGGTGCAGCTCATCAGGCCCTGGAGATTTGAATTCTTTTAAAATAGCTCAGTGTTCACTTACTACCCCCTTTCCTATCTTGGGCTGCAGCTCCTTCCTTACATTGTTTATGCTGTTATTGCCATGTTGGGTGCTGCTAACCCTCCAACATTTCTCTGATGAAAATAGGGACATCCCATTCCATAAGGATAATTTTACTATTTATACCCCGCACATCTTATTAGGTTGCCCCAGCCACTCTGGGCAGCTTCCAACACATATAAAAACATAATAAAACATTAAACGTTAAAGAAACTTCCTTATACAAGATTGCCTTCAAACAGCTCGGGGGTTAGATAACTCCACACCCTCCAACATTTCTCCAGTGAAAATAGGGACATCCTAAGGAAAAGTGGGACATTCTGGGATCAAATCAGAAACCGGGATGACTTCTTTAAATCAGGGACGTCCCTGGAAAATAGGGCATTTGGAGGGTCTGGAAGGCAGATGCAATGTAGGTGTTGAGCAGTTTCCTCTGTCGCCCAGCAGCATTTCTCTGTCTTCTCCACATTGAGGATCTACTAATTTGCTTGTTCTTCCTCTTTCTTTGAACATAGCCAAATAAACCTTTTAATACTATTTTTAACCTCTCTTGCAAGCCTGGCCTCATTCTAGACTTTTCCCCTCCTGACCTCCCTGCAGCTGTTGGCTGCTTGAGTATACGCTTCCTTCGTTATTCCCCCTTTCTTCCATTTCTTATACATGCCCTTCTTAAATCTCAGCTCCTTATGCATTACCTTTAAATCAGACTTGGACCAGACCGCCCTTCAAAGAGTGGGCTGTCCTCTGTAAAGTAGGACACATGCTGACCTGACCCATTGGTGGACCACAGCACATGACCGGAAAGTTGGTCAACATTGGATGAGTTGTGGCTTCTCTTTATCCCTGTGTAGAAATCTCAAGGGTCACCTCACTGCTTTCCCCACAGTTGCCCACCCTGCTGTCTCAAGCAGGGGTCTGCAGGTAGATCCAATTAGACCGCCTCCAGTATTTGGACACAGGGCTCTCTCTCGTGGGCTTGCTGAGCCAGGCCTGGTGGCCTTTGTTCTGAGCTTTGTCAGAGGCATTTTGAAGCAGCAAGAGCTGCATTATGAAACCAGATTTGAGACAGGATTTGCATGCCTATCTTGCAATTTCCATCCAGTCACAAGCCTTCCTCAATGGTCACACCATCCTTTCACTAAGGAAAGTCCAATCTGTGTGCAGACACATTGCGCCATTGCCTCAAAACTGAATTTCCCACTTTCATCTTTGCCTTTAACGCATGTCTGGGGGCACATCTATGCTATCAGTTTAAAATTGTTTTAACCGCCCTGGTTTCCTCGAAGAAACCAGGTGACTGCAGTTTCCTAGGCTGGGTGTGTGGAGATAAGCACCTGCACCACAGCCATGCAATTCTCTGCACAGAGCTATGGTTCCCAAGAACCACAAGAGAGCCAGTGTGGTGTAGTGGTTAAGAGTGGTAGACTCGTAATCGGATGAACCGGGTTCACGTCTCCGCTCCTCCACATGCAGCTGCTGGGTGACCTTGGGCTAGGCACACTTCTCTCAGCCCCACTCACCTCACAGAGTGTTTGTTGTGGGGGAGGAAGGGAAAGGAGAATGTTAGCCACTTTGAGACTCCTTAGGGTAGTGATGTCAAATCCAAACTACTCCTCCTCCTCCTCCTCCTCCTCCTCCTCTTCTTCTTCTTCACAAGTGTAGCATGCCAAAATCCTTCTATGCTGTTTCTTTTCCACAACCAAGGCAAGTGGGATGGAATGGTTTTTCTTGCCTGCTTCGAAATGGCATTTGGACTATCCTGCCCCCTCTTTCCCTCCCACTCCCAGTTACATCTCCCCTCCTCCTGGGCCAGCCCACCCATAAGGTGGGGACAGGTAGCTGCCTTGGGCACAGGTGGCATCTCCCCTTGGGCACCTCACTGCCTCTGCTGCTGGTGCAGAAATGGTTCCAGAAGCAGTGCCAGCTTTTGGCAAGATCTCGCTGGAAGCTGCCACCATGCAACCCAGGCAGGGGAGACTGTGGTGGTGGTGCTGGGGAGCCCACGGAGGCACTGCCTCTTTGGCTGCTGCCCCCCCCCCCCAATTAGCATACCGTAGAGTTCTGGTGCTCTAAATTCAGGAGGTGGTTGCAGCTAGCAACCCACTGCACTAATCCATGGTGGATTTAATTCTGATGGGAAAGGTAGGGCACTTAGATGCCCATTTAAGCTGTGATTCTCAGCAACTTGGATTCAGAGGCATGATGCCTTCGACAGTGGCAACTGAATATCCCCCATCATTGCTAGTAGCCTTTGACAGCCCTCTCCTCCGTGAATTTGTCTAATTCTCTTTTAAAGCCATCTATGCTAGCAGACAGGGTTCCTTCCTGTGGGAGTGCGTTCCATAGTTCCTTATGCACCACATTCTTTTATCTGCCCTGAATCTTCCAACATTCGGCTTCATTGGATGTTCCTGAATAATGGTGTTATGAGGGAGAGCTGTCCATTTATTCCCACCCCCTGCTTCCAGCTACTTGCTGCCTGGGGCACAAGCCTAAGGCACATATTTGCATGTGGCAATTTGCATCTTGGGCCAGTCACACTTCTCTGAAGTCTCTCAGCCTCACTCACCTCACAGAGTGTTTGTTGTGGGGGGAGGAAGGGAAAGGAGATTGTTAGCCACTTTGAGACTCCTTAGGGTAGTGATAAAGCGGGATATCAAATCCAAACTCCTTCTTCTTGCAGCATGTGCTCGGGGTTTTTATGGCTAGATGCCTCTGAGCCAACTGAGATGGCTAGGGGCTGGAATTTCCCAAGCATGGCACTTTTGCAGTGTGTGTGTGTGTATGTGTGAGCAAACCTTTTTAAAGGGTCAGGAGAACCAGGATTTGACAATGGCCCAAATTTAGAGGGAAGAGCAATGGTGAAAGTGGCCAGGGTTACTGCACTGAATTTCATTTTCTTTAAACCCCCCCCCCCAGCTTATTGCATTAATATTCCAATCCTCCCTCCGCAAAGAGTTTAAGGCTGGCAAACATGTTTCTCTGCTCTGACCTATTTTATCCTCACAACAACCCTCCGCTGTGGGTTAGGTAGAAAGACTGGCCTGAGAACAACCAGCAAACATCGTGGCTGAACAGGAGATTTGAACCAACATCCTAACCCTGGGTAGGCAAACTAAGGCCCCGGGGCCAGACCTGGCCCAATCGCCTTCTAAATCCGGCCTGCGGACAGTCCAGGAATCAGCATGTTTTTACATGAGTAGAATGTGTCCTTTTATTTAAAATGCACCTCAGGGTTATTTGTGGGGCGCAGGAATTCATTCTTCTTCTTTTTTCAGAATATAGTCAGGCCCCCCACAAGGTCTAAGGGACAGAGTACTGGCTCCCTGCTGAAAAAGTTTACTGACCTCTTTCCTAACCAATACACCACATTGGGTTCTACTATATTTTATCTACCCAGAGTGAAGCTAATGTCAAGCTTCAGTTGTGATATCTTGAGATTTCATATATGATAGAAGGGGGAAATGCCAGAGAAAGCCATCTCCCCCCACCTCCTCCTCCTGCTTGCAAAAGACGTTTTGCAGAGACTTCTGCTTTTCTGGTTCCTGTCTATTATTTCCCCTTCTGTGTTTAGCAGAATTCTCATCGAGGGTCAGGACCACAGGCGGAAAGACAGAGGCAACCAGGAGGTGCATCTCTCGCTGCAAGTCGAAACGGACAGGTCAGGAGAAATTCTGGGTCTGGACAGGGAATTGTAGTGTGTAACACCATACATTTAAAGCACATCCCCCCGCCCCCCCCCCCCCAAATACTGTGAATGGTCCTTTTTTTTTTTTAAAGCTGCCCTGAATTGTAAGAGGCAAGCTACCATTCCTTGGGGCAGAAAATGTGCTTAAGATGTGTTTTAAAGGCATGGTGCATACACCGTCCAAAATGTCTTAGTTGTCTTTACTTTGAACCCCACCCAAAGCGGTAAAGGTTCACAAGAAGAGGTTTAGTAAGCAGATGTTTGGGAGGTTCTTTTGAGGGTGGGTGGGCAGAGCCAACCCTACTATTGGGCAGGGTGAGGGAGCTGCTTCAGGCGGAAAGCTCATTTAAGGTGTTGTGTCAAAATAACTTGCCTTGCTTTTGGTACTATGCATGTGTGTGTGTGTGCGTGCCATTTCCTGCTCCACCTCAAGCACCAAAATGTCTTGGGCTTGCCCTGGTTTTGAAGAAGGCTTTTCTCTCTCTCTTTCTCTCCCAATCTCAGAGAAAGGAGCAAAAGAGGCTGTTTTCCCCCAGGGCGACTATTGCAGAACAAAACTCAGCCAAGAGTAGGAGGGTCCTGGGACGGGTCGTTCTCCTGTTTCTTGCATTTATTATGCAGGTGCAACAACACACAACAAAGAGCTCATCCAGACTAGCATTTGCACTGTGTTTCTAGGCTCAGGTCTTTGCTTTCAAGCTCCCTGCTGGAGCACTCCCCCTAGTTTCTCTCAGTGCTCATTTCCCCAGTCTTTAGTTCTCCACATTTCCACATCATTGAGGGCTTATCCTCTCCTTCAAGCTGCTATTTGCCTCACAAGGGCGACAAATAGCAACCAGAGATCAGCAACCAGAGATGAGGAATGAGGAACAACATGGAGGGAGACAGAGGGAAGTAACATGGACGGGGACATCTGCCTTTCCTTGATGATGCTGGGGTCCCCATCTATTTCAGGGGACCCTATCGACTGTTTTGAAACAGAGATCTCCTGGATCACATGTCATTTGGCTGTTGGATGAAGAGATTAGTTAAATATGAGCTCTTTGAATATGTCTAGAAGAAGAAGAAAAAGAAGAAGAAGAAGAAGAAGAAGAAGAAGAAGAAGAAGAAGAAGAGTAGTAGTAGTAGTAGTAGTAGTAGTAGTTTGGATTTGATATCCCGCTTTATCACTACCCGAAGGAGTCTCAAAGCGGCTAACGTTCTCCTTTCCCTTCCTACCCCACAACAAACACTCTGTGAGGTGAGTGGGGCTGAGAGACTTCAGAGAAGTGTGACTGGCCCAAGGTCACCCAGCAGCTGCATGTGGAGGAGTGGAGATGCAAACCCGGTTCCCCAGATTACGAGTCTATCGCTCTTAACCACTACACCACACTGGAGATGTGTATGTTTAAAATGTTCATTGGCATTGAAACTGTGCATCCTGACTGAATAGCTCCTGGATCCCGAACAGAATCAAGCTTTTCTGGGTCAATCTAGAATTGGTCCAGAGCTGGTCAGGGTAGCCCTGGATCACCCGGGAGGGGGGCAATTGTGTCCTTCTTCCTCTTCAGTCTTCTCCTTCTTCCTCACTCATTGTTGTCCAAAAAACACAAACAAGCAGATGCACTTGGCTCTTCAGCTTGGATTCCACAGCGGCCTTCTCATCAGGGTGTGAGCTACCTCATGTGTTTGACTCCACTGGTGCCTGTGCAAAGCGACTGGCTCCACTCAGTGTGTGTGTGTGTGTGTGTGTGTGTGTGAGTACCAGTATGGAGACTCCCTCAGCTTTCCCGCACCCCCTCATAAAAAAGCGTCCTGAGCTCATATGCTAGTAGAGGGCAGGATCAGAGAATCAAATGGTCTGCCACTGGGCCTGGTGGCTGATGCCAGCTCCCCACAGAGCACGTCCTTGGCGAACCTTGCCATTTTCCATTCTGTGGACATAACCAGCGTAGATGTCACTGAGACAGGAGCGCAAGCATGCTGGGAATGTTAGAAATGGGGAAACTGAGACTGGGGCTGGTGGCCCTTGCGAGCCTGGCATCTGAGCTCATGCTAGACTGTGGCATTGGAATGAGAGACTTTGCGGCTAATGCTGCTTCCACATTTTGATTCTTTCTGAAACTATGGGTTCTGAGTATCTTCCCTGCTTCAGCCAGCGCTGCTCACTTAGTGCCTCATGCTTCTCTTCTCTTCTTTCTTTGCCCCAGAGCTCCAGCCTCAGAAAGAAGCCTCCGGTTCAAAAAAGATGCCCAGAGGCAGAAGGACGATACAACTCATGAACCTTCCCTGGGGGATGAAGAGCCCAGTCTCATTGATGCCAATGGTGACACTGTTGATCCTTCCCTTTCTCTGCAAAGGTAGATATGGTTCACAACAACACTGGGGAACCTTCACCCTTTCCAGATAAGTTAGACTCTAGATGTTATCGGCCTCAGCCAGCTCAGCCAACCCTCAAGGAAGATGGGATCTGGAGTCCCTCAACTTGTGAAGGCTCACATTTTCTCCACCCTTGGTGTACAGAAATGAGAAAATGTGTTCTTCTGAGTGTTGCTTCCTAAGAGGGAGGGACCAAGGCTGAGTTTGGAAACGGACTGCTTGTGATGAAAGGGCTGGTGCCGTGCTGTTTTTATTGTAGTTATCTGTATATTTTAAAGTGTGTGTTTGTGTGTATATAGCTTTAATGTTTTATTGGTTTTAATTATTGGGTTTTTTAAAACGTTTTTAGCTGTTCTTATTTTTACCTTTATGCCACCATGAGTCCCTGTCAGGAAAAAGGTGGGGAATGAATGAATGAATAAATTGCAAAAAAAATTAAGAAAAAAATTCCCAGGTTAAACCCGAGCATCTCCACAAACTGGGAGAGGTTCCTGTCTGGGACACTGGAAAGGCACCACCCATCGGAGTAAATCTAGATGGACCAGTGGATGGACTCAGCATAAGGCAGCTTCTGATCAGGTCCAGGTTTTGGGTGGTCCTTGATCAAGACACCCTCCATGCGTGCCCCTTCCTCACAGAGTCTCCCTCTCACTGCAGGAGCTCCAGAGGGTTCTTATCATTGAGTCCCTACTGGGATAAGGGCTCATGACAGACACCCAACCATGCCACCTCCTGAGGCCAGCCCTGCTTCCTATGTACCTCATAGGTTTTGCTCACTTCATGGTTTATTTTAAGAGTGAAGAATTTGAAAACTTGGAAATGATGAGTCCTGAGTACAAATGGCAGGAAGAGTTCCAGTGTGAGGCCCAAGGAGCACTGGAATATCCCTGGTTCGGGGTCCTTGGCCAGGGGACCTGAGAGCACCTTCCTCCTTCTGAGTGTGTGGCACCTGCTAGAAACTCACACCTGAATGTCCTCCTCCTTCTTGCCCAGGGAAATGCTTACCCCTGAGGTCCTGCTACTGTGGTGGGTGGTTGGGAAGTCCTGGGACTGGAGACCCACCACAATCGCCAGGCACTGCTGCTCCAGACAACCCTTGATGTTTTGGTGCTGTTGACTGTGCAGAGTGTTCTTCTCGAGGTGTACAGTATGCTGGCAAGAGGGTCAGCTGCAAAACTGGTCTTCGCTAAGCATCAGCCCACAAACCAGTGAACACATTCCTTCTTTCCTTTGGCAGGTCTGCAGAGTCAATTCCCGGGATATGAACTTAAAGCGCTAGAGGCTGTCACCGTGCAGAGAGGTCTCTGCGTTCACATTCCCTGCAACTTCACTTATCCCACTTCTCAGTATTCTGCGGAATTATACGTCTACTGGATTAAGAACGATCATGCTGGGTCCACCTGGCGTCGCTACACCCGGAATTCCGTTGCTGGTATTATTGTTGCCAGTAATGACAAGGATCAAAGCATTGCCTCATTTGCTGGGAATCGTTTCCAGTTGACTGGAAATCCATCAGAAGGTGACTGTTCCTTTAGCATCAATGATGTTAAGTTTGAGGATGAAGGGCAGTACTATTTTCGAATTGAGAAAGGAACCATAAAATTCAGCTATCGTTTTTCTTTTATTTCACCTCATGTTTCTGTGACAGGTAAGAGGTTTCCTACTTCTTTATTTGCTCCCTCATTCCCTGTTTTGTGCTCTTTCATGCTGTAAAGGGGGGAAAGGCTCTGCCTACAAATATGCCTAGACCTCTGGACATTATGCTGATGTGAAAGGGACAGGAGGTACAAGTGCTCCATGCTTCCTGTTCCTCTCCATTGTTGTAACGTCAAAATTAGATCATTTGCATCTCCAAATGTCTGAATACTTTACACAGCTCACTAGAGGGAAGAACTCTCTTGTGGATTCTGTGCTGACAATTTGGAGAAACAGGAAACTGGAGGCATTTTCTCCTTCACTTCCAGCTGCATCCCATCACCTGCTTCTTCTCCTTCCCCAGCATCTCTCCACAGCTTCCTCAATGGCAGGAGAAGCAGAGAGGTATTCTCTTGCCACCTTTGAAATCAGCCTCAGTGCAGATCTGAAACATTGTCCTAATCCACTGCATCCTCTATTCTAGGACCAGAGGGTGCTTTGGGTGGGGGACATTTCTTTCATTCATGGGCCTCATTCCAGGGGCCACATGCAAGTGGTGGGCAGGGCCAGAAGCACACATGGACGGAGCCTCTAGCAAATGTGGGCAGAGCAACAGGCGTGCCTCTTATCTTGTCCAGGCCTCAAACTCAGGTCACTTTCCCATAGCTGACTAGTTTTAAGGTTGTGCACAGAGGGTTGAGGCACAGGGCTAAAATTAGGGGCACTTTGCTCCTCCCCTGTTTCTCCTGCTGCTGTTCTGCACAGAGCTAAGCCTTGATTTGGCTTAGCATGGAGGTGGAGAACCTTCCCCTTGCTGGTGTGGGGCAGGTGGTTTTACAGGAGATTAAGCCTTAGCTTAATGTCTGAGCCCCAAACAAACCATGAGCAGTTAGCTAAAAAGCAAGCCTATGCTACAGCTCATGGTTTCTTTTGGAGAGAAACAAATCTTGAACCTGAGTTTAGATCAATGGTTCCCAATTAGGGGTCCGTGGAATACACACAGGGCCTCCACGGCCCTATCGCTTGCCTTTCCCCCAACTCATTTTTTTGCCATTTTTGCATGGTATTTCACAAATCTTATGGTCTGTTTTAGCACTCCGCAATTTTTCAATATATTGGTTAAAACTGGTTTTGAAATCACACCGTGATAATGATTTCGACCCAGCAATACGTAGCAGTATATCACTCCCCATACAAGGAAGAGCAGGGCAGCTGATTTCAAGGCACCACCCAAATCGCAGGATGATTTCAGCCGATCCCTCTGCTGATCTGAGCTGCCTTCCCTCACACCGAGGGAGACCAGGGCAGCCGATTGCGAGGTGCTGCCTTCTCCTCACGCTGATGGAGAACAGGGCAGCTGACTGCTCTCACTTCAAGGAATTGTGGCACTACCTTCCCCTGGCACGGACTCAGAGCAGCTTTTCTTAGTCAGCAGGAAAGCAGCAGCAGCCACAGTGGATGTGCTTCTTCACTGGCTGCCCCCCTGATTGTGGCTTGATGCACCCCACCCCCTCAAACTCAAACCATGCAGTGGGGGTGACCTCGCTTCCTCTCCTCCCCCCAGCCATCCAATCTCTGCGGCTGCTCTTTCCCTCATCCCCATGTCCAATCTCCAATTTCAGACATCGTGATATATCAGAACATTGTGATGTTTAGCTGCTGATATATCACAATGTTGAATAACAGATATCTCTCAGCCCTAGTCTGTTTTTTTTAGTACACCTAAAATGCTTTGCTTATTAAAGGCTACCCCACATTTTGTTCAAAAAATTGCTTTGCAGAGGTAACTACCATAGAGCTATCAAAATGTTCAAAAGTAGGGGGACTGTGGCTTGGCTTTTGGAAAATAGGGGGTCCTTGTTGTTGTTGTTTAGTCGTGTCCGACTCTTCGTGACTCCAAGGACCAGAGCACACCAGGCACTCCTGTCTTCCACTGCCTCCCGCAGTTTGGTCAGACTCATGCTGGTAGCTTCGAGAAGACTGTCCAACCATCTCGTCTTCTGTCGTCCCCTTCTCCTTATGCCCTCAATCTTTCCCAACATCAGGGTCTTTTCCAGGGAGTCTTCTCTTCTCATGAGGTGGCCAAAGTATTGGAGCCTTAGCTTCAGGATCTGTCCTTTCAGTGAGCACTCACGGCTGGTTTCCTTAGTAATTAGTTAATTGGGAACCACTGGTTTAGATTAACATTCTGCCAAACCATGGCTTAGCTCCTGGCAACATGGCAGGAGCAAAACACCTTTGATTTGGGTCCCCTGCACCAACACAGTGTGCATTCACCTTCAAACAATAGTTCATCTAGGTTTAAGGTGATATGAAAGCCAGGCTTGTGTTGGCTACATGGCATTCAGGGAAATGTCAGCTGTTTCTACATGGTCATCCACCTCTTTCCATTCAGACAAGCTAGACTCATTACACAGTTCAACAACCCATTCGGGGAGAAGGTGTGTGCATGGAGGGGGTGGGGAGTGTGGCCAGGGGAGTTCTGGATTTGTTCCATGTCTCCTAGGTGGAATCTACACACATATAAAAAAACGCTGAGGAATTTTTTTTTAATCCACTGAATTTGCCATGGCTCACCATCACCATCTAGTGTCACATTTGTATATTGCACTTTGCAACACACTTGAAACGTTTTATTTGCAACAGTATAGCTGAGCCCCTAGAAATTGCCCTCTCCAAGCTCTTCACTCCACGGCAAAAGATATGCAGACCTGCTTCCTATTCCCCTGTATGCAAGTGAGCAGTTTGGGTGGGTGGCCATTTGCTTCAGAAAAAATAGTTCAAGGGTTAAGTGACCCCTTCTCAGCCTGTGCTCCTCTTTTGATGAAAGACAGATCCCTCCTGTGGCTGCTGCATTCAAGGTGTTGTTTTTCCTCTTTTCTTTCTGTGTCTCCCAAATCGCATCTGGCTTCATCCTCCAATTTCAGGATCCTGAGTATCAAACATCATGTTCAGCAGCATAGTGGCAGCCATCAAGATTTCTCTCTCTCCAGGCTGAGTCCACAATGAGCAGAAACACTGACCAACATTGGTAGAGAAAGCAGACCATTGCATGGGGAATCAGTCTACTAAGGGAGAGAGTTATTGTTAAAGGACAAATGAAAGAATGGCAGGATTTGCCGCAAAGTGGGGTATAAAGTAATGCTGGTGACCATCCATAATTCAGGACTCCTGTATCCTGTACCCTAGTTACTTTAGTCTCTGAATTTTCTTCTGATCCCATCCTGGGGACTTTGCTTTTCTCAGAGCTGGCAAAGCCAAAGATCCTGAACTTATCAGAGGTGGTTTTGGGGAAGAGCGTCACTCTCATCTGCCAGGCACCAGGGACCTGCCCATGGAAAGAATCATGGAGCCAGCCTAAGATCTCATGGAGTAATTTGCCAGGAACAACAACTGCACAGAACCATCAGCACAGCAATGGGAGCTGGACCTTTGCTTCTGGCTTCACCTTCACACCTATTTCGCAGGATCAAGGCAGAGCCCTCACTTGCCGTGTCAGATACCCTGCAGTTGATACAACAGTTGCGAATACAATCTCTCTTGAAGTGGTCTGTGAGTAGCTCCCATAGCTCAGTACTGCTTCCCCCTCCCATGAATGGCCAAAAGTTCTTTCTACCCCATGCAAGCTAATTTACTCCTTTCATGCTCCCCCTCACTGTTTTCTTATGTTTCAGACCCACCTCAGGACATCAGAATCACAAGGCCTGGACACCCTGGTGAGATACAAAACTCTTTAGTGTTTTTGCACAACCCCATCCTCACTGAGCTCTGCTGCGCAGCCAATGGCTGCTCAGGGATCTCAGAGTGGGAATTGTGCAGGAGGAAGGGTTTTAGAGATGGCTGGGAGTTGGGGCAGAGCCCAGGATGGTGGTTTGGAGGGGAGTTGAAGACAAACTGGATGGTAACAGGGAGGAGCTGGGCTCAGTGGTTCTTTCCAGCATCCATGCCATGCCATGCACACAACCTTGCACCCGAACCAAAATTCACTCCCCACCGTAGCACCCTTCCGGCTCTTGACCTGAGTCTCCTTTTTTAATTGCCGTGGGGTTTCTATTTAATGGGACTGTTCTATTGCCTATTTCAATTGTGGGTGTTTATATTTTAATGTTTGCGTAACTGGTTTTTGTACTTTTTAAGCCATTTAGAATCCTATGTTGGCAGTAAGTGGTGTATTAAAGTGGAATGAGAAGGAAAAGAAATGGGCCCAAGTCTTCCCAGTGGAAGGCAAAACAGTGGATATTATTATTATTATTATTATTATTATTATTATTCTCTTGCCAGTTGAACTTGCAGAGAAATGAGGGGATCATCTCTCTTTTTGCAAAACTATGGCCCAAAGCTGTCTTGAACCAATTATAATTAATAATCATTGTAAAGATTTGAATCCCCACTTCTGCAGACCTGGTGTCAACCATCCTTCTTCAAAATACACAGGAACATCTCAGCACTGAATGAGGATTCCTTAGCCTCAGGCATCCCAGGACCTATTGTGATCTAATTGCATTTCTCTTACAGATTTCTCCGCACAGAAAGAAAAGCTGGTGGTCCGAGAAGGTGACACCGTCAGCTTGCTTTGTGAAGCTCAGGGCAAACCTATTCCCTCTGTGACATGGATGAAGAAGAACAAGACCCTAAACAACCATATGCAGGGCAGTAAAGAAACTCTTCAACTGTCCAACATTAAATCAGAGGATGCTGGGATGTATCAATGTCAGGCAGAGAATCTACATGGCTCAATCAGGAAGAATATTTCAGTGATTGTGCAATGTAAGAGATGGGGAGCGGGAAGTTCCTTGGGGCATTAACCTAGGAAACTCCATTGTATGCTAAGTGGCTTGACCTGCAACTAATACCAGCATGCTTCCACTAAGGGGACCTCTGCAAATGTACACAGCTGTGGCTGCATTGTACAGTGTGTCAGCCTAGTAGTGTGAGATGCAGCTTTTGACAGCTTCATCACAAGTTCAGGAACCCCATGATGAGCTTACATATTTGCAGAAGCTTTCTAAGAAGTTAGTTTCAGGATGCATAAATGCAGCTCCAGGGGCAAAACCACAAATTCAAGTCACTGAACATACCGGTAACTCTTGTCTGAAATTTGTGGAAGTATCCTCATTCACCAGGAGAGGGCATATTTATGCAACCTCTCATCAGAATGACAGCTCTCTAATATTAAATGCAAAGGCCAAACTTAGAAGTTTCTGTTCACATATCTGTCCTGCCATAAAGCAGGATATGTAGGATGTGGCTTTGATGTTTCAGAAGAAAAGCTCTGTATGGACAATGGAGGAGATTGGCTGGATGTCCCTCTCCCACTGCCCATCTTCTGTTGCTTCAAGACCTTTTTGTCTAATGAGCATCTCATGAAGGAATATCCCCAGGTGGCAATGGTCTCACTGTTTGCTACCTGGAGATGCAGAACATAGTTCCTTTGCTTATCCAATGAAAAGGCTGCCATAAGGATGCTGCTTGTGGGGACCTAAGTCGTTTTGCAAAGTAATTTCTCTTCCCCTTCTTTGGTACCATGTGATAGCCTCATAGGTGGGCCTTGTGTTTAGCTGTTGGGGTGTTGCACAACCCAATACTCTAATATTCATTTGGCAAACTGAGAATCTGCATTGTCTTTTTTATGAGCAATTTTCTGGTCATCGTGGTGTGTTTGTGTGTGTATACAGTGCTTTTTTTTAATTTTTAGGGGTACTCTCTTTCCCCTACTCATATTGAAATACTGCCAAACTTAGATTCACAAAATGTTTAGGGGTATGCATCCCCCTGCATCCCCCCAGAAAAACCCCCACTCTGTGTGTGTGTGTGTGTGTGTGTGTAGCTTAGAAAAGGATTTATGCCCTTCTTCTTTCTCTATTCCCCTCTGTTTCCTTTTTCAAAAAATGCAATAATCTGATTAGCAATGACGACGCTAATAGGAACAGAATAAAGTAAACATTTGACAAGCAGAATGTCACCGGCTAAGTTTTACTCCGAGTAGATCCATTGAAATCAATGGACTTTAGGCATGTTAATTCATGTCAATGAGTCTACTCTGTGACAGATTAGCACTGGGATACAACCCCAAATCCACCGAGATTATGGACAATGGAGGGCAGACCTGGATCTGAATAGGAGGTAAAAGACGCAGCCTAGATTGCAGTCTCAACAGTGCAGTGTTTTTGTGTCAAAATATGGTGCTTTTTCATCTTGCTCTGTCTGCTCTGTGTACACTGGGCAGGGGAAGGGCACTTTCCTGGACGGTCATTGCTGACCCTACCTTTCCAGCGGACAGTACAGGCTGATCCGTTTGGGGTGAACGGGGCACTGACCCACCAACCTCAGTCCATCCTTAGACAGCCCCTACTGGCTGCCTTCTTACTTACAACCAGCCTAAGGGGTGTCCCGGGCTGCCAGCTTTCTCCTCCTTGGTCTCCATTTTACCCTTCTAGAGCTCAGCAGGGCAGACGAGAATAGCAATATAACTGGATTTAGTTGGCTCTACCTGTCTCTGGCTCCACCTCTCATTGCTTCTGGATCTGCTTGCCATTGGTGGTCTCCCTCCCTTCCAGCTAGCCGGTCCCAGTGCCACCAGAAGGCCCTTTCTTGCACAGCAACGGGCCTCTCATTCACCCATGTAAAGGCTCTTCTCTTGTTGATTCAACATTGATATGTCTGTTCCAGATCGCCCAAGGACAATGACGTTCAATGTCACCCATGCACACAGGAGGGACCCAGCACTAGCTCGAGGTACCAGAGAGTTTTAGGGTGCAAAAGTCAGCGCACGGATCCTTTCTCCTCTGGAGGATAAGGCTGGCTTCAGCGGGGCAGCTGCTGTTTCACAGACATGACGGCACTTTCCTGTGATTACAGGTTGCCCCAGGGAAGTAGCCAGTGGCTCCCAGTTGACGGTTCAGGAAGGCAACTTATTGCGGCTGCTCTGCAAGGCCGATAGCAACCCTGCAGCCACTACGAGCTGGTTCAAGGAAGGCAGGGCCTTGGAGAAGCTGCCAGATGACTGGTTGGAGCTGGTCAATGTGAAAGCAGAGGATCAGGGTGACTACAGGTGCCAGGCTCAGAACGCCATAGCTTCTGCTGAGGGATTCCTCCACCTCCTTGTGGAATGTGAGTGAGGGAGTCAGGGTTTGGGTCAAGCACTGGGACTCCCTGCTGCAGGGGAACTGTTAAGGGTGCTGATCTCCCATGCTACAGGACACCCCTTGTCCTCTGCTGGGCTGCATTTGAGGTTCAGTGTGAAAACACCAAGTGAGATTTACATCCCACCCAAATAGCTGCCTAGAGTAGTGCTCCTATTTAGGGAGGCCAACTCCCTTTTTCATTAAGGGGTTCTACTAGCAGAATGGGCAGAAGAAACCCATTCAGTGCCTCTTTTGCTATTGTTGCTGCCCCGTGACTGGAAAAGCCCAGGCCACATTGTTTGTGGTGGACTCTCCTTCCTTTGAGGCTGGGTGGCCGTCTGTCATGGCTGTTTTAGTTGAGATTCTTGCATTGCAGGGGGTTGGACTAGATGACCCTTGGCATCCCCTCCAACACTAAGATTCTATGAGACACAGCTCTTAAGTTCTTGTAAACCATTCCTGTAAATTCTGTTTTTATTTTCAAACTGGACACAAGGGGGAAAGAAACTCCCTGCCTTCTGAACCAAGCTGAAGCAGGATTTTACCTTATGCGACAGAGTAGGGAACTAGGGTGGCAGCAGTATCTGCTCCCGCGTGCCTCCAGTGGATGAATTGTGGTATTGCAGCTGGTGCAGTCATTAGCTAAATCGGAATGTGTTCTTCACCTTGGCTACTTGATTCTCTGCAGATGCCCCCAAGCTCAGCAAAAAACCCCAGAAAAACACTACCTGTTGGCGTAAGGACCATGACATCCTCTGCAACTGTTCCCTGCACTCCAAGCCTCTACCTCAGATCCATTGGCAAGTGGGCGGGATGACTGTAGCTGAGAACACCAGCACGGCAGACCTGAAAGTCTCTTCGTCAGTCCAGAAGAATGAGGTCACCAGCTCCCTAATTTGGACAGGTAGCCCGGATGGCGACCTCAGCATCATCTGTCTTGGGAACAATTCTCTGGGAGTCTACACCATGCAATTCCTCCTTGGTTCCTTGAAAACAGGTGAGACTCCACCAGACTGAGAAATCCTGACTTTTGCAGCCCTGATGATATTGGAAAACCCCAAAGAGGTTGTAGCTATGCACCCTGATTCTAAAGTACATTTAATTACAAGTGAACCTCATTTATTTCTGTAGATCGGGGATTGCCAGAATGGTGTCTCCACCCATTTCACCCTTACTGAAAAATGATGCCAATTAAAACTAGCATCTTAATTTTTTCATTTATTTTGTGTTACCTGTTTGTGTTAAATCACCTAGAGATGTTTAAAAATAAAATGAGCAGCAAATGATGATCATTGTCATCATCATCATCATCATCATCATCATCATCTGCTTTTGGGAAATGAAGGAAGGAGGATGGGGACCAGGATTTCTGATTTCCAATCCCAGTTTTCTTTGAGATCTTGGTTTATCATTGCAGGCGCAGGAAGCCATTCGGCACTGCTCCTCTCTGGGCTGTGTGGGGCTTTGCTGGCAGCGGTTGTCTTCCTGCTCTGCCTGGGCCTGATCAAGTGAGTTTATCCTTCTCTGATCTCCCTCCCTCCACCTGGTTCTCAACAACAGGCCACTGTTCTACTGGCCTGACCATTGAAACCACCTTCTGGCAGGCAACTTCTGTCAATCCTGAGAAGTCAAGCCTGGACAGCTCAGTTAGTTAGAGTTTGGGAAGGAATGGGAGATGCAAAGTTATCGTGGGGACGGATGACAGGAGATGACTTAGAATGAAACCAAAGCCATCAGGTTGTGTCCAACTAAGTTCTACTCAGTGGACCCACTGAAATGAATGAACCAACGTTGATCATATCAGTTGACTTTCAATAGGTCTACTCTGAGTAGGACCAGCACTGGCTACAACAAGATATGAGTTTTGATGAGGGCTGTAGAGGAAGAGAGAGAAAGACCTGCATGCAGGTCTTATAATCACAGGGGTGTATGAGAATCTTACCATGTTCTGGCCATTTTGATCTTAGGTTTTATAAGAAGAGGAAAGCAACTCTGAAAGCAGCCATCCCAGAAGCTATGGATTCTGCTAATTATGTAAACTCTGCCAATGGAGGGCAGCAGAGAGCCAACAACTTCAGCCTGATCTATAGCAACATTTTACCTCAGGTATGCATCCCATGTAGCTTTGCTCTTCTGCAACCTCTTAGGCCTCCTGAGGTAAGTATTTATTTTTATTTTTTTGGAGGGGGTGCTTCATCACAGAGAGCAGGTGCACAAGATGTTTAAGTGCTTTAAAGGTATGTTGCAAAGGGGGGTCTTTTTCACAACATCTCTCTTCCCTTTCAGGGTCAAAGATCACCCCATGTTGGCACGCCTAAAGCAGCTGGAGAGAGGACCCCCAAACCCAGGCAAATCCCCAGACCTCCCAGTCCGAGTGCTGAGGAACCAGATGAGGTTCACTACACAACTGTGGCATTCAAAAGCAAGGGACCTCCACCCCCAGTGGAAGAGTCTGTGGAATATTCAGAAATCAGACGGGAATAAAAAAAAAACACACCTTGTTTCCCAATAGGAGAACAATCCCATCATGATGGAAGGGTGTTATTTGACTGAAAAGAGGAGCTGGGTATGAAAAGTGAGCTGGACTTCAAGAATAAGCAAACTGGATTTAGTGTCCACCAAGTAAATTGTCTGGACAGGAGAAGCATTAGATATGCCGGATATGGAAAGGGTCTTCCATTTTAGTAACTCTGGTGTTTTTGACTTGTTTCTTTGTTTTTACGCAAGGAAGGAGGAAGCAGAAGAAGGCAATGGTAGTGGACATAGTTAACCAACTTACTCTGAATGAGGTAGACATCATCTGCTATCAACTACCTGCCTTTTTGTCTGTGAATATCTTCCCTCCTCAAAGTGATCGGCTGGACTGTTGTAGTGTCACAGAACGTTCCCTGCTCAGTAGGAAAAAACAGCACACCATCTTCTAAAGCAGCCTTCAGCAACCTGTTACCCTCTAGATGTTTTAAACTGCAGCTTCCATCATCTGCCAGGACACATGGCCAATGGTCAAGGATGTTGGGACTTGTAGTCCAAAACATCTAGAGCGCAGCAAGTTGGGTAAAGTTGTTCTAAAGATGTTGTTTGAAAAGGTTATGGGGGGGGGAGCCTATGTTGTACAGCTCTATTTTTTAAAAAGTATTTCCAGTACATCTCGCTAACTCTTGCTCTGTGGCTCTTATTTATTTATTTGACGTGCTTGTATCCTGCCTTAATAAGGAGAAATAATTAACATGCTTTGTGCTTCTGTACAACAGCTGCCCTTTCTCTATTTAGGATGGTCATTTCAATAGCCTTTCCATACCCCCAAAGCATTTTGCAGATTTCTTCCCGTGTAGCCATGAAACATTAGGTAAATAGGAGACTGCCACACAAAGCGCTGCTGAATTCTTTTTGAAAGCCCGAGTCTGCCACTGGTTGCTTTCTCTCACACGCTTGCCTCAGGCTCAGTTTCTTTTGCTGGAGGGGCAGAATGCTTCTGGTAGATTCTGGAATATGCATTTCCCCCCTTGTAGAGCTCAAGGTTCATTTGCTGGTATTCAATAATTTAAAAATATTTTTTAAAAATCTTTCACACATGTGGTATACACGCATGTCTCTGTATTTATGAATATGTTGTTTTCCTCCCCAAGCTGTTGGGGATCTTAAATCTGATTCTGGCTCTCTTTATGGCGGTGACTCCTTAGATAGACTTTCCCTCCCTCGACCTTTCATTTCCTGTCTCATCCTATCTTCTCTAAGTGCTGCAGTGACATTTCTTCCTGAATGTACCGACTGCCCCCTCAAACAGAACTTGGCAAAGATTAAGCTTCTTAACCTTTTCCTGCCATTACTGTGACCCCCTTAGAGATAACACTGTCATTTTGACTCTGTCCTCTGCCATCTCTCAGGCAAGCAGTTTTGGGGGCTACTCTTTTTGAGAACTGTGAGAAATGGGGTGCACAAAAGCAGGGTGGTGGGTATGCATTGGGGAAGGGGAGAGAAGGATAATTTGGGGAAACACTTGAGGTGGTTGCATCTGATATGGTACTAGGGTAAAGTGGTGCATTTGTTCCACTGGCAAAATATTTTGTGCCAGCAGAGCATCATTGTGTAAGACAATGCTCAAGCTGGTAACTTTGCCACGCAATAGATCGTATGATCTGTTGCACAACAAGTTTACATTAGTGCCCCTTCTCTGCCATATTCCTCTCTTGCACAAAATTAAAACTTGCCCTCTCACTGCTAGCACAAGATTCCTTGCGCTAGTGAACAGAGAACATTGCCTACAGTCCTTGGTTTACCAGGTCCCAGGTCGTCATGATGCACACACAACAATTTCAGAGCATGTTGCATTGTCTGGACTTGCGGGTGTGCAATTCAACACCATAGGGCTCTAAAACCTCCAACCAAATAGGGGATGCAAGGGGGGGAGGGAATAGTGTGACTCAACAACTTACAGATGTTGCTGGATTCAGGGTCACATCAGAGGTGATGGGAGCTTGCATCCAGCAACATCTGGAGGGCCAAAGGTTCCTCATCCCTGATGTACAGATTTATTTTAATCAATTATATTTTACTAAGTTTCAACATTTTCAACAGATAGCACAAATTTCGTCTCTTCTCTTAGTTTTGTCAGCTTCCCACACCTTTTTCCATGGAGTTTTTTCTCCCCTTGTGCTGTGCCCTATTTTCTGTCTTATCATAACCACAATATTATAATCTAATGACTTCTGTTTCTCATAGCTCAAATCCTGATTGTGAGTTCATCATACTAGAATATTTCATTAAATAGTCCCCCCCCCCAAATAATGCATCCATTCTTCCATAAAATACTCAGGGTGATGTGCAGATTTATTTGACAAACAGAAGCATGGGTAAACTCCAAATCGGTCAGAAAACCTGCCCCATTTGGAGTCCTTGAGCTGAGCTGTGCCTTCTTTCTCTGTTCAGGCCTGTGTCTCTTGCCACCTCTCTGCTGCCTTGCCCAGATGCAGCTGCAATAGCCTCTGTCCACTCAGCTTCCAGCTCTGCCTTTGGGGCCTAGCTGGTCTGGTCTGATCCAGGAAGGCTCTTCACGTTCATTCATGAATGCATCCATCCATTCATTCATTTCAACCATTTATACACCACCTAACACCAGAGTTTCTAAGAGCTGTGCGCGGGGGGTTACAGAAGCGAAAGAAAGCTAATAACCAGAATTTTTTTTAAAAAAGATGCTCATTTCAACACCTCACTGCAACTTGCAACACAGGGCGTAATATGGCTGTAATGGGGCGATGCCATGCCCTTGCTCAACACCACTTCCCCAGAAAAAATATGGAAGCAGGTTTCCTGATCAAGGGCCCGTTTTGAAACACTGCTGCGTCATTTAGAAACGCTTTTGAGAAATCTCTGCCAAAAACAACCTTCCAGGAAGGGGCGTGGGGGGGGCAGGGCGTGGGGGGGCAGACCACCCTGGGTGCGCCGCCCGCCCTCGATTCCCCAACCTCCCCCGAGCCACTGGGGTAAGGGGGGAGCTGTGCCGCTTTGCTGGCAGCATTCCCCCCTTCTCCCTTCATTTTGACAGCTTGGGGGAAGCTAGGGAGTTGTGGGTGCGCCGCATGCCAAATGTCCGCCATGGGCGGCTCGCTCTGCTCCCATGAGTGGGGGTTACTCTGCCCCCGGGTGCAGGGCACACGCGTTGCTCCAGGCACCTGAGCTGCTATCCTATGCCTGGGAGCACACCCTTTGCACCACACCCCCCTCAGGAGCGTGCCCACTCTGAGCAGTGCAGGCTTATGCTCTGCTGCTTCTTCCAGGAAAGACAGAAAGCAATGAGTTAGGACATGGGTGGAGAATCTTTGCTCTCTTCGTAGCAGTGGCAGACCTAGAATCATAGAATAGAATCATAGAGTTGGAAGAGACCACAAGGGCCATCGAGTCCAACCCCCTGCCAAGCAGGAAACACCATCAGAGCACTCCTGACATATGGTTGTCAAGCCTCTGCTTAAAGACCTCCAAAGAAGGAGACTCCACCACACTCCTTGGCAGCAAATTCCACTGTCAAACAGCTCTTACTGTCAGGAAGTTCTTCCTAATGTTTAGGTGGAATCTTCTTTCTTGTAGTTTGGATCCATTGCTCCGTGTCCGCTTCTCTGGAGCAGCAGAAAACAACCTTTCTCCCTCCTCTATGTGACATCCTTTTATATATTTGAACATGGCTATCATATCACCCCTTAACCTCCTCTTCTCCAGGCTAAACATGCCCAGCTCCCTTAGCCGTTCCTCATAAGGCATCGTTTCCAGGCCTTGGACCATTTTGGTTGCCCTCCTCTGGACACGTTCCAGTTTGTCAGTGTCCTTCTTGAACTGTGGTGCCCAGAACTGGACACAGTACTCCAGGTGAGGTCTGACCAGAGCAGAATACAGTGGCACTATTACTTCCCTTGATCTAGATGCTATACTCCTATTGATGCAGCCCAGAATTGCATTAGCTTTTTTAGCTGCCACGTCACACTGTTGGCTCATGTCAAGTTTGTTAAATTGAACTGATATTGGGGACTCCTTCGCAGCCAGCAGCAAGGATTGGGTAACCGCTGTTATTTTCTTCAATGGCATATCCTCCAACATTTCATCTCCAATGAAAATAGGGACGCCCCATTCCACAATGATAGTTTTACTGTTTATACCCGACACATCTGAATGGGTTGCCCCAGCCACTCTCGGCGGCTTCCAACATATATAAAAATATAATGAATCATTAAACAAAATTCCCTATACAGGATTGCCTTCAGACAGCTCAGGGGTCGGATAACGCCATATCACTCAACATTTCTCTGATGAAAATAGAGACATCCTACCATACCCTCCAACATTTTATTATCAATCAGAAACCAGGACATCCCTGGAAAATAGGGACACTTGGAGGGTCTGCAGTGGGGTTGTTCGACAACAGATCACCACATTTTTTATTAAAAAAAAAATAGTTACCACATCTCAGAGTTTGATTAAAATTGCTTTATTGGACGATATCACAAGTCACGGGTGTGAATAAAAATTTCCTATGCCTTGTAGTTTTTGGGTTATTGGGGGGGTGTGAAAATTAGGGAAAGGGAAATGTTCTATACACGCATGATGCACTTTTTGAAGCAAAATTTTTAAGCAGCGTGGACTAAATTTGCTTCTGGGACCTCTCTGGGATTAGGGGTCCTGAATTTTAAGCTTCATTAGTTTTTACTTCTGCTTCCTAGGACAATTGCATAAAATTTGGCTGAAGACCACAGGTTGGGATAGGACAGGCTTCCTCAGCCTCGGCCCTCCAGATGTTTTTGGCCTACAACTCCCATGATCCCTAGCTAGCAGGACCAGTGGTCAGGGATGATGGGAATTGTAGTCTCAAAAAACATTTGGAGGGCCGAGGTTGAGGAAGCCTGGGATAGGAGGTGCAAGTGTCTTATTTTGCTGTTCTGATTTTGTGGCTCTGTGTGTGTGTGTGTCTCCCTTTTTAATTGCTTCATTCTTTTTTGCAAACCACCCTGGGAATATAACTGACGGTTGTCACCTACTCCCAAATTTCCAAGCTGCAAGAAATTTCAGGAGTGCCAGAGCTTACCCAGGATTTTGTTCCCTTGGAATGAAGATCGGTGGCTCCTTTAGGATAGATTGTTTTCTTTGCACATATATACAACCTGAGCCATAGGATGGAGGGGCTCGCAGCATTAAAACTCCAACAGAGCTTTCTTCACCATTCGGTTTCCAGGGAAGCTTATTATTATTATTATTTTTTTTGAAATGATATTTATTCCAAATTTCAAATTACAAAAAAAGAAAAGAGTTAAAATAGAACAAAAACAGATTAAACCTTTACATAACCTTTTCCCTTTACTTATTTCCATGACCTCCTCTCACCTCCCAATTTTGTATTCTAGTTCAGATCGTATTTCCAGCAAATCCTTCTAACCTTATTTTCATTTGCGTATTTCAATTTAAAATAATGTAGTTAATCATCCTCTGTTTCATCAATTTCATCAACTCATTTTTGCTTAATCCTTTATATCATATCTACCAAAATGACCTAATTTTCTTTTTCCAACATCTTTCTAACAGTCTTTTTTATTACAATATTTTTGAAGATATATTTTGAATTTTTTCCAATCTTCTTCCATCGACCCTTCTCCCTGGTCTCGAATTCTGCCAGTCATCTCAGCCAGTTCCATGTTGGTTTCCAGGGAAGCTTAAAGGTAAAGGTAAAGGTACCCCTGCCCGTACGGGCCAGTCGTTTCCGACTCTAGGGTTGTGTGCTCATCTCACTCTATAGGCCGGGAGCCAGCACTGTCCGCAGACACTTCCGGGTCACGTGGCCAGCGTGACAAGCTGCATCTGGTGAGCCAGCGCAGCACACGGAACGCCGTTTACCTTCCTGCTGGTAAGCGGTCCCTATTTATCTACTTGCACCCGAAGGTGCTTTCGAACTGCTAGGTTGGCAGGCGCTGGGACCGAACGACGGGAGCGCACCCCGCCGCGGGGATTCGAACCACCGACCATGCGATCGTCAAGTCCTAGGCGCTGAGGTTTTACCCACAGCGCCACCCGCGTCCCCTCCAGGGAAGCTTAGGGTCTAGCAAAGACATGCCTCTGTGTCTCCAGCTTCCGACATCTGCCAAACTCACAGAAAAACTCTACAGTGGTACCTCGGGTTACATACGCTTCAGGTTACAGACTCTGCTAACCCAGAAATAGTACCTTGGGTTAAGAACTTTGCTCCAGGATGAGAACAGAAATCGTGCAGCGGTAGCGCAGCAGCAGCTGGAGGCCCCATTAGCTAAAGTGGTGCTTCAGGTTAAGTACAGTTTCAGGTTAAGAATGGAGCTCCGGAACGTATTAAGTACTTAACCCGAGGTACCACTGTATTTTACAAGGTGGTGTTGCATCCATCTAGTCGAGGGTTGGGGTTACCCTATTTGTCTCTATGGCAACAGAGTAGCCTCATTCTAATTAAATGGAAACATACTTAGCTGGCCACCTTAACAAAGGAACAGGTTGGGCTGGTTTCCTCTTACAGGTTTTACCCTCGCCAACACAAGATTGGAAAGGACCTGCAGTTATCTTCCAGAATGACCTCCCAAATCAGGTAATCTGAGGGAAAGCAGAGGTGTAGTGGTGAATTTTGAAATGCAGGGCCATGTTTCCACGGAGACTCCCCCCCCCCACAAATGCAACCTATAGCTATAGCCATAGATATAGATATAGCCATAGATGCATGTATACACACACACACGCACACCAGACAGCAGCAGTACATGACGTAATATCCAATTTATTAGGAACAGCATGACTGCAATCTTATAAACATAGTTTCCTGGGAGTACATTCCATTGAACTCAGCAGTGCATACTTCATAGCTTTATTTGTGAAACTCAATGAGCTTTAACAAAAGATCTTCAGTCAGCTGAAATGCCGCTTTTAACTTATAATTAGAAATGCAAACAGTCTGTCAATGAAATGTTATCATCTGATCTGCTAATGCGTTGGGGGGGCAATCTTTTCGGCCCCAAGGGTCACTTGCAGCAGTGGGTGCAACACACACACACACACACACACACACACACGTTTCTGTGATTTTAAGTCGTTCAAAACTGTTTTAAATATTGTGTAACACTGTGTTTTAATGTTAATATGGTGTTTTGATTGTTGTAACCTGCCCTGAGACTTTAGGGTGAAAGGTGACTAATAAATTGTAATACAACAACAACAACAACAACAACAACTCAACAACCCTCATTCACACATGCATACAGATGCACAAACATGGAGAGACAGACAGATAGGGATGTTCGTCTCAGCATGCCAATCTCACCATTAAAACCAAACACTCCAAGCATACCAAAGAGCTATACAGTGGGCTGTTGGTGCACAATTTAAATCGAGAGAGAGAAAGAGAGAGGCATAAAGGAGTGGCCCTCTCTACACTTCTGTTTCTCCATCAAAATCACATCTGTGGTGGGTTGGAGAGCACGGGTCTCATGGAGATACAGATGTGTAGGGCCAGGGCTGGCCCAAGACATATTGGCACCCATCGGCTCCAGCTCCCAGGGGCCAATGAAGTTTTGGCCCCCCAATGTAGTTTTTGAGGGGGCCAGGCACCCTTGTTAGAAGGTGTTTGGCTCTGCCTCTTAGCTCCTTGCAACGTTGTGCACGTGACATCAGGACGTCGCATCGGGGCCCCTCAATCAGCTAGAGAAGATGGCACCTCTGTTGGCACTTGAGGAACACCACAAAATGGTTCCTCTCTTCCCCACCAGGAAAGAAGGGGTTAGTGAAGATCTACATGAGGAACAATGGGGGAATGAAGATCTACATTAAGATGTGGACTGTCCCTATGGATCCTGCCACCTGAGGCAACCACCTCCCTTTGCCTCATGGGTGGGCTGTCCCTGTGCAGGGCAAGTCATCTTGATGTGTCTACCCCTTCCTTATTATGCAAAAGACCCTTTGTTCTCAGTCCTGCATTTAGCAGGGACAGTGGTCTTTTCTGGATTGAGAACACCAGAAGGGAGGCTAAAGCCCAATGTAGACATGTTATTTGATAAAGGAGAATTTTATGAAAATGATTTACAGGTGGTACCTGACCCCGGTTAAATTGGCTAAAATATACACAAATAATAAGAGTACATGTTGGAGGTGTAATCAGGGGGAAGGAACCCTATTCCACATGTGGTGGACATGTCCCAAAATTTAAAAATTCTGGGACATGATCTATGAAGAATTAAAGAAAATCCTCAAAAAAACATTCAGTAAAAGACCAGAGGCATTCTTGCTGGGCATTTTAACAATAAACATCCCTAGAATTAAAAAAAGTGTTTTTCTGTATGCAACAATTGCGGCTAGAGCAGAAGAAGAGCAGATCCCAACTAAAATAGAGTGGCAAAAAAAATTATGTGAATGTGCTGAACTAGCCAAGATGACTGAAGCAATAAGAAATCACTCAAACTTAAGAGTGAAAAATGAATGGGATTGTTTTAAAAATTATATGCTTGAACATGGTTCCCAAATCCAAACTTGGGTGTGTTTAGAGTAAATTTCACAGAATGAAAATTAATTGGAGGAGTTATTCTAGAATCTAGATAAATGATTAAATATATATTGGAACACAGTATAAAGAAAAGGAAATAAAAAGAGGAGAAGAAGCTGTTACGAGGTAGATGGAAGTTAAGCATTATAGAGAAACGGATGAATATGAATATGTAATGAAATAAAAACAGATTATAAATATAATTGTAAAGAGAAAAGATGGTGTGTAAGATGTGTAAAGTTTTAAATTGCAATGAAAAAATTATTTTTTTATTTTTTAAAAAAGAGTGATGCAATCAACGTTAGTCATGATACAGAGAAAAAGCCTCCATTTTCTTCCTAATTATGAATCATGCTACAGGTCCCATTGCTGTTATCCTGTTGGCGACATATGCCCAGTTTAGGAAGAAGATTGCCTGAGGGAAAAAATTTTGGTTAAGACCGTCTGGTATATTCCTTATTATAGGATGAAACTCATTGAACCAGACTCAGTTCATGACATAAAGGAAATTGGGCTGAGGACTTAGTTCATATGAATGCCCACACCAACCCCCCGTCCCCCACACCACTGGGTCTTCTAAGACTTGAAAGGAAATTCTGCAGAATTTCAGAACATGTTGGACAGTGGGAAGATTTTGGGAGGACTGGCAATGGGGGGGCACTTAGCCTCCTTGGATGAACCATAATCCTCAGGCTCACAGATTTCATTTTGTTAAAGAGTAAGTTTCTAGCATTTGTAGAACCTGAGACATGAGACAGAAAAGGTACAGCATGACTAAGCCGCTTCTGGCAAAACCAAAGAAGCGCACAGAAATGCCATTTACCTTCCCGCCGGAGCGGTACCTATTTATCTACTTGCACTTTGACGTGCTTTCGAACTGCTAGGTTGGCAGGAGCTGGGACCAAGCAACGGGAGCTCACTCTGTTGTGGGGATTCGAATCGCCAACCTTCTGATCGGCAAGCCCAAGAGGCTCAGTGGTTTAGACCACAGGCTCACCCTATTCATACCCAAATGTGCCCTTAAGGCAGGATTTGTGAGCACAGAGACAATGTGTCTCCGTTTCCATCCAAACCGCAGAGGAATATTTGAGGTCACTGAAAGAGTCAAAATGGCTTTAGGACTGTTTTCCTGTACTGTTTCAGACATGTGGTTTATGTATTTATGTATGTGTTTGCCTGGTACATTTATGAACATTTATTTTATATTTTAGACCTTATAATTCTCATAACAGTCTATATTATTACATGCACACAATAGACTCCTTGGGGAAGGGCCATGGCTCAGTGGTAGAGAAACAGGCTTTGTATTTATGGATGAAGTGCGGCATACAAATTTAATAAATAATAATAAGATTGGGACGCGGGTGGCACTGTGGGTTAAACCACAGAGCCTAGGACTTGCCGATCAGAAGGTCGGCGGTTCGAATCCCTGCGACGGGGTGAGCTCCCGTTCCTCGGTCCCTACTCCTGCCAACCTAGCAGTTCGAAAGCACGTCAAAGTGCAAGTAGATAAATAGGTACCGCTCTGGTGGGAAGGTAAACAGCGTTTCCATGCGCTGCTCTGGTTCGCCAGAAGTGGCTTAGTCATGCTGGCCACATGACCCGGAAGCTGTACGCCGGCTCCCTCGGCCAATAAAGCGAGATGAGCGCTGCAACCCCAGAGTCGGCCACGACTGGACCTAATGGTCAGGGGTCCCTTTACCTTTAATAAGATTATTTCAAAACGATGGTAAATCCTTGTTTTAGGAGTACTTCTAGAACAGCAGGTCTAAATGACACAGACTCCACACCATGGTATCTGGATAAATAGCTCACTGACCATGTAAGAGTTTTCAAAACTATTTGGGCAAAGATGGGCAGCTCAACAAGAACACGTGGCAGGAAAATTATATGGAGCACTCAAATGTTAATGAGTTTCTTCCAAGCAAAAGGTTATAATTTCATCCCTGCTGTGCTTGACGTTTTTAAGGTTAAACCTTCAGTTCAATAATTTTATGGGATTCAGATTTGGGCTGGAGCCAATTCATGCCCACTGGAAGTTGTACAGTCTGAATTCTTCAGGCAAATTTTCCCTGAACCAGGATATGTTTTGAATGCATCTTTATGATTTGACACAGATCTCCCCTCCATGTTCATCCAGGCCTGGCTCAGGACATTTAAAGATAGATACTGAATGGCTTCCTTCCTTTATTTCTGCTTCATTTGCATGAAATCAGCTGGATGAAAGCCATCGGTTTAAGATGACGCCCTTTGGACTTTTCACTATAACAGTTAACTAAACTGAGGTCTCAACGAAGCAAAAGATGTAAGGAGACAATGCCTATTTGATAATGAACAACAACCAGCCTGCAATGAGAAAACTGTGCCCCTGGTATGACTGTTTTCCAACTTCTCCATACAATGGCATCTTATCTACAGCATCTAACTATTCTAAAATATTGAAGAGCTCTCAGGTTCGCGGTTTTAATGTGCCGCTCTCAGCAGTACTTGAGGGCTGTTTTAAGAGAACTCCTTTTCAGAATCACATGTGTTCATGCAGAGATGGTAATACTGAAATACCAGCTCCTGTATTGCTGTTTTGCTCCTTTTGCAGAGATTTGTGTGGAGAGTTAATCACCCCATTATCATCATCTCACCCGTGGTGTTCAGCTGATTCTTTATGTGACTTTTCTCCTTGCAGATCCAGATAAGCCGGTGACTGCAAAGACTGCAAATTTTCTAGCGGCAGCTGTTAAAATAAGGGCCACAATGATGCTCTCTGAGTTTTAATGTGTGTAATTTTTAATTTAATGTTGCAGATGAATTTGCCTATTTGGGCTCATCTATGTCACTTTGCACACAAATCGCAATGGCTGGGGGCTGGATGGAAATGCCTTTGAAAAAGCAAAGTGAAATCAGACAGATTTATCTAGTTCGGCAGGGGGCAATTTTAATCAAGACCAGGCTGGGTGGGGGGTTAAATTCTCCTCTCTATGTGCCACCATCCCATACCCTGATCATGTTCCCCTGCTCCACAGTCACTATTTAAGAAGAACTGAAATCTTGACATATTCAGTGTAATTATGCATTAAACATCACATCTCCTAGGGTTGCCATATGTCAGGAATTTATTGGACATAGCCGGAATACTGCAATTGGAAGCAGTGTCTGGGCAGAAATTGCTCAAAATGTCCAAGAAAATTTGGATGTATGGTAACCCGTGTTGGCAGTGTCGTTTCTAGCGAATTCCCCTAAAAATTGCATTTTTGCCAAAAAAGTTCAACAACAACAACAACAACAAAACTTTTGTCTTCGGATTTTTTTTTTTAAATGATATTTATTAAAATTTCAAAGAATACAAGAATTACACAAAAACAAAGAATAAAAATACAAGAAAATACAAAATACAGAAAAAAGAATAAAAAAACCCTTATTAAGGTATAACAAAGAAATGAAAAATAAAAAGAAACATACAAAATAAAAACAGTTAAAAGCACATTAATTTTCCATAGCATATCTTCCTTACACTTATTTTCCCGGACCTCCTCGTACCTCCCTTTTTTGTATTCCAGTTCAGTTTGTTAGTTCAGCAAATCCTTATCATTAAGCTTTTACCCATTTGTAAACCTTTTTTCGTATCTCTTAAAGCATTACAGCTGGAAACCACTTAGTTTCTATCCAACATCCTTCTAAGATTCATTAATTTTACAATATTTCTGTAAATAGTCTTTAAATTTCTTCCAGTCTTCTTTCACCGACTCTTCTCCCTGGTCTCGGATTCTGCCAGTCATTTCTGCCAATTCCATGTAGTCAATCACCTTCATCTGCCATTCTTCCAGAGTGGGTAGATCTTGTGTCTTCCAATACTTTGCAATGAGTATTCTTGCTGCTGTTGTAGCATACATAAAAAAGTTCTGTCCTTCTTTGGCACCAATTGGCCGACAATGCCCAGAAGAAAGGCCTCTGGTTTCTTCAGGAAGGTATATTTAAATACCTTTTTCAATTCATTATATATCATTTCCCAGAAAGCCTTAATCTTTGGGCATGTCCACCAAAGGTGAAAGAATGTACCTTCAGTTTCTTTACATTTCCAGCATTTATTATCGGGCAAATGATAGATTTTTGCAAGCTTGACTGGGGTCATGTACCACCTGTATATCATTTTCATAATATTCTCTCTTAAGGCATTACATGCCGTAAACTTCATACCTGTGGTCCATAACTGTTCCCAGTCAGCAAACATAATATTATGTCCAACATCTTGTGCCCATTTAATCATAGCAGATTTCACCGTTTCATCCTGAGTATTCCATTTCAACAGCAAGTTATACATTCTTGACAGATTCTTAGTTTTGGGTTCTAGCAGTTCTGTTTCTAATTTTGACTTTTCCACCTGGAAGCCAATTTTCTTATCCAAATTATATGCCTCCATTATCTGATAGTAATGAAGCCAATCTCTCACTTTGTTTTTAGTTTTTCGAAACTCTGCAATCTCAATTTATCTCCTTCTTGTTCCAAAATTTCCCAATATGTCGGCCATTTGGCCTCCATATTGAGCCTTTTCAGAGCTTTTGCTTCCATTGGTGACAGCCACCTTGGGGTTTTATTTTCCAATAAATCTTTATATCTTATCCAGACATTAAACAATGCTTTCCTGACAATATGATTTTTGAATGCTTTGTGTGCTTTGACCTTATCATACCATAAATATGCATGCCATCCAAATACATTGTTAAAACCTTCTAAATCCAAAATGTCTGTGTTTTCAAGAAGTAGCCATTCTTTCAACCAGCAAAAAGCTGCTGATTCATAATAAAGTTTAAAGTCTGGCAGGGCAAATCCACCCCTTTCCTTTGCATCTGTTAGTATCTTAAATTTTATTCTGGGCTTCTTGCCCTGCCAGACAAATCTAGAAATATCTCTCTGCCACTTCTTAAAACAGTCCATCTTGTCCACAATTTGCAATGTCTGAAATAAAAACAACATTCTCGGCAATACATTCATTTTTATCACAGCAATGCGGCCCAACAATGAAAGTTTCAAATTTGACCAAATTTCTAAGTCTTTTTTCACTTCCGTCCAACATTTTTCATAATTATCTTTAAATAAGTTCCCATTTTTGGCTGTCATATTAATCCCCAAGTATTTCACTTTCTTTACCACCGTCAATCCTGTCTCATTCTGAAACCTATCTCTTTCAATCGGTGTTAAATTTTTCTCTAAAACCTTAGTTTTTAACTTGTTCAATTTAAAACCTGCCACTTGACCAAATTCTTGAATTAATTCTAAAACCCTTTTAGTACTAGATTCTGGCTCCTGTAACGTCAATACTAAGTCATCTGCAAATGCTCTCAGTTTGTACTGTTTGGCTCCGACCTGTATACCTTTAACCAACCGGTCCCTTCTAATCATGTTTAGCAAAACCTCCAGGACCGATATAAAAAGCAGTGGGGAGATTGGGCACCCCTGTCGTGTCCCTTTTTCTATCTTAAATTCTTCCGTGACCACATTATTTACAATTAATTTGGCCTTTTGTTCAGAATATATTGCACCTATACCATTTTCAAAACCTTGGCCTACCCCCATCCCATGTAGGTTCTTCTTCATAAAACTCCAAGAGATATTGTCAAAAGCTTTCTCCGCGTCCACAAATATCAAAACTGCTTTAGTGTTTATATTCACTTCTAATTTTTCCAAAATATCAATTATATTCCTCAAGTTATCAGACAAGTGTCTTCCCGGGAGAAAGCCCGCTTGGTCTTTATGGATCTCTTCCATCAATACTATTTTCAATCTCTTGGCCAAAATATCTGCAAAAATTTTGTAATCCACATTAAGTAACGATATAGGGCGGTAGTTCTTAAGCTGGGTCTTTTCAGACTCTGTTTTCGGTATAAGTGTAATATATGCCTCTTTCCACGATTCTGGCGCCCTTTTCCCTTCCAATATTTCATTGCAGACTTCCTTCAAAGGTTGCAATAACCACTCTTTCAAAGATCTGTAGTATCTAGAAGTCAGCCCATCCGGTCCTGGAGATTTGCCCAGTTGCATATTTTGTATGGCACCTTGTACTTCCTGTTCAGATATTTTATAGTTCAACATTAATTTACTTTCTTGAGAGATTTTTTGTAATCCATTTGTCTTCAAAAATTGGTCTATGTCCATTTCTTTCTGTGGCCCTTGTGTGTATAATTGTTTAAAGTACCTCTGGAAGCAATTTCTAATCTAAATTGGGTTATGTATACTCTTTCCTTCCACTTCTAAGTTTGTAATGGTATTTAATTTTTGTCTTTTTTTCATTTGCCAGGCCAACAATTTCCCACATTTGTTAGCTGATTCAAATGTTTTTTGTCTCATTTGTTTAATTTTCCATTCTATTTCCTGATTCATCATTTCCATATATTGTACTTGATACAATTTTATTTCTCTCAAAATCTCCTGGGACTTTGGTTTTGCTCTCAATTTCTTCTCACCTTCTTTTATTTTCTCCAAAATTTTATCTTTCTTCTCATTTTGACTTCTCTTCTTTATTGCATTCTGTTGTATCAGAAACCCTCTCATGACAGCTTTGCTTGCGTCCCAGATTACTCTTTTTTCTACGCTGGTATTCATATTTATTTCAAAGTAGTCTCTCAAAGTTTTTTTGGGGCCTTTTTATACACTTCTTCATCTCTAAATAAGGTGTCATTCATCCTCCATCTGAAGGATCCGGTTGTTATTTGTTTCATCTCCATCCTTACAGCGTTATGGTCAGAGCAGGTTTTTGGGCAGATTTCTACTTTCTTTATCTTTGGTGCCATTCCTCTAGTTATCCATATTTGGTCAATTCTAGTCCATGTCATCTTGGCTTCAGAAAAGAAGGTTCCCTCTCTTCCCAGGGGGTTCTTTACTCTCCAGATGTCCACTAAGTCCATGTTGTCTGTCATCTCAAAGAATGTTTTCGGTAATCTACCATCCTTGGTAACTACCTGTCTTTGTGCCTTGTCCATATTTGTAGATACTACTCCATTCATGTCCCCCTTCAAGATCAAATTGTAATCCAAATAATCCAGTAAAATCTCATGCAACTTTTTATAGAATTCAGATTTCCCCTCATTCGGTGCATAAATTCCTACAATCAAAAATTTCTCTCCTTGTACTTGAATTTCAATTGCCAAAAATCTTCCTTGGTCGTCTTTAAAGATAAATTTCGGTGATAGTCTCTCCTTTGCATAAATCACAACTCCTCTTTTTTTTACTTTGTCAGATGAAACAAACTCCTGTCCCAATCTTTTATTAATCAGTAACTTCCTATGTGCCCTTGTTATATGTGTTTCTTGTAAACAAATCAAGTCCAATTGTTCTTTTTTATCTTTTTTATGTTCTGTTATCAACACCACGCTCTAACCAAATGAGGACAGGTTAAAAAGACATTTTCCAGGCTGTTCAGAATATACACCTATTGCCAAAACACTTGGGAATGTATCTGCCACAAGGAGAGGCTTGGCCCCCCTGCCCCAGATCCATTTGAGACAAATCCTGCATCACTGATGCTCAAACAACCATCCCCAGTGACCCATTGCTTGCCCAACCCGTCATCATGTATTTCACTATTCATGGCCCATCGGCTTTGCAAAACTGATTGCAAAGCATAACCACTTCTGCTTTTTGCAGGTATTTATTTCTGGCAAACCTTCTCCCTGGCATTGCTATTCTGATCAGAGAGCAGGTCAGGTTCATTGGCAGAAGGACTCCTGGCGAGGGTTTGGGTGAACACTACAGCCATTGTAAGCAGGTAAGAATATTTTTCTTCTTGTTGAATACAAAATTCTGCCAAAACATAAGAAGCTTTAGAAACCATCGTTTTCAGAGGGCTGAGACCAAAAGGACTTTGGAAGTGCATAATGTTGGCTGTGTTTAACTCTCATTGAATTTGCTTTCTTATTCCTACATCATTTCTTTTCTTAATTAGTGGTGGCTCTTCAGCTTAGTCAGGTGGGATATCTCAGCGCTTAAGCCTGTTAGTTGTTTTGGAATTTCCTGGTTATATGACAAGCAATTTCATAATGTCGCAAAAGAGGCCTGTCTTGTTGTATGACGCTCCTGCCCTCTCACTAGAGGGAATCCTATTGAATGATATTTTCATTTTGACTCATGCCCTTGCTGTTAGTATATGCAAGGTTTATAAATCACACAGGATTCTGTACCACAGATAATGCTGAAGAGTTTTGTGTAACTGACCCCCACCTCTACCCCACCTGTAAGAATAGGAAGGGTGCATATCTATTTTGATTAATAGTACTGAAACAGGATTAGAGACAGATCTAATTTTGGGGGGAAAACTCAGGTGGCAGTTTTGAAAGCTCTCACATGTATAATTGCAGAACTTTTGAAATCTCTCACATGTATAATTGCAGAACTTTGAAATGCCCATGAAGAACTTTATGTTCTAGGAAGAGTGTTGTGTGGTTTGAGTTGGCTGTATGGCATTTACAGTACAACCCAAGCAGGGTTACTCAACTTCCGTTTAATGAGACTTAAGTCTACGATCCATTCACATTTCCCTAGGCGCATGTCCCCACAAACCCACAAAGGTTTACTGTTCCTCATAGATATGCACAGGATGCTGTGGGTTGTATCTGACAATAGCCCTACTCAGATAAGACCCTGGAGTCAAAGGGTTCAAATCTATTAATTCTGATCAGCTTACTCTGAGTAGGACCAACAAGGGATACAATGTTGTGTACGGAATTGCTGCACAACAGGGAAATGAATGGTAAGGAGAGGAATTTGAATGGGCAAATTAAGCTTGCTTTATGAGAAGGCATTTTGGGGTGTTTGTCTTAGTAACCTATCACTCTGGTTCCTCTCTGCTTTCCTGTATAACATGGTGGTCACCAGTGAGTCTTTATAATGAAAAAATAAAGGGAAGAGAGAGAGAGAGAGAGAGAGGAATTATGGGAGTTCCCAGACTGGTTATTTATTGGACACTCAGGCTATGCTTGCCCAGAGCTTGCATGTTGCTGGAGGTTCTGTGACATCACCAGTTTACAGAGCATTGATCCTGATCTGTCCGGGCAACAGTTACATGGCATGGCCAGCTAAAGTTTGTCAACCTGCACCTTCCAGTTTCAATTACCCATCACTTTTCTATGGGACTTTTGTGCTGTTTGTATGCACCATATTTGGTCGTTATCCCATGTTTTCTAGCGCAATGATTCCTTCGCTTTTCTCATCACAAAAAGGCGAAGGAATATTTGCAATGGAGAATGTGGGATAATGACCACATATGATGCACACAAACAGCCCATCTGCAAGTGCCCTTTGACTAGGAATGTTGACATTCCTTCACCTGACCCCCGGGGCATCTAATAGTGGCTGCCTGCTCTGTGACTGCATTGGGGGCGCTTTAGTATTACAAAACCCAAAAAGTCAGGGCAAGAAGAAAATATTGGTTTATAAAACTATATGTGCTGTGGAGAAAGTGACTAGAGAATTTTTCTTTTCATCCTCTCTTGCCAATGCTAGAACTCAGGGCCATCTAAAGAAGCTGTACCTTGAGAAATTCTGGACGGACAAAAGGTTCCTCACAATGCACATAGTTAAACTATGAGGTTCGCTACCCCAAGATGTGGTGATGATCACCAGCTTCAATGGCTTTAAACGGTGCTTTTTTCTGGGGGGACGCAGGGGGACGCGTACCCCTAAACATTTTGTGAATCTAACAAGAGAAAAAACTTTTTTAAAAAAAACCACACCAAAAACGTTTCTTCTCTAGAACGGTGAATTGTCAGTTCTGTTGTTACCCCGATGCATGTTCTTTGTACTTCTGTCCATTTACTGTATTTATTTCCCCCGATTTGAACTATATCATTCTAATTTTCTTGAGTCAAAATGAGAGTACCCCTCAACATTTTTTAAAGAAAAAAACAAACCACTGGCTTTAAAAGTGAAATGGACAAATTTATGGATAAGCCTATCAGTGGCTGCTAGGCATGTTGTCAGTTTGTATCTGGACCCAGTTGAAGCTCCACACGTTCGTGTTTAAAGCCCTTCATGACTTTGACCTGAAAGACTTCTTCCTTCCCTACAGACCCTCTTAGCTCTGAAGAGCAAGGAAGGGAGCCATCTTGGTTGTTCCACCATCCTCAGAAGCTCAGGGTGGTGGTGGCCCAGGAGAGGGCATTTTTGGTGGTGGCCCCTAAGTTGTGAAACTCCCTCCCCAGAGCTGCCTCTGGCACCTTCATTATTACAGCTTTCTTCAAATGCTGAAGAGGCCCCTGTTTACCCTGGCTTTTGACATCTGAGGTGTATATTTCTAGGATCCACCTTATTTCTGAGTTTTAAGTGGATTAAAAACTGTTTTTAATCTTGTGTTTTAAGGCTGCAACTTACCCTTGAATGCCGGTTGTTGGAGAGCAACAGTGGGCGTCGGCATTTGCACTCACATCCTGCTTATGGGTTTGGCAACGGCATCTGGGTGGGCACTGTGAGAAACAGGAAGGTGGAGAAGCATCCACTGGTCTGATCCAGAGTATGACTCAGTGATTTCTCCACCACTTTCAATCACTTCCTATCACGTACAGCCACAGAAGAGCATTGGGTGCGCTTTAGGTCAATTTCTCCAGTAGGAACTACTTGGTGTGGTTCAGATGTTGTAATATTTAGTTCTCTCAGTTCAATAATGCATACACTCCAACATTTATCTGATGAAAATAGGGACATCCTTAATAATAATGATAACAACAACAACAACATACCTTGGTTTTTGGACGTCTCCACTGCCAAACGTTTCGGTTTTCAAACGCCAAAAACCTGGAAGTAAATGCTTCCATTTTTGAACTTGCCTTGGAAGTCGAACGGCTTCCGCTGCGTATATCAGTTGTTTTTCACAATTCTATCTATTGAATTGGCAGACCGCACCTCAGTTTTCGAACGCTTTGGAAATCAGTCTTCTGGAATGGATTATGTTCGAAAACTGAGGTACCACTGTACTTTTATTATTTATCCCTCATCTACAGTGGTACCTCTGGTTACATACTTAATTCATTCCAGAGGTCTGTTCTTAACCTGAAACTGTTCTTAACCTGAGGTACCACTTTAGCTAATGGGGCCTCCTGCTGCCACTGCACTGCCGGAGCACGATTTCTTTTCTCATCCTGAAGCAAAGTTCTTAACCCGAGGTACTATTTCTGGGTTAGTGGAGTCTGTAAACTGAAGCGTATATAACCTGAAGCGTATGTAACACGAGGTACCACTGTATATGACTGGTTGTTTATTGATGACACATGATATGTTTGCCCAGCGCTTGCATATTGCTGGAGGTTCTATGACATCACCAGTTTACAGAGCATTGATCCTGATACGTCCGGGCAACAGTCACATGGCATTGCCAGCTAAAGGTTGTCATCCTGCACTTTCCAGTTTCAATTACCCATCACTTTTCCATGGGACTTTTGTGCTGTTTGTATGCACCATATCTGGTCATTATCCCATGTTTTCTAACACAACGATTCCTTCACTTTTCTGATCACAAAAAGGCGAAGGTATCTTTGCAATGGAAAATGTGGGATAACAACCAAATATGATGCACACAGACAGCCCATCTGCAAGTGCCCAGTGACTAGGAATGTTGACATTCCTTCATCTGACTCCCAGGGGCATCTAATAGTGGCAGCCTGCTTTGTGACTTTGTAAATACTACTACTACTACTACTACAGTGGTACCTTGGTTCTCATAATTAATCTGTTCTGCAAATCCATTCCAAAATCAAAGCATTCTAAAACCAAGGTGTGCTTTCCCATAGAAAGTAATGCAGAATGGATTAATCCGTTCCAGACTTTTAAAAACAACCCCTAAAACAGCAATTTAACATGAATTTTATGATCTAATGAGACCATTAATCCATAAAATGAAAGCAATAATCAATGTACTATAGTATAAAATAAATAAGACAGTCTTGTAGATGATAAAAATTAAAATTACTTTTTTTTCTTACCTGCACTGATGACAGTCATTGTTTGGACGGGGGGCTTTTCTCCATTTCCACATACAATTAATCAATCAGTAGCTGAACTGGGTTCCACACAGTCATAAAAACAAATTAACTGAAAAAGCCTCAAAAACAAAAACACAAAATAAATAGCAAAAACAAAAGCGCCAAACTTAATCCGTTCCGGAAGTCAGTTTGACTTCCAAAATGATCGAAAACCAAGGCACAGCTTCTGATTGGTGAAGGTGCCCCAGAAACAATAGCCGACAGCCACATTGGATATTCAACTTCCAAAAAACATTTGAAAACCAGAACCAAGGTGTTTGAGTACCAAGGTGTTTGAGAACCAAGGTACCACTGTAATAATAATAATAATAATAATAATAATAATAATAATAATAACAATTCTGTAATTTATCCCTCATCTAACGGACTGGGTTGCCAATGAGGCTTTTATTGGGTTATTGTAATTGAAAGCTAATAAAAATTATTATACGAAAATGGGATCACGTATGACTGTCCAGAGAGCACAATGAGCACAAATCATCATAAATGCACGGGGGGGGGGGGGGAGGATGTCTGGAGGGGCCCTGAAAAAAATACGCTCCTCATTGTCTTCTGAAATATGAACCAGACAAGTTATTTGTGTGTTGGGTATTTAAATCTTTCAAATAAATGAGTCAATACTTCAATGTGGCAGCACCTAGGCTTTGGCACTCCATGCCTGATAGAATCATAAAATACTAGAGTTCGAAGGGACCCTGAGGGTCATCTAGTCCAACCCCCTGCAATGCAGGAATCTTGACTAAAGCATTCAGGACAGATGGCCATCTGACTTCTGCTTAAAGACCTCCAAGGATAGAGAGTCTACAACCTCTCCGGGGAAGTCTGTTCCACTGTCCAAAAGCTCTTACTTAGGGCTGGCAACCTCTGGTATTAGATGCCCACTAAAACCTTTGTTGTTGTTGCAGCAAGTCTATCCAGACTCATAATTATAAGTTACACATCTTCGTTTTTAACTTTTTGCTCACACCATCCATGTAATGTTCATAACTATGTTATATTACTTTCTCCACACTCCTTAGATATCATCATCATCATTAAGTGCTTTATATTTTTCTATGTAGAAATAAAATCATTAAAACAGGCTGAGAGTGGCATAGTTCCCAAATTATTCGAAAGCAGACCCATTCTTTCTGAATTCACTTTTCCTGCTTGTTCTTTCAGTTTCTTGGGCTCCTTTCCAGCAGAGGGACAAAGAGCGTTTGGAAGGAGACGCAAGATGAGTTATCTCCTTGGAGCCTTCATTTTCGGACTGCTTTCAACCTGCCTGCAATGGGAAGGTAAAGAGAAGACTGAAAGGGCAGAGCTATGGGGACAACGCAGGGGGCTCATCCATGCTTCCTCTAGTCCCGCTTCTTCTTGCCAGGAAAAACTGCTCTTTAGCGTTCAATTGGAGCATATGGCAATTCGAGTTTTATCTGGATTGATGTTTGCTCCCATTTAGCACTAAAGAGTGGAGAAGGAGCAGGGCAAGTGGAAATGTGGATAAACCCAGAGTCTACACCCTGAAATATCCAGTCTTTTCCAGTAATGGGGGACAGGGAGGAGTGGGTGTTCTGGAAGAGGCTGATGGAGTTTCTTATTGTCTCCTCCACACAGGTGCTCAGTGCCTTCCAGGGTACAACCTGACGGTCCCTCCTGAAGTGAGAGTACAGGAGGGGTTCTGTGTCGTCATCCCCTGCAAATTCACTTACCCAGCATCGACTGACACCAGTGGTGTTGAATTGCATGGATATTGGTATACCGTAGGCAGCAGCACTTCCGATTATGCAGTGGCCAGCAATGATAGGAGGAAATATATAGAATACTTCGCTCGCACTCGCTTCCTTCTGTCAGGGGACTTGGAACAAGGAGACTGTTCCCTCACCATCAACGATGCCCGCAAAAGCTCCGATGAAAGAGCATACTATTTCAGAATAGAGAAAGGCACAATAAGATTTAGCTACTCAGATTTACCTACATTAGTGAAAGTGGCAGGTGAGTGGCTGGAAGGATGCCCGGCTCTCTGCTGTCTGTCTGTCTCTCTGCCCCTGAGCCTTTGGGTGAAGGAACCTGTCTCAGCACTCTTGCCCTCACCGCCAACACGGCTAGAGCGACCTCGCCCTGCCTCGGAGCCAAGCAAGGCTGTAGTGCCTGCCCATTCATGCAGGCGGAGCCCAGCCAGATGAACTGGCACTTGTCGGGTGCAAAGAAGGTGTCTGGCACCCCCAGTGTGGCCCAGCGCTGTGCTCCTCTCTGCAAGCATTGGTATCACCTACGCTGGGAGAGAAGCACCAGGAAATTAAAACCTTCTGTGTATGAACCAACACATCTACCTGTGCTTAAAGCCCCCCAATTAATCTAACCCGTTAAGACAGCTTGGGAAAACACTTGGCTTTGCAAGAATTTTCTGTATTTCTTCCAGAGTACTGGAAAAAGCCCTTGAGATTCTGAGCATTGTTTGCTGTTATACAGTTGTACCTTGGTTCTGGAATGCCTTGTGACTCGGACGTTTTGGCTCCCAAATGCCGCAAACCTGGAAGTGAGTGTTCTGGTTTGCAAACGTTCTTTGGAACCTGAACGTCCGATGCAGCTTCTGAACGTTTTGGAAGTCGAACAGACTTCCGGAACGGATTCTGTTCGACTTCCGAGGTACCACTGTATTCTAATGGATCATGGAATATTGCTTTATTTGATATAAGTTAGAGTTGCCATACGTCCAGGATTTGGTCATCGGAAACAGTGCCCAGGTGGAAATCACTGGAACGTCTGGGAAAATCTGGATGTATGGCAAGCAGTGTTGGAAGTGTATATTTTGTTGAATTTTCATAAAAATAGCTCAACAACTTTGACAAAGTTTCACTTCCTGAAATATGGCAACCCTAATAAAAGTTGTTAGTTTTAAAGTTATGTTCTTATTATGACTTTTTCCATTGGATCAGATTATTATGTGTGTGATCTTTGCGGTCTACTTTGTTGTTTCTTCAGCTTGTAAACTGCCTTGCGTATAGTAATATAGAAAGTATATGAATTAAAAATGAAAATGAAATGGAACAGAGAGCTCACACCCACTTCTGTCTTTCCCATGCCTGGAAAGCATGTATCTGAGTGGTTTTCTGCTTGTTCCATATTTTCTAGGAGGGCTCTGAGTGGCTTTGCCTTGACCCCACCACTCCGCCCCAGAAAGCATGCTCTTCTGCATTAAATCAGAACAAAGGGCAATCTGGGGGCAACCTGCTTGCCATTTGTTCTGAATCAGTGCTAAATAGTGGGTTTTCCTGGGAGAAAGTGGTGGGGAAAACGCAAGTGTGGATGAGCTCAAATGCTCACTGAAAAAAGACTGACTCTCCATGTTGGTGCATCCCTCAGCCCATTCTTCTGCCCATGGAATTAGCAAAGCTCCTTTCCCCACTCATCACTTATCAGCCCCCATTTCCATGCCCCTTTTCTTGCTCAAAATACTCTGCATTGCCATAAAAGTGCTCTGAATTCCAGAGCTGTGCAGATAAGGATGCATGTCAAGTCTCCAACAGAACTATTATAGCAAAGGATCATGGCTTTAAAGAGCAACAACAAATTATCAGAAACCCATTATCTCTTTTTCTGAAGTGACGCCAATGGCCATCACAAATATAAGGCTGGTTGAGGTTGCGATATACTTATGCATCTTCTTTCCCATAAATCCAGAGAAACCTGAAATACAGATACCGGGAAAGCTTCGGGCAGGACATCCAGTGAATATCAGTTGTACAACCCCAGGAAGTTGTTCTTCGCAGGTGGGCCTCACCTGGGGAGGTGTTTCTGTAGCCAACACATCAAGGACCACAAGTGAGCAGACAAATGAAATCAAGGTTTACAGTACCTTCATACCCTCAATTGCAGACCATGGCCAGAATCTCATCTGCAATGCCAGCTACAACCAAGGGACCCATCCTGTGCAAACAGAGGAGAGGATCCAGTTGGACGTCAGCTGTGAGTGACTCTGGGTGTTGTTGCTGTTGCTGTTGCTGCTGCTGCTGCTGCCGTTTTAAAGACTAAACTTCTAATCTAGCTGAGCTGGAACTGAAATGACTTGGGGGAAAGGCTTGTTAAGGAAACTCTAGCTCAATTTTGCCTAGAAGAGTTGTGAGCCATGACGCTTACTCTCTTGCCTCTGAGGGCAGGTCTGTTGTCTGGCTTTTGCCCCTGGGCACCCCTTTTGTGGGGTACCACTTCCTCTTGTTATGTTTCAGGAAGAGTGAGGCCACCTGAGACAGCCCAGCGTGCTTAACTATGAGTTAATTACAGTCACGAGCTAATTCAAAGCAAAACTATGAAGCAGACAATCTGAGGCAAGGCTAGAGAAGCATAAAGCGTTAGCGTGTATCTCAGTTTGTCATTTGAGGCTAGCTCCTTCTGTGTCCATTACTTAGTGGAACAGCAACTGGCTATTGCCTGGAAACAGTGCGGTCTCCATCGGATCAATGGGCTGCAAAAGTGGGGTAGAGCAACTTGAGTTCAGTAGGGCGGGCATGGAGCATTCTGCAATAGAAAACCACTGACGCTGAAAAACACAGGAAGACACAACATTGCCATCAGGACTGGCTTTGCCACAGGTATGGGCAACCAGCAGCCCCCCAGATGTTGGTGGCATCTATCTCCCTTTAGCCCCAACCAGCATGACCAGTGGTGAGGAATGGTGGGAGATGGAGTCCATAAAAATCTGGAAGGCCACAGGATCCCCATGCCTCCTCTATAGTGCCTACGACACATTTTTTTGGGGGGGGATTAGAAGTACCCCACTTTATATGGCAAGGCTCACCATAACTTCCAGCTGGAAGGAACAGAATGCTGGAGAATGTCACTTTTTTGGTCTTCTAAACCAGCAATGTCATCAGCATGCAAAGTACCAGACAGGAAAATGGCCATGGATGTTGGTCATCTGTTGCAGAGAGGGGAACCACCAGCCCACCCAGGTTAACTACAACTCCCATCAGCCCCAGCCAGCATGGCAGATGCTTAGGAATGATGGGAAGTGCAGTGTGACATCTGGAAGGCATCAGGTTCTCCATCTCTGTGCAATAATGATCAGAGGACAAAGTGGCAAAACCTTGACTGGGTGGGCAGATGAAGCAGGTTGGATGTGGCCCCCAAAGGTCTTTACAGAGAAAGATACCTGTGAATGCAATATCCTAGGATTAGACTCTCTCCCAGCCTTTGCTAAATCCCCACTTGACAGGGCCACTCCCTCACAAGGCTTGTGCTTGCCTTTTACAGACCCACCGATGCTGTGGTTCAGTGGGATAATTGAACGTCCTGGTGAAAGTAAGTATTTTACGTATTTGTTAGCCATTAAACAGACCATGAAAATAAAGATAGCTGCTAAGCCATGGTAGCCACAGCTCCTTGGAGCAAGCAGCACTAAATGTATGTGGGTCTATTTGTGTGTGGATTTTGCTTGTTTTTTAAACACGGACTCTTCAATGGATAAGTGTCAGGATGCTGTCAGCATCCTTCAATGGATAAGTGTCAGGATGCTGTCAGGGGCTGTTGGCTGGTTGCCCAGGAAAGTACAAAGACGAGGAAAAGTTTCTTGCAGTCCTTTTTTATTTCAATCTTTACGGAGTGAGGCTCTAGAACCCAGCCTCTTGGATGATGGCGTTGTCCCAAATGAATCTCCACCCCCTTTCTCTCCCACTTCCTCATTCGTCATCATCATCACTTCCTTTATGGGTGCTGCTAAGCGCCCTCTGTCTTCGAGCTCTTTGCTCTCCTACTTTCAAGGCTTGCCGGGTTCTGGGAGATGGTGGGTCTGGAATGTGATAACGTATCAGCCAGCTGCTGCTGCGGCTCTGCCTCCTCCTCTCCCATTATTTCCCAACTTTCCCCTTCATCTGCCTCTGAGCTGCGACCTCCCTCAAACCCCTGTTGTAAATCTATACTGTCTTCCTCTTCCTCCTCCCTGGAAGGGTCAGGATGGGGAGGCAATCTCCACAACTCCTCATCCTCTGCCCAGTCCCTGACAATAAGGTTCTACCAGTGGCAGACCTTGGCATCTCAAATTTCGGTGGTGTTCTGTGTGATGCCAAAATCCAACACACCCCCCCCCCACCTCTCACCTTCACTTGGATGTCATAGCTACATCGCCTACTCTGGTCCCCTGGAAGCTCAGTGCTCAGTACAACCGCACTGGTCACGTTACTCTAGATCCACTTTTGGTTGCGTACCTTGAAAGTAAACACTGCCCAGTAAATAAGATGTTACACTTGAGGAGCAAAGGAGAGTGATGCTTTGCCCCAAGGCAGGCATATGTCCCTAGTTGATGACTGAGTCCACCTTGAGGAGCAGCGTTACTGCTCCCACATGGATCAGAAGCACCACCAGTGCCATTTTCCTAGAAAAAGAGGTGCCAGAACTCACCATGAACATTCTCTTAGAATGGCAATGGTGCCCACCTGAGAGGTGCCGGAACTGAGTTCCGGGGAGTTCCTCAGAAAAAGAGCCCTGAGCACCACTCATGTTAATGAGGAATCAATTCTTCAGTTTTGTGGGCCCAGCTCATCAGAACTTCCTCCCTGTGGAAACCAGATAGGCATCATCCCTGTTATATTTCAGGTGCCTGGTTCAAATGGTTTTTTCCCCCAGTAGGCTTTGCTCCATGAATGTTGCTGTGATGTTTCAATCTCCTGATGTTTCAATCCCTCATGTTCAGTTTATGTTTTAGATGGTGTAAATATTGTATGCTTTTTATTTCGTGAACCACTTTGGGACCTAGATAGTGAAAAGTGGGACCTGAATTTTTTAAAAATAGTTCGACTCTCACTTCTACCATGGATCCTTTGTTTGTCATTGGGCGCTGCAAACACCCAGCCTTTGTTTCCTGTCTGCAAAATGGGGATTTAGAAGATTTGGCAGCCCAACCATTATTTGAAACATTGTCCACCTCTGACAAGCAAGCTGCCATCTCTTTATTTTGTGTTGCATCTGGAGGTGGTTGAATAAGAACTGTTTTCTTTGACTGGGATGGGAGGGCGGCCAGACCAGAAGCTTGATAACCGCTGTGCCATCCCACTGTCCTGTTTGGAATCTTGCAGGTCAGAGAAACTTCACAGAAGTTTCCCATATCGAAGTCCAGGAAGGTGACTCCATCACGTTGTTCTGCAGGATAAAGAGCAACCCTTCAGCCAATGCGGCCTGGGTGACAAAATCAAAAAAGACCACTGGTTGGCAATCCTCCAGAACCAATATCCTGACAATTTCGAATGTGAAGTTGGCGGACAAAAAGGGATACAAATGCCGTGCATCAAACACAGAGGGCGAGACTGATGCCACCTTCCAGCTCTATGTAGCATGTAAGGAAGACAAAACTGGGGTTCATGCAGTGGGGTGTTGCTGAGAGATAAAACCTTCCAAGGAGATGCAGACACTGTAAAGGATATTATTGGGAATGTTGGGGATGACTCTGGAACTCCTTGCTACAACGGGGCATTGTTATGGCAAATATGGGGAATTAGCTAAGTATATTGCTGCAAAAGACATCAGGTTGCACCAGGAAACCTCTTCCTGCATGACGAGTGCTATTGGGGTTTGCTCCTGTGCATTTCCCAGGTGATGGAATCACCCTTTGAATTTCCCCACTCCATGCCAGGAAAACTTCATACAGGCCTTGGTTACATACGTGGGGCTTGTCCACACTCCCGCTTGTCTCGTGCCTAGAATACATGGGTCTGAGTGGTTTTCCACTTGACCCATGCTTTGTAGGGACAGGTCTGAGTGCATACTCTCCCATGAAAATCATGGGAGCATCTTTTGATGCTGCGCTGCCACGCAAGTTAGCTGGTTCACAAAGGAGCATTTTTGGGTGCCATGCTCTTACAGGAGCCAGATGACTCGCATGAGAGCACAACACCACTACAAGTGCCCGCTGTAAGCACCGACTCACCCTCCTTCCTGCCGCTTGGGGGCGGCACTAGAGGGGGTGGGAATGGGACATTCCAGGATCAAATCGGAAGCTGGGATGGCTTCTGTAATTGTGGGATGTCAAGGGGAAATTGCAACACTTGAAGGGCATGTGAGAGGTTTTCCCTTGGCCCTCTCCTTTCCAGGGAAAACCCATTCTTTAGTGCTAAATTGGAGCAAACGTCAATTCAGAGAAAACCCAAATTGCCATTTGCTCCAATTGCATGGTTAAGAGCTCTTTCCCCCAGGGGATGCAGAGGGACAAGAGTAAGTGTGGATTAGCCCAGAGGCTCTCTATTCCCGCCACACAGAAAAATCTCAGGGCTCACAGATCTGATTTTGCTTTCTTGGTCACATTTTGGGAATTACTGGCCTAGCAGAGGGAATTTGCCTCTCTTGATCTCAAAGTGAAAAAGAAAAATAGCTGCTAGGGCCACAAATGCAGCCAGAGTGATGTATCTGGGCCAGAAACCATATTGAGGTGGGTCCAGGAAATGAATGGCTCAAGTTCATCAGTTTATTGTTCGAGTCAAAGGCCATGACAAGCTTGTATTAAGCAACAGTATTGATAAAATAATACAGAACATACATCCATAATATAAAAATCCATAATACAAAAAAGGCTTTTCAAAGTTCCTGAGCATTAAAAGACAGTTTCCTTTGTGCATCTCTGACAACTCCAATTCTAATGTTATTTCTGCCTTTCAAAAATCCAGTTTGCCAACATCCATGATGTAAGAGAAAGAAGTTACCAGAGACACTAACAAACTCAAATCCATCTTCACTGTTAGAGCACATGCTTTGCATTCATAAAGTGAATCCCTAGGTTTTTTCTGAGAGCCATACCCACTGCTACAGTGTAGAGAGGATAGCCAACATGGTATACAGAGCCAAAAGAAGATTGGGCTGTTGTTGGAACTAATAGTCTGGCCTTGCTGGAGCAAGAGGAAACTAGAATAAGGGCTGGCACAAGATCCTGACACTGATCATTCTGTTTCATCCTTTTCCAGACAGCCCCAGGCCATGTGAACAGAATAATTCCCGATGCTGGAGAGATGGCAATGGATTCCAGTGCAACTGTTCCATCTGCTCCTATCCTGCATCTAGAATTCAGTGGCAAGTAAATGGGAAGAACTTGGAGGGGAACGACTCCAATGAGACCATGAAGGCCACTTTCTGGAATAAGACAGAAGAAGCCATCAGCACTCTGTACTTGACAGGGGACTTGGATGGAGAGCAGCATATTGTCTGCCTTGGAACCAACCCCAGCGGACAGATTCCCTTGAAGTTCTTTGTGGCTAGTTCAGGTAAGTCTCTGGGATGCAGATCGGTCCAATAGAGTTACCTAGAGCCCTGCTTTAGATAGCAGCCACACTTAGGGTTGCCATATTTCAAAAAGTAAAAACCAGGACACCCCAAAAGCCTTTGAAATCCCGGTCGTATGGCAGGCTAGGCACACTCACAAACTACATACAGGATTGCCAACTGAGGCTGCGCTTAAACCCCAAAAGAGGAAAAAGTGAAAACACCATATTTATTGAATACTTTTCAGATAGCCAAAGTCCGCTGCAGAATTCTGTAGTAATGTGTGAGTGTGTTAACAAACATTCGGGGCTTTTTTTTCAGCCAGAACTTACTGGAACTCAGTTCCGGCATTTCTCAGGACGGTAATAGATGGAGGACACAGAGCTGCTACAGATGAACTGTTTATGTAACATTCATCCTGATTTGCTTGCAGAAAGTTAACACAGTGGTTAAACTACACCCAGTTTTTATTGAGCATTTGCTCTTGTTTGTTTATGGGGCACTGATAGGACAACAAGCCTTGGTCCTGATTTTCATGTGGAGCATCGACACGGCTTTCTGTTAAACGTTTATCCACCCCACTCTGTTGGGTGCATTTCACTATCAATTTCCCAACTGCAAAAAGTAGCCCATTCTTTAAAAAGTGGGTTTGTTGCATTAGGGCACCAGAGCACTTTAACATGTTTTACTTGTGCAAATCTACATTTCCAGTATGTGCTCAGATCCCTGTCCCAAAACAGTAGGTCTGGTTTCCCCTGCAATCCTTCCATAGAATGACAGAGTGATTGAATTAAGGTTACCTTTTGGTTGCCTCCCCCCACCCACCCCAAAGAAGCCAGCCAGAGCATGAAGACATGATCCAACTGTGCATTAAAGATGGGGTGATAGTACTTTATTTCAATTCTGAGCGGCAATGAATTCCTACAAAGAGAGGCCTCAGGCTTTGGGATTGCTTGGCAGCTGCGATGACTGGCCTGGAAGCTTACCTTTTCCCCACCTCTGTCTCAGTGGGCTGGGAAATGCACTCTGCACATGTTCAGAGGCATCCATTTCTTTACTCACACCCTGTGGCCTTGAAAGCAGCTCCTAGGGGCTGATCCCTGGCTGAAATGAAGCCCCAGCTTGTCACGTGCTTCAAAACGAGGCTTTTACGATCCACTCTCCAATCTCCTAAAGAGCTTTCGGCATCTGGCCTGCAGGCAAACCCAAGTGCGGTTTTTATTAAGTGTATCTGTGTTAATAACTTTAATTTTAGAGATAAATGATTGCCATTAGAATAATTTAGTACTGAAGTATTAAAAGTTTATTATTTTCTTCTAATAGCCGGGGGGGGGGAGGGGGAGAGATTATCGCCAGTACTTCCATGTATTTATTTTTTAATTGAAGAGATAATGCCTTCGATCTTTTAAAATCATCACAATGATTTTAAGTGCTATTTTAATGGGGGATAATGCTGGCAATTACCGCTCATTTAATGCTAGACGGATCACTGGAAGATGCAGATGCATGTGGTGGATGCTGCTCAGGAGAGCTGTCGCAATGGAGTAGCGGCCAAAATTGCGATCTGATGCTTATTTGGGTTTCCTGCATAGCAGGGGGTTGGACTAGATGACCGTTGGGGTCCCTTCCCACGCTACAATTCTATGACACCCCCTTCCTTCATATGAACTCAGTGGCACCTGCTTCTGAGTAGGCATGTGTAGAATTTCACTGGAAGAGGCATGAGCCCCGAAGTTGGGGTGGGCACAGATGCATTAACCAAGAATGAAGAAGCGCATCTCTGCAAAAGAGGGCATATTTGCATAAAATTCATATATGTAAATTTCCATGCATATCTGCAAATTTAGAGGGGATCTGTGATTTAATAAAATACAATACATCTCACCATAGTTGGGAAGATGGATCCAGTGACTTGCGCATCAGTCCAGTCTGTTGCTTCATGGGCAACTTCAAGGCAATACAATTTCAGGGCAATAAGGACTCCACTCTCTATCTGTGTAGGGTTTACTCCTCATACAGATGCAGTTGAAACTTTTCCCTGTTTAGGGAAGTTTTTAATGTTTGATGTTTTATCATGTTTTTAATATTCTGTTGAGAGCCACCCAGAGTGGCTGGGGAAACCCAGCCAGATGGGCGGGGTATAAAGAATATATTACTACTATTACTACAGGGACGCGGGTGGCGCTGTGGGTTAAACCACAGAGCCTAGGATTTGCCAATCAGAAGGTCGGCAGTTCGAATCTCCGCAACGGGGTGAGCTCCCATTGCTCGGTCCCTGCTCCTGCCAACCTAGCAGTTCGAAAGCACGTCAAAGTGCAAGTAGATCAATAGGTACCGCTCTGGCGGGAAGGTAAACGGCGTTTCCGTGCGCTGCTCTGGTTTGCCAGAAGCGGCTTAGTCATGCTGGCCACATGACCCGGAAGCTGTACGCCGGCTCCCTTGGCCAGTAAAGCGAGATGAGCACCACAACCCCAGAGTCGGCCACGACTGGACCTAATAGTCAGGGGTCCCTTTACCTTTACCTTTGCTACTACTACCACTACTACTTCGGAGAGAGTAAGCGGACATCTCCCTCCATGGTTTTCGAAGGCAACCGGCAACCTTAGGGGATTGCATAGCTCTGCTATCTACAAAGGGGAATTGGTTGGGGACTCCATTAGCCAGTGGAGGCTGTTTCATGGGGCATCTCTGGCATAGCCCCACCTAGCTCAACCTGCTCTCAGCTATTCCCTGCCTACCTGCTTCTTTATGGACACTCAAATGGTTCTGCCTGTCATTGGTTCTGGCAACCCCCACTGTTGGGTTCTGTGACTTGATGGGCACCAGCTGCTGCTGGCAGGGGCATCGCAAGGAGTGTGTGGGGGTGCGATCCACCTCAGGTGTCATGCCTGGGTGTGTGTGACAAAATCCACCCAGGCGGATCATCGTGGTGGCACTCACACCCCCGATGGGCGGATTTTCATGATTGGTGCAATTGTTGTTGTGAAAATTCGCCTGCTGATTGTGCAAATATGCCTGATGATCAGACTGGCACCCTCCGGCGGGTAGCATCCACACCCTCCAGCAGACAGCGCTCACATCCCTGGTGGACAGTTTTATGTGATCACCCAGGGGTAGGCAACCTGAGACCCGGGGGCCAGATGCGGCCCACTTGCCTTCTCAATCCAGCCAGTGGACGGTCAGGGAATCGGCATGTTTTTACATGAGTAGAATGTGTCCTTTCATTTAAAATGCATCTCTAGGTTATTTGTGGGGCATAGGAATTCGTTCATCCCCCCCCCCAAAAAAAATATAGTCCGGCCCACCACATGGTCTGAGGGATGGTGGACTGGCCCACAGCTGAAAAAGGTTGCTGACCCCTGCGATCACCTATGGGTGGTTGGATTTTTGTGGGTGGTGCTGACACAGATGCATTTAAAATGTGATCTGGTGCTGACACAGATGCATTTTAAATGTGATCATCGGTCGGATTTGTACAATCTACGGGTGTATCTGTTTCACGACCAACCCTCCCTAAAAAAAGGTCAACAACTTTAGGGTACCATCCCTAAAAAAAGCTCACCGGGTAAATTTTTGCACTGGGTATCACCTGACCTTGCTACCCCTCTGGCTGCTGGTTACCACACTGCCTTCCTTCCTCGTTAGCATTTCCTGCCATGGCTGCAGCAATGCTTTTCAATACCAGTTGCTGGAAGCCACAGGAGGCGAGAGTGCTTTTGTGCTCAGGTCCTCCTTCCCAGATTCCCAGAGGTATCTGGGTGGCCAATGTGAGAACAGGATCCTGACTGGGCAATTGTCCTGATCCAGCAACACTCTTTTGAAGTCCTTAGCATTTTCTGCCTGAGGCACTGGCCTCATTCTGCCTATCGATAGTCCTGGGTTCTCTTAGCTCTTTGGGACAAACAGAAGTCACTTCAAACATTGGGTTGAGATATTGGGGGGGGGGAATGGAGAAGCTGGTTCTCTGTGGCTTCACCAGACCTGTTCTCCTCTGAACCAACAGGAGACTCTCTGAAAAGGAACCTAATCAGCGGCGTATTGGGTGCCCTCGTCATGTTGGCTGTCGTCATCCTGATCGTTATCATCGTCGTTCTGATTTCCAGAAGGTAAGTAACAGTTAGCATCTGTCTGTTTCCGTAGTACTTGAGGAGAGCGGAGTCTCTTTTGCACTGGGCGTTGATGGAGAGGAAGGCTCCACCTGGAGTGAATTTTTGGTTCAGTACTATGTTGAAACATCATCACCGGTGTTGTGGCTGAGCAGACTCTAAGCCAATCACTGCCTTGCACCTTCAAGGAAGGTGGATGGTGGTGGTGCTTTTTGGCTTGCAAAAAACTGCGCATTTGTGCTGGCCTACTCTGCAGAGCTTTCCAGACACTCATCTTTCCTCCGGGAGACTGATCAGGCATGACACAGCCGCTTGGTGTCGCCCTAGCAAGTGCCGCTGTTGCTGGCAAATGACTATTGTCCAGCAATCAGTCTGCTGATTTGAAGCCTGGGAATTGTCAGGTTTTTGCAGCGATCCTGGCCATTGGGATGCACAGGTGGTGAGGAGTGTGAGCTCTCAGCCCAGGAGGTCAAGAGGCATGTAAAATAGCCCAGATTAGGCAGGTATCTGGTCCCAGAGCCAGCGGCTGCTCTATTCCCCATCCCTGGATTAGGGTGTGTGCATGGAATACATTCTATTATTACAGTTTTGTTATTATTTCCTTGGCTTTTCATTAGTTGGGTTTGCTAGCCTTTGCTAGGCATTTGGGCATATTTAAAGACGGGGCAAAATGTTGGTCAATAAAAGCAATACACGGAATATATAAATGTGCTTTTTTTTGGTACTGGTATGTGGCCTCTGAAGAACTGCCCATAAGGGAGCATGAAATAATATTATTATTAATAATAATAATACCCCACCCATCTGGCTGGGTTTAAATATGAGGTTCCCAACCCCTCGTGCAAAGAGTTTGCGCTACACTGAAGCACACGGGAAGCATAGCATTTGGGAACATACGGGAACCTGGGGCTACCTTTGAAGGTGACCCGGAAACTGCAATTAATCCAGAATGCGGCAGCTAGACTGGTGACTGGGAGTGGCTGCCGGGACCACATAACAGAGTGGCTGGGGAAACTCAGCCACATGGGTGGGGTATAAATTATTACTATTATTATTATTAACCTCCGTAAGATATTGGAAACCACTTCCCATCACCCCTGACCACTGGCCATGCGAGAAACATTGGGAGGGCCACAGAGACCCCTTCCCTGTGAATGGGTTCCTCCCCTCATCTACATGGTGGGGAGAAAGTTGGTTGGCTTTCTTTCTCTTTCTCCTCCTCCTTGCTTAGATGGTTTTAAAAGAGGATGAGAGAAGTTCAGGAGGATAAGGCTATTCCTTGCAATTGGCTCCTGATCATAATGGCTCAACAACTTGCCCCCCCCCAACTTTGCCAAAAATGCTCAACAATTTCTGTGTCCAGATTTTCACTTTTTGAAATATGGCAACCCTAACCAAAGGAAGGGCTAACACGAACGGTAACTGATTGAAGAAGCAGGAGGAAGGAAGTAAAGCCTGATGGAGAAAACACAATCTGCAGGTTGTTATTTAGGAAGGAATCACAGAGGGAAGACTAGGGGCTCATCCCCACCTCTGTTTGCCCTGTAGCTTTCCCCTGGGGAAAACCCATGGCTTAGCGCTGAATCGGAACAAATGGCAATCAGGTTTTCTGCAGATTGCTGTTTGTTCCGATTTAGCGCTAAAGAACAGGTTTTCTGGGGGAAGGTGTCAGGGCAAAGGCAAAACCTCCTGGACCCATGCCTAGAAAACCCATGATTTTTTGGCACAAGACAACTGGAAGTGTGGATGAGCTCTTCATTACCTTTCTGCCTACTGCCCCTCACTGGTTCAGGCAATTTATTGCAAGCGTTATTGCCTTAATTGCAACACTTTGGACTCATGCACACTTCTGCTCATCCCCGCCTAGAGCGGTTTCCCCCTTGTCCCACTTCTTTCCCAGGGAAAACCCGCTCTCTAGTGCTCAATCGGAGCAAACGTCAATCCGGAGAAAACCCCAAATGATGTTTGCTCTGATTGGGAGCAGTCTTCTCCAGGAGAAAGCAGCGGGGCAAGAGGAAGGGTGGATCAGCCCTCAACGAAAGGCCTGAGGAGGCTTTCTGAGCATTCGAGCCAACCCAAATGCCAACTCCAGCCAGCTGCTCTGCCTCCCCTAGGGACTCAAATAAAATAAACCACCTTGGGGAAAGCAGCCAGCAGGGGGTTGGAGGTGCAAAGGCAGACATGAGCCAGAGAGGCCTGGTCTAGGTGTGCTGTTTCTACCGACTTCCACCATGTCAAGCAGGTGTGCTCCCAAGATTAAGTGCATCCCTGCTTCAAAAATTTTTTGGGGGTCAGCAGACTGAGGGCTTGCACAGTACCGAAGCAGCCTAAAAAGGTACAAAAACGCACATTCAGATGTTACCTATACTGTTTTTATGGACCCGTTTCAACTTTTTAGCCCATCAACGATGCATCTTTAAGATTTGTTGCACAAGCATCCTTTGTATTTCCTACGGAAGCCTACCTCTTCCTCTTTTGCCTATCCGCCGTTTGCAACATCTCAGTCTCGCTAATATATTCCTCCCTCCCTCTGCCTCTTTCTCCTTTAATTCAAGTATGAAGAAACTGTTATGAATCCCTCCACATATAAGCTTTATTAGTTTCTCATACAGTTAGTTTATTCTTCTCGGGAGTATTATTAAGTCTGAAAAATCCCCTTAGTTCATCAGTACGCAACCTCGTTGTCTGACAGTAACAAATTATTTAATTTCCTCGAGCAAAGTTGCTCTTATTTATAATTGATCAAGTTAAATGTGTTGCAGTCGGTTTATATACTGAGGCATCTATTGGGAAGCTGGCAAAAGCTATTTCTTATGTGGGGAAGAAATCAGACGTATGAAATCTGCCTTACTGCTCAACCTGGTTTATGCAATCATATCCTGACTTAGAACTCTTCTGCTCTTGGAGACAGAATGTCTCTGAATACTAGTTGCTGACTATCACAAGGGAGAAGAGGGTGGTTGTGCTCAGGTCTTGCTTGCAGGCTTCCCAAAAGCATTAGGCTGGCCATTGTGAGAACAGGGTGCTGGACTAGATGGGTCTTCGGTCTGATCCAGCAGAGTTCTTCTTTATCTCTTTGTGTTCTGCACAAGCAGAGGGAGAATGCAAGAAGCATGAACTACAGCTTTCTGTTAAGTCCAAACTGGGGAACTGAAACAAGATTGGTTTCATAAGTCAACTTTTCACCCATGGCTACATACCCTGGTTGTTTGGAAGCCATTAACCATGGTTTCCTGGTGCAGAAGTCACGGGAACCATGGTTAGCTGATCACCTCCTTTCCTGTTCTACTTCCACTGCAGACCACAGGAGTGGGATTGTGCTCTTGTGCTTGGGTCCTGCTTGTGGACTTTCCATAGGCATCCGGTCAGCCACTGTGAGAACAAGATGCTGGGATCCTGGGCCTGATCCTGCAGAGCTCTTCTTATGTTCTGTAAGAGAGGGCAGCAAAATGAGGGCAAAGGGACTGCATGCAACTCATTGCATTTCTTGGCTTCTTGAGTCAGGATTTGATTGTCCAAACTTGGCCACTGACCTATTTAGCCTCGTATTATATCCTGACAAGAAGGGTGGGTGGTGCTGTGGCCTAAACCACTGAGACTCTTGGGCAGGCATAGGCAAACTTGACCCTCCAGATGTTTTGGGACTACAACTCCCATCATCCCTGACTACTGGTCCTGTTAGCTAGGGATGATGGGAGTTGTAGTCCCCAAATATTTGGAGGGCTGAGTTTGCCTATGTCTGCTCTTGGGCATGCCGATCAGAAGATCGGTGGTTCGAATCCCTGCGATGGGGTGAGCTCCTGTTGCTCTGTCCCAGCTCCTGTCAACCTAGCAGTTCAAAAGCATGCCAGTGCCAGTAGATAAATAGGTACCGCTGTGGTGGGAAGTTAAACGGCGTTTCAGTGCGCTCTGGCACTGGTCACGGTGTTCCATTGTGCCAGAAGCAGTTTAGTCATGCTGGCCACATGACCCAGAAAGTTTGGCTGGAAAAGCGTGATGAGCGCTGCAACCCCATAGTCACCTTTGACTGGACTTAACCGCCCAGGGGTCCTTTACCTTTTACCTGTATTCTGACTGGCAGTGACTCACAAAAGGAAGGGTCCTTTCCTAGTGCTCTTGCTTGATGCCCTCTTGATTTCAGCCCCCATCATCCCTGACCCTTGAACAAGCTGGCTGGAGTATGAGGGACTTGTTGGAGAGGAATGACAGCTCAGTAGTGAAGGTTCAATCTCTGGCATCTCTAGGTTGGGCTGGCAAAAACTCCCTGCCTGGAACCCTGAATAGCTGCTGCCAGCCAGTGTAGGTGATACTGAGCTAGACTGACCAATGTTTCTCACTTGGTCGAAAGCAGCTTCTGATGGGCACCAGCTTCTGGAGGGCACCAGATTGAAGAAGGCTAAGCTAGAGACTGAACCAGGGACCTTCTGCATCTGCTCTACTAGATGCATCCTCCAATTTTTAGAATCATAGAATTTTAGAATTGGAAGGGACCCCCAAGGGTCATCTAGTCCAACCCCCTCCAAAGCAGGAATGCTTCATTTTTTAAAATAATGTATTTTATTGATTTTTAAAAAGGCTTCCTGATGTACATTGGAGCAGCAAGCCTAACGTCTATAAAGTTGGAGTCTTCTAGGCATCGCTTGCTTAAGAAACATTGTACACCTTTATTCAACACTTTAGAAGCATGAAGTGTTATAAACGTTACTCTGACCCAATCTGTCAACATGTGACCCATAACACTCTTCATTTCTTGACCTATCAAAGTGTCTCCTTCTATGAAGTCTAATAAAATATCGACCTCGTTTTCCAAACCTCCCTCCCTCTTTCTCCCCTGTTTGTGATTTGGTGCGTGAGCCCACAGAAGCATTAGTTTCACTCAGGAATAAATCCTCCATCATCAAGATTCTCCCTTCCTTGTCAATATATTGATAGACTACAACATATTTTACATTGCAAAAATCCAAGTTGGCTTGTTTCCCCCGCATGCAGATTGTTTGACACAGTAGTAACTGGAGATGAAAATGTCTCCCTCGATTTTAATTTTGTAATGAATTCTGGTGCCTTCAGCCTAAATCAATATGCATTTCCTGAATTATTAACATAGTCTTACTTTCCTTGCATACCTTTTGAGAGAGAGAGAAATTCTCCCTTACTTATCGTGTTATGTAACAACCCAGGAGAAGGCAGAAAGTAAATCAGGATCGCCTAGTAAATCTCCGGGTGATTTGCAGTAGATCACCAGGGTTTTCAGACTCCCAGTTATTTTAATTACTGTAACAATTAAAAGGCAGCCCTAGCCACCATCAAGTTGCAACTGCCTTCTAAATTAAACTGCTGGGATGAAGAAAGCCTGAGAGGAAAACCTGGAATGGATTCTTGTGTAGCAGGACTGTAAGCTTGGTGCCGGTGCTGAAGATATGTTATTGGGATCTGCATGCGCTCAGAGGCACCCTGTTTGTTAATTCTATATTGCCCCATTTGAAGCAACTACTTACACAAGGCTTCAGTTGCTGTGTCTTGTGGTCCTAGTAACACCTCTAGTATTAAACATTGTGGTTCTAGCAAAAAAAATACATCAATCAAATCCCAAATAGAACTGAAATCTCCATGCCCCAATTAAATCCATTTAGTGTTTTTAGAATGCATTTAATCAGTGCCCATTGAAAACCAGTAGGGGGGCAGGCAGGGAGCCCAACGAAAAGGCGGAGCCAGATCCCAGCGTGGGAGGAGCCAACTAATTCTACTTTTGTCCCAATGAGTTCTACAAAGGCAGCACTGAGTAAGGAGGAGGAAGGGGGGGTAAAGGGGACCCCTGACCGTTTGGGCCAGTCGCAGACGACTCTGGGGTTGCAGCGCTCAACTTGCTTTACTGGCCGAGGGAGCTGGCGTACAGCTTCTGGGTCATGTGGCCAGCATGACTAAGCCGCTTCTGGCGAACCAGAGCAGCACATGGAAACACCTTTTACCTTCCCACCAGAGTGGTACCTATTTATCTACTTGCACTTTGACGTGCTTTCGAACTGCTAGGTTGGCAGGAGCAGGGACCGACCAACGGGAGCTCACCCCATCGCGGGGATTCGAACCGCCGACCTTCCGATTGGCAAGCCCTAGGCTCTGTGGTTTAGACCACAGCGCCACCCGCGTCCCTCAAGGAGGAGGAAGCTGGCTGCCAATGGACCGGTTTGTAAGTAAGAAGGCAGGTGGTGGTGGTGGGGCCCTGGCTCAGATCAGACTGAGGCTGTGGGGCAGTGCCCCATTTGCCCTTGCAGAGTAGCCTCCCCTGTATGTGATCACACTTGTAACTAATGGAGACAAGAAAACTGCAACAAGAAGCAGGAGGGTAAATTATACAACAGCTGCAAGGAAGTTGTACCATGGGCCCAAACATGGTGAGATACAGGGAGGCATAACAGAGTCTTGCTCCTCCATCTTCCGGCGGTGTACATAGGTGCAGGCAAACCCCCAAGCTGTCTCTCCTTTTCTCCCTACTGGACCAAAGGACTGAGGACTATGACAGTGCATGTCCTAGGGTCAAAAGAGACTTCTGTCATGTTTGCATTCAGGCAATGAGCCTGGGGTAAGAGCGTAGCTCTGTCCCCATAGAAGAAAGTAGAAGAAAATAATATACTACATGACTGCGAATGATTTTCCTCTATCAGTGGGAGGATTACTAATGTAGCATTTGCTGTGCTATCTTGTTTGTCTTATTTATCTGAACACAGAGCATACCCATGAATAATCTTTTGAACAATTCCAGGAAATCACTGCAAAGTTTTCAATTAACGCCCCCACCCAATAAAACCATTTCTATCAAACAGAACCTTAAAATGTTTTCCATATACAGTGGTACCTTGGTAGTTAAATGGCTTGGCTCCTGAACAAATCGGCTGCTGAACACTGCAAACCCGGAAGTGAGTGTTCCGGTGTGCGAACGTTTTTCGGAAGCTGAACGTCCAACATGGCTTCCACGGCTTCCAATTGGGAGCAGGAAGCTCCTGCAGCCAATCAGAAGCCGCGCCTTGGTTTTCAAACTGTTTGGGGAGTTGAATGAACTCCCTGAATTGATTAAATTTGAGAACCAAGGTACCACTGTACTTCTTTCCTTTGGTTACTTTATCTGTTAAGAATTTCCCCCACTTTCTCTCTTATCTCAAAGTAATCCCCAGTCAAAGAGATAGGCAGATGCTTTGGATGTCTGCACCAGTGACTAGCCATTTGGGATTATTCCATTTTGTTTGCATAGCAGCATCTTTGGAATTGTGGTTCTGAAACCAAACCAAGGCACCTAATGTTTATAAGAATATACACTGTTAATTCTCAGAGCTGCTTAAAGCAGCGTTGCTCATTCACAAGGCTTCCCACTAAACTAGCCAATAATCTTTTCCAGGTCTTCTGCTAAATTTTCTCCATCCACGTCAGGTAAGCCTCTTGACATGAACATTTCTCTCTCACACCCTGTTGTCTAATTCATCACTGTTCTCTTCTAACCGTCTTTTAATCTTCTTGGTCACTTACAATCTCAACTACTTTTGTAGCCGAATCAAAACTTCCCAAATTTTGCTTCTATATACATGTAACCTCTCTCCTCAGCACCTCCAGCTCTTTGTTTATGACGTCAGGATTTTCTGTCTGTCTCTTTCTGGCTGCGATTCAGAACACACTTTCCTCCTCTATGATTCTATGATTTCTTTGAAATCTGGGTTCACTACTGAATAACATGCATAGGACCAGATTGTGATGTACATAGCCTTGCTTCCAGCATTGCCTTAACTCTTCCCCACAATCTGGGGCTAAGCCATCTCACTGATATTTGTGTTTTCCTAACCCTGGCCTTTGCTGGCCTGTATAACTCTTACTCCCCCCCCCTTTTTTTAGGGTTCCCCATCTCCTTTGGTATATGAAGAATAGCAGGCATGGTGTCAGAATTTGGGGCTTGTACAGCACTTAAAAGAGACATGAGATCATTTCCTTGGGGAGATGGTGGCTGCATTCACACGGCAGTCTATTCTGCCCTCCCAACATTTCCTTGCTAATTTCTGCATTACGCTTGTGTGTATCACCTCTAGAAATATAGCAGAATATAGCAAAAGTCTAGAGCTTATTTTCGTGTTTTTTGCTTCTGCAAAAAAATATGTTTTTGCAAATAACTGAGAAATGAGCGCTAAACTTGTGCTATAGTTGGCTACATTCTGGGAGTGGCTTACACATCGTGTGAAAGCTCGAATATAATGCAAAAATTAATGGTTGGGAATTGCTGGGGAAATAGAATGAACTGCTGTATGAATGCAGCTGGTGAGTGTCTGGAACAGCTCCTGTAACGAGGGAAGAAATTGGAGTTTCTCATCTGTGCACACCAAGCATTGCAAGTTTTGACTTCCACCAGTGGTAGCTGGTGCCAGGTTTGTAAGTAAGAAGGCAGGCAAGTGGGGGCTGACTGGGATTGCCCTGAGAGACCAGCCTCCACCAACTTACACCACTGCAGCTTAAGCCGATGCTAAGATTCAGCACTCCTGTCCCTGTTGTGTGCATGTTCTGGACATTAAAAAGAAAAAGAAAAATGGATTGAGGAGTGGCATGAGCCAACTGGAGGTGGCGTGAGGTCAGTTAAATGAAAAGGGGATGAAATTTCTCTCTGCAGGTACCCAAAGGACAGAAAACCTTTGACTGCCTCAGAATCTTTCACAAAGCCCTTGACTCACGTCCACAGCGAGCTTTCCCCAGATGTCAAGGTCTGTAGCACCTGCCTCTCAGCTGTCACGTTTAAAAAGTCCACACCAGCACTTTGATTGCTTGCAGTCCAAAGTTGTGTTCAGGCAGGGTGGAGGGTGGCGGTGGCAGTGGCAAATGCCAGCCTCACCCCCCTCCCCAAAGTCATCATTTTCATATACACGTCTCCTGTCCCTGACCTTCCTCATGCTGCATGCAGAAGACCTCCATAGGGAGTTTTGGTTGGCATCCATCTGTCTCAGGAGACGATGAAAGAGTAAGCCTTTGAGGGTGAAGTCAGACCATTGGGAGAATTACAGTGCCTGCTGTGGCTGTAGGGACCGAAAGGGAAAAGACATGTTTTGCTGCAGCTGGGGCAGATGAAGGCGTCCGGTTGTTTGCCGCTGCAGATGCACCACAGTGTTTCTTCTCCCAGCGGTCATTACTGTTGGTCACGGCTGTGGATTTACAACCTGACGGCCTGTTTCCAGGTGCTGTGGTTATCTGCAAGGGATTCCCACACAATGTTGCAAGGCTTCATGCCACATTTGCAGTTGAATCCCTTGAACAATGGGGGACGCTGCTTTATCAGATTGCACATTGCAGGGAGAGAAACCTCAGTCTTGAAGGCTGAAAGTGGCCCTTCAAGCTCCTTGGGACTCTGCAGTGGCAGAGCAAGCCGATTGGGTGACTGGGGTGGCACATGTGCCCTGGGACGGGGCCAGCTGCCCGTGGGGAGGGGCAAGCCGGGGCAGGACACTCCGCAGGCCCTCCAAGGAGTCTGCCTGCCTCCTCCCACTCAGCCGCCCTACAGCTGGGGGGGGGAGGAGAGGCAGTGGGCAGACCATTTGGGGCAGCCTGAGGGTGTCCAAGCCATTGCGTCACTCCCAGGAGAGACACGTGGCTTGGGTGCGCTGCAGGCCCCGTGGTGAGTGCTGCCTGGCATTTTGTCACCCCCCTCAGTGGTGACACCCGGGGTGACCCGCCCCCACCGCACCCCCTTCCTCCACCCCTGGAACTCTGCCCAGGCCCCACTGACCCAGCTCATGCATCTCACAGCTCTACATCCTCCTGTAGTGAGTTTTCCTGGCTGGGATGTTTCCTTGAACTGTGAATTCTCACCTTGCTTGTTGGGCTGGAGAATGGTTACACACATTTTTTACACTCCCGCCACTGGGATGCAGCTCCCAAAGGGCTTCCCACAAGGCATGTGTCCCTTGGATGGGGGAAAAAGTTCCCAACTCTGGACAGAAATCATTCCACTTGTGTTCAAGGAAAGGTTTATAGGTTCCTGGAGCAATATGAGGAAAGTCAGGGACTGAGCAAAGGCAGACATGAGGACACTGGGAATGAGGCTTGTGTACACCCCCATGGCCTCAGATTACCATGCATCCCTTCATTCATTCACAGAGATCAAATTTGGATTTTGTTTGTTTCTAATTTAAAAGGAAAAAGCTTCGAGGGCCTTTTAAGGTTAGAAATAAGGCAAAGAAGGAAGAGCGTGCTCAAGATTTGGGGGAGGGAGAACCTATTTGTTCTTAAGTTTCGCAGTCCAGGTTACGGATAAGCTTTAAAGTAGCTCAATCCTGGGTTTTGCATAATGTTTGCTTGTTGTTTTTCACCAACAGCATAACAGCCTCACGGTCCCTAATCTGGACGAAGGCAACGGCGCTCCTGAAGATCAAGAGAAGTTTGACGAATTCCTCGACCAAATCTCCAACGACCCCGAAGAGTTGCATTACGCATCTCTCAACTTTGGTGAACTGAAATGTTTACCAGAACCCACTTCAGAAGAATCCAAATCAGATTATGCTGAAATCAAGAAGGTCTAGTCTGCAGATGTTGAAAGAGGAGCCGGAGAGGCAGTTTTAAGAGGATTTCTCAAGTCTAGTTGACACTGCGAACAAAGGAGGTCACATCCTGGTTCTGATCTGCTGTCTGCCCTCCGAAGAAACCTCTTCCTCATAGTGTGCATGTGTCAATTACCCTTCCTGCTCTTGTCCATTTCTCTATACCCCCTTTGGGGGAGCATAGGCTGCCCATTGTTAACTCTGAAACGTGATCTGCAGCAAGTGAAGGAAGGGGGAAAGGGGCCTGTAGCTTTGTGGCAGAGCACATGCTTTTCATGCGCAAAGCCCTGGGTTCAACCCTCCAGCCAAAGGCTCTGAGGCTTCAGGGGTGGGAGATGATGCCCACCTGTGATCCTTAGAGACCACCTCTTGTCAGTAAGGCCGGCCTGAACATTAGGCAGAGTAAGGTGACTGCCTCAGGTGGCAAATGTTGAGGAGCAGCAGGGGCAGCTGCCTAGCTGTTTGCCAGTATTGAAGTAAGATTCAAATGCCACTCTGGGCAGTTCCTTTGTATAGAAAGCAGGGGACACCATTTTGTCCTATACCTCAACAGCAAAATGTATTGGGACAGCTCTGGCCATCGGAGCAAAGAGCATTTATTTTAAGGGAGCTTTGTTGGCTCAGTTTAGCCCCCTCCTGCAAAAAGCTCCACCCCCTGATTTTTAACGGGCGTCAAACTTGCTAAAAGCAGAGGTGAGAGTCTGAGCAATGTCTCTTCCCCACCTCACTCGTGTCTCATCAAAATACAGGAAGATGTTTTCTACTGTGTCAAGCCATCTGCCCATGAAGCTCAGGACTGCCTACACTGGCTGGTAGCAGAACTCCAAGGTTTTGGGCAGTGGGCAGTCCCTATCTGGAGATGTCAGGGTTGAACCCTCAATGCAGAGCAGGTGCTCTTCAAAAATTTGCGTGCACGCAGAGGACCTCTGAGCACAGCCTTTTCGATTTCAGCCGTGTGTTTCAGAAATAAGGTCTCAGGCTGAATATGTGTTATTCATTCTGTAGGAATGGCATTGCAAGAATTAAGGCTGCAACACCGTGGTAGCTAGTTGGAGACTCCTAAGGATACAGACAAGAGAGCAACTCCCAGGATATTTTATTTAGGATAGCTGTTTCTAGCTGTCTTCATTTGCTAATAATCTTATTGTTTTGTTCTTTATGTAAACCGCTTTGAGGGTTTGCGACAATCGAGCGGCATATAAATATTGCGAAATGAACGAATAAAATCAACAAAGTCTTGCAGCTCCGCCTGCCAGTCAAGCAAAGAGTGACATCTCACAGCACGTGCTTTTGTGCAGGCATTGATTTGCAGCCTGCTGCAGGCTTTGAAATGGAATCCTCAGAGTCCCAGTGTTGTTGTTTTCCATTAAAGAAAGAAACAACCAGCCATATCACAAAATGCCATTTACTACAGACTCATAAATAACCACTTGTCCAATCGCCTATGGAAAGCCAGAGCTGCCTCTGGGGCAGTCTTGACTTTTGCAGGCTGGAATATAGCAGAGGCCGGTCCATTACGGGGACCTCAGCCTGCCTTCAGGCATGGGATGGGCAGGTAAAGATGTGGTTGGGGCTGCCTTGTCCACAAACCCCCTGCAGTTTAATAGATGAATCCCAGGATAACTTCCTGCGTGGGAATGACATCCTCCTCAAGGCCATTTGGATGCCTGTAAAGATTGCATTGTGCCAACAGTACGACTAGTTTCTGGTTTATTTATTTTTTACTTGCCCCTAGCCTTCTGTCTTTTCCAGCTACATGCATAAACACACACACTCTTTAACTGCATTGCTGGCATGATTCCGATTAAAAGGTGTGTTCTCGTTTTGTAAACGATGCATTATAATCAGTGCTTTATTTCTGGAAAAATAGGGGCAGGTACTCACCATGAAGTTGTAACAGTAAATACAGCGGTACCTCGGGTTAAGAACTTAATTCGTTCTGGAGGTCCGTTCTTAACCTGAAACTGTTCTTAACCTGAGGTACCACTTTAGCTAATGGGGCCTCCCGCTGCCGCCACGTGATTTCTGTTCTCATCCTGAAGCAAAGTTCTTAACCCAAGGTACTATTTCTGGGTTAGCGAAGTCTGTAACCTGAAGCGTCTGTAACCTGAGGTACCACTGTATCACACTTTTTAACAACAACAAAATTAGGTGCCAGTACTGCATACCCTGGACAGAGAGGGGGGAAAGCACTGATTATAGTCCTGCTGGTTTTTTAAAAAAACCTGCAAAACAAAGCATACGAAAATGATGCCAACGATGACTCAGAAATTGCAGGACATGGAGAGTTCAAAATGAATCAAGGAGAAATATCTTGCCCTGCCTTCTCTGGAAGAAAAGTGAGTGCTGGGGAGAGAGTAATAAAACCTTCTCTCCACCTGTCAATGTGTATTGGAATGCTTTGCAACGGTGCAGCCTGTGTGACGATTCCAATGGCCCTTCCCGCCGCTTGCCGCCCGGCACAAACCAAGCTGCGCAATCCTCTGGCCGCAAGAATGAGACCGTTGCCTCCTCTATAAATAAATAGCCGCTCACTGTCGAACCAGCTGGTGGTGCGCATTCTGCAGGCAGGCCTGCTGGCTGTGCGATGTCATGGTGCCAGTGCGGTTGCAAGATCCGCAGAGAGGAGCTTTCTTTGTTGGAAAGGTGTGAGGAGGATGAGTCAGTGCGAGAAATCACACGGCAACAGTGACATCAGCTGGCCAGAAAGGGACAGGGATGACACCGTCCAAGGATAAAAGCAGCGCAAATGACGCAGCCTAAGGAAACCTGGATATTTATTTGTTTTGGAAGCAGGTCGTGGGTCCATCTATTAGAACTGGCAGCAACTTTCTAGGGACTCAGGCAGAGTTATCTTCCATCACTAGAGATGTCAGGGGATAGGAATGTCTGCCTGCATGCTATAGCATGTGCTCTACAAGGGAGGGGCTCTCCCATGAGACAGGCTGAGGTAGCCACCTCGGGCGGCAGAACCCCAAGACACAGCACCGTCCCCTCCAACATTTCTCCGATGAAAATTGGGACATCCTTTTTTTTTTTTAAATTAGTAAATTTTATTAGTATTTTCCACACAATAACAAGAACAAAATGGAAAATAACAATACACAAAACACAAAAACAAGCTTATGAAAAACAAATCCAAATCTTACAAATTAATAATATAAACACTAAAAAGGAAAACAAACGTTGACTTCCACCAATCCCACAGCACCTCCTTTACCTCTCATTGTATCTTCCTGTTTTCCTGATCATCTCTATCCTAGCATCTAGATATAAATCCCTCTTTCTTACCCTTTCACTTCACAAGGTTATTCCAGACTCGGCCAGATTTCTGTCCTCGAACCTTGGCTTTTAAGGTATTCGTTTAGGTACTCCCATTCCTTTTTCACTTCACTTTTTGGTTTTTGTCTTATTATATCTGTCAATTTGGCTAATTCTAAACATTCTGAAAGCTTACATAAGTACCCTATTTAATAATAATTATAATATCCCGCCTATCTGACTGGGTTGCCCCAGCCACTCTGAGCAGCTTCCAACATATATAGAAACGCAATAAAACTTTAAACATGTAAAAAGTTCCTTAAACAGGGCTGCCTTCAGGTGTCTTCTAAAGGTTGTATAGTTACTTATCTCCTTGGCTCGGGGTTCGCGTAACTCCTTACCCCCCACCATTTCTCCATTCAAAACAGGGATGTCCTAAGGAAAAGCGGGATATTCCACGGTCAAATCAGAAACCGGGACGGCTTCTGTAAATCCAGGACTGCCCCCGGAAAATAGGGACACTTGGATGGTCAACAGCAGGCCCTGCCACCTCTGCCAATGGTTCCCAGCAAGAACTCTCACAATCTCACTGAAATCTCAAGAGAGCTTGTGCACTTGCAGGTTCTTGACTGAACCCCCAGCCACTGTTTTGTGGGTGCAACCAAAAACACAAGTAAGGGAGACTTTGGTGGTGGGGCCAGGACCTTCTCATGTTATCTTGGGCAATAAAACAGGATGGGCCACTTCACTGCTCTACCATTTACTAGGGACCTTCCATGTCTCTGGTATAATAACAATAACAATAACAATAACAATAATAATAATAATTTTTATTTATACCCCACCCACCCCGGCCAGAGCCGGGCTCAGGGTGGCTGACACATGTAAAATTACAGTAAAATCATAATAGGAAAAAACCCACCAATTTAAAATACAGTGGTACGCTTCAGGTTACATACACTTCAGTTTACAGACTCCGCTAACCCAGAAATATTACCTCAGTTTAAGAACTTTGCTTCAGGATGAGAACAGAAATCGTGCTCTGGCTCTTAGCTAAAGTGGTGCTTCAAGTTAAGAATAGTTTCAGGTTAAGAACGGACCTCCGGAACAAATTAAGTACTTAATCTGAAGTACCACTGTACAGGTTAAAATGCAATTTAAAATGCAGCCTCATTTTAAAAGTAGCCCATAGATCAAAACCATAAGGGGAGGGAAAACATAAGGGTCAGACTGAGTCCAAAGCAAAGGCCAGGCGGAACAACTCTGTCTTGCAGGCCCTGGGGAAAGATGTCAAGTCCTGCAGGGCCCTAGTCTCTTGTGACAGAGCTTTCCACCAAGTCGGGGCCAGTACTGAAAAGGCCCTGGCCCTAGTATGGATGTGTGGTCATTTTCTCCAGAGGCTCTCTCTGCGGTGCTTCAGGGGAATGCAAGGGGTCATTGCACTGCAAAGGGAAAGGTGCATGTGTGAATGCTCATTGCCCAGAACTTCATTCAAGCCACGGCTGTTTCGCAGGGTTACCACAGAGCACACAGCACACAGAGACTCAACAAATGTATAGCTTACATTCTTATAGAGAACCTGTGACCCTTCAGATGCCGCCTCCTTCTCAGCACTTGAACTCAGGGGCATCCAACGGAATGTTGGGAGAGTCAGGACAGATACCACACTTTTTCATGCATTGTTGAACTATGGAACTCCCTCCCATTTGAAGCTGCGGCGGCCACCAATTAGGATGGCTTTAAAAGAAAGTTCATGGAGGGAAAAGCTACCAGTGGCTACTAACCTTGATGGCTACGCTCTGCCTCCATGGCTGGAGTCAGAAATGCTTCTGAATACCAGTTACTGGAAACCACAAAAGGGGAATGGTTTCTTGCACTCGGGTTCTTCTTGCGAGTTTCCCACAGGTTGCTGGACTGGGGGAGCACTGGGTGCAACTGGGACAGAAGTACTGCCCTTATCTAGGACTAAGACTGAGGGACTGTTGTTGCCACAACACCAGAGCTCCATTTGCCTTTAATAGCCTAGCCTACAGAGAATTTTAATGGAAACAGGAGCAGAAATTGCTGAAGTTTACATATCAGCCCTATGTCCTGAATGGCAATCAATCTTCTGACTGCAAATGGCATTCGCTGCTGTTGCTTTCAGTCCGCAATTGATACTTAATGGATTGCATCCTTTCCCAATCACATTGTGTTTCCTTTGCATGGAAACGTATGGGGGGAAATAATGCAACAACAACATATGTTATGTGATTATGTCACAGTGGACCGCAAAATGAATAACGTAGCTTTTTGGCAGAAGATGAACTGCAGTGGAATGGAAGCGGCGCTGCATGCAAAGAACACAGAGTGGACCAAAAAACAATACACCTCTACTTACAAGTGGCAAGAGCTTTAAGTGGCAAGGACCAGTCTGGATAGTTAGCCTTGGTGAAGACTTGGCGTTTCCATCCCCCCAAAAGTTTTTGATTTGAGTTTCCATTGAAATGAGACTGTATTTTAATGTTTTAATGTTGTATTTTAATCTTGTTTTTAAGTTGTATTTCAATCAATTTGTTTTTATATCGGGTGTTAGCTGCCCTGAGCCCGATCTTGCCTGGGGAGGGCAGGGCATAAATAAAATTTATTATTATTATTATTACTACTACTACCACTAGTGGATAGGAAGAGTTGTAGGGAAAAAAGTTAAACCACATCACCTGTAGTAGGTACTCAGTAGGCAAGCTGCTCACTTGCACAATGAACATATTTGAAAACTCCTAATTTAGACATGCATATAAAGTATTTCACAAACGTAAGGTGTAACAGCAACCCTTGGAGATTGCCAGTAAAACATTTAATCCACTTTTGTTGCCAAGAGTAGGTAATAAAATGATGGCACCTTCAATCGCACCAGCTTTTTAAGTGAATAACTTGTATGTTCAAAGCATTTCTCTCTCTCTTCCTGCAGCCCTGGGTACCGCAACCTGAGATCATTTTGCAGCAAGATGTGCTTAATTAAGAACAAACTGAAAGTCTATACCCACTTACCTGGGAATGTGCCTCGCTGGGGATCAGGGAGTATTTGATTTGGTTCACATTTAAAGGTGATTCTATCTCATTTGCACTTCCTGAAACAATATGAGACCTGAAACAAAACCTTCCTTTGATATTCACATGTCTCTGAATTTTGCAATGCAGTTTTCCAGCCAAGTGGTGTGTGCCAAAAGTGTGCCTAGCGCTGCATATATTGGGGAGAGTAACATACAGAAATGCCTTAGATTAAGGAAAATATAAATATCAGAGCAGACATATATATATATATCTATCAGATTGCACTCTAACAGTGCAAGCCTGTTCTTCTTTGCTCAGAAGTTACGTAAGTCTCCCTGTGTTCAGTGGGGCTTGCTGCCAGGTAATTGTGTTGAGAGTTGCTGCCTTAGGCTTCAGTCCTAAGTACACTTCCCTGGGAGGAAGCCTCATTGTACACAGCAAGGCTTCCTTCAGAACAAACATTCGCAGGATCGCCCTGTATGTCTGCACAGCAGCCCCTTCACTCCATTTTAAGAACATCACAAACTGCAGATTGGCTTCTCTCTCCACCATTACACCCATTTTTACACTTCATTGATGCAAGGCCAGGAGGCCCCAGCAGGTGGCACTATTCACTAGCCTATGATGCCTTGAGCTCAGCTGTAGTGACTGCTGCCAGATCTCTCTCTCTCTCTCTCTCTCTCTCTCTCTCTCTCTCTCTCTCTCCTGTGTGCCTCAAGCATGTTTGCCAATGCATGAATCTTTCATACAGAGAGCATGTGGGAGAACATTCTGTGGCAGGGGTCAGAAATTGCCTGGGGATCTGTGCTCCAGACATGCTTCAGGGCCTGACTTCTGTCTAGGTATTTATTTATGTGAAGGCCAGGGACACCTTAACTGCATTTTTCTGCTAGTGTGCGTTCAGTTTGCTGAACCAGTTTGGAACATCAGCCATTCCCTGAAAGTGCTAATGGACAGGAGTGCCTCTGATCGTCTGCAAAGTGTGATTCTGTAATCACAAATGGCCTGTGCACCTGCTTATTATTATTTTTTAATAGTTTAATAGTTTTTAACTGTTCCTGTGCTTTTAACAGTGGCTTGACACACACAAGCCCACCTGCTGTAGAATCTCGTAGGATGAGGATAGGAGAAAGCTTCAGCCAAAGAGGAAAGGCAACCGTCTAATCAGATCCAAGTGTTCCTATTTTCCAGGGACGTCCCTGATTTAGAGAATCCGTTCCGGTTTCTGATTTGATCTCGGAATGTCCCACTCTTCCTTAGGTAAAGGTAAAGGGACCCCTGACCATTAGGTCCAGTCATGGCCAACTCTGGGGTTGCGGCGCTCATCTTGCTTTACTGGCCGAGGGAGCCGGCGTACAGCTTCCGGGTCATGTGGCCAGCATGACTAAGCCACTTCTGGCGAACCAGAGCAGCACACGAAAACGCTGTTTACCTTCCCACTGGAGTGGTACCTATTTATCTACTTGCACTTTGACGTGCTTTCAAACCGCTAGGTTGGCAGGAGCAGGGAGCAAGCAACACTTTTCCTTAGGACGTCCCTATTTTCATTGGAGAAATCTTGGAAGTTATGGAGTTATCTGACCCCCGAGCCATCTGAAGTCAATCCTGTATAGGGAAGTTTTGTTTAATGTTTGATGTTTTATGATGTTGTTATATATGTTGGAAGCTGCCTAGAGTAGCTGGGGCAACCCAGTAAGATGTGTGGGGTATAAACAGTAAAATTATCATTATGGAATGGGACGTCCCTATTTTCATCAGAGAAATGTTGGAGGGTATGTATAATGGATTTCTTCTGGTTGGAAGGAGGCCTCTTGTTGAGGTGTGGACCTCATCAGGTACCCAACATTGCCAACTTCAGCATCAGCCTGGGTCTCAGTTTTGGCCCTATGGCGGCCTTCTGCTGCACCAGCTCAAAGTGCCGCCTGTATAGCTGTCACTCACTGATTCTCTAATGAAAGTTTGCGCTTCATTGAAGATCAAAGGGTTGAAGGGGGGATTTGTTTGGCATTCTTGGCCTTGAGCAATCGGAACAGATTAGAGATTCTGCTGGTTTATTGGCCACTTCGCTGCCCAGCAGTCTCCCTGCCTGAGCTGACAGAGCTGGTCTCAGAGGCTGTGTTGTGGGCTGCTGGAACAAATCCCTACTTGGCTATGAAGCTCACTTGGGTGGGTAACCTTGGGCCAGCCTCTGCCTCTCAACCTAACCTACCTCACAGGGTTGTGTGGATTAAATGAGGAGATGAAGAACTATGTATGCTACCTTGAGTTTCTTGGAATAAAAGGTGGGATATGCTTCAAAAACGAATGAACTTCTGGCTCCATTTGCGCATATATATATATATATATATACACACACACACACACATATATAGGTGGGACATGGGTGGCGCTGTGGGTTAAACCACAGAGCCTAGGACTTGCCAATCAGAAGGTCAGCGGTTTGAATCCCCGTGATGGGGTGAGCTCCCGTTGCTCAGTCCCTGCTCCTGCCAACCTAGCAGTTCAAAAGCACGTCAAAGTGCAAGGAGATAAATAGGTACCGCTCCGGCGGGAAGGTAAATGGCGTTTCCGTGTGCTGCTCTGGTTCGCCAGAAGCGGCTTAGTCATGCTGGCCACATGGCCCGGAAGCTGTACGCCGGCTCCCTCAGCCAATAAAGCAAGATGAGCGCCGCAACCCCAGAGTCGTCCACGACTGGACCTAATGGTCAGGGGTCCCTTTACCTTTTTACACACATACATATACACAACTTTGAAAAGTTGTGCACAAAAGAGTGTACAATGGGATAAATGCATGCAAAGAAAAAAGTGTATGGATATCTGTGCAGGCATGCATATATGCACAGATATCCATACACCTTTTCTTTGCATGCATTTATCCCATTGTACACTCTTTTGTGCACAACTTTTCAAAGTCTACGCATTTTTCTGCAAGCAACATAGATTTCTGTATGTTATTTTGCAGCCGCTTTTCAGCGGTATACATATTTTATATGTCCTTTGGTCGAAGAACTCCATTATGCAAGTGGGATAAGTGGAAATTTCCTAGCAGAGCTGCGTTTGGGTTGCATCTGTTGTTTTGGGGGAAGTGTGAATTTCCTGACGAATGCCTCTTCCATCCCTTAGTCTCAGGTGATGTGAGATGACAGTCCCCAAACTGCCTCTGCACCACTGCCTCCAAATCCGGACTCTGGCTCTGAATTTCTCCTGCTTCTGCGTTTCAGAGAGCCTGGCACCCAGCTACCTGAAGCCTTCCACTCCTGTTCTTCCATTCCCCAGTGTTTCTTCCTTCTTGTCACTCCGGGGGGAATGCCCTCTCTCTGGGGAGAACAGTTTTATCCAACGGCCACTATAGTTCTCAGGGTGGTTCTTTCCTCTCCTTTTTTTATTTGATCACTTATTCATGAAGGCATTAAAGCTGATGTACGACTCGCTCGGGATCCCCTCCTCCATTCCCCAAACAAAATCAAAAGTGCGTCACTGGCAAATTTATTAGCCCTCTGTGAAGTTCCCGGAACTAGCCTCCAGGGAGCCGTAGTCACAGCGTGCGTTTGACTGCCTCCTAACACAATAGTAAACTGGAAAATCTGTATCGGCCTGCTTTTTCCGCAGAGATAGACAACCAAAGGGGTGAATTTTAAGATCTGACAATACCAAACAATGCAGCACTCCTTTATAATATAGCAGCACCCAGCCACCGGCTCAATGACTGGTTTTAAACAGATAGAAGTACTGTTTTGGGGGGACAGGGGGCAGGCAGGTGTGTAGGCCTCCTTGGTCCTGAATGGGGTAAGTATGCCCCTGAAGGACCAGGTTTGCAGCCTGGGAGTCATTGTGGACTCACAGCTGTCCATGGAGGTGCAGGTCAGTTCTGTGTCCAGAGCAGCTGTCTACCAGCTCCATCTGGTACGCAGGCTGAGACCCTACCTGCCTGCAGACTGTCTTCCCAGAGTGGTGCATGCTCTAGTTCTCTCCCGCTCTACATGGGGCTACCTTTGAAGGTGACCCGGAAACTGCAACTAATCCAGAGTGCAGCAGCTAGACTGGTGACTGGGAGTGGCCGCTGAGACCATATAACACCGGTCCTGAAAGACAGACATTGGCTCCTAGAATGTTTCCAAGCACAATTCAAAGTGTTGGTGCTGACCTTTAAAGCCCTAAACGGCCTCGGCCCAGGATACCTGAAAGAGTGCCTCCACCCCCATTGTTCAGCCCGGACACTGAGGTCCAGCTCCGAGGGCCTTCTGACGGTTCTCTCACTGTGAGAAGTGAGGTTACAGGGAACCAGGCAGAGGGCCTTCTCAGTTGTGGCACCTGCCCTGCGGAATACCCTCCCATCAGATGTCAAGGAAATAAACAACTGACTTTTAGAATACATCTGAATGCAGCCCTGTTTTTAATGTTTTATCATGTTTTTAATATTCTGTTGGGAGCCGCAAAGAGTGGCTGGGGAGACCAGGCCAGATGGGTGGGGTATAAGTAAAGAGTAGTAGTAGTAGTAGCAGTAATAATAAATAATAATAATAATAATAATTTTAATTGGGAGTCTTTTTGACTCCAGTTGGTTGCAAATTCAGCTGCCTTTCCCTCCTGGGTGGCCTGAGTCTTGTGACATGGGTGTTGCAAGTGACACTGGCAGTGAGAATCTGTGCCACACCTGGACTGTGCAGGTAAGTCTATCAGCCTGGAAGCACAGGTGGGGAACCTTTTTTTTCACCCTGAGGGCCGCATTCTGTTCTAGGCAAACTTCTGGGGGCTGTATGACAGTTATGGGTGAGGCCAGAAACAAAAGTGGGCGCAATAATGCTAATTTTACTTTAGTACAGTAGGCTTGCTTCTGTGTGCACCTTCTACTCCGCTCCAACAAGAAAGAGGCATTATCAGAGTTCAATAGTATATTCTAGCTTCAGGCTTGGACCCAAGGTGGATCTACACACAGGGGGAAAAACCCGCTATAAATAAATCACAAATTAAATTGTTATAACCAAAGAAAAAGAAAAACGCTGTGTAAATTCGCATGGAAAAATTTTGTGCTCTACAGCGCTACCTGGTGCTACATGTTTATAACACATGTTTTTTGACTAATGTAGCTGAGTCCCCAATGTGGCACTAAGTGACCATCCCTTCAGTGCAAGGACTTACCCTTGTGCAACAGGATTCCCCTACCTCTCCCACTCCCGTCATCTCTAAATCTGTTCTGGTACCACCCCCCCCCAACAACCCAGAGCAGATTTTGGAAGCATGCATGGGGAGTGGAGGTAGAGGAATTCCATTACACAAGCACAAATCCTTGCACTGATTGGGTGATTTCGTAGCACCACGTTGTACACAAAGCTCAACGAGGCATGTATAGCCTGGTGACAAGCTGATTTACTACCAATAAGAAAATCCCACGAGTGCAGTAGGATTTACATCCTGGTGAGGACGCTTTGGAATCCAGTGTTCTAGGTTTGGGGGGTCAGTCTGGATGATGCCCAAAGGTCTCTTCCAAACCTGTGATCCTGCGAGGTTAGAATCCATAAGCACAAACCTGCTGAACCAGCTCCTTTGTTCAGGTAACGGCCTTAGCTGGTTAGTGAAGTGCTGCCATTTACATGTCCAAAGAGGTTGCCCTGTTGCCATAGAGACAAATGGAGTGGGGAGGACTATTGCCAGCTCATTTGGTTGGATGCTGTGTCATCCTGCAAGGGAGAAAAATAGGCCAAGGAGGACTGTGAGAGAGAGAGTTTTGGGTTGATGCTAGAAGCTGAGGACAGAGAAGCTTATCTGCAACTCAAAGCTATGGCTTGGGGATCTTCCTGGGAACCTTATGGAGGAGGTGAGATCTGTTGTAGGGTTGATGCTGTGAGCCCCTCCATCCTGTACTCAGGTTGTGTACATAAAACCATATATACTAAAGACACCACAGTCTCTGTTGAGCTTCTGCCCAAGGAAAACAGACTCTGGGTAAGCGCTGGAACCACTGTTAGCCCTCACCGCTCAGAGACTGGGGTTTTGTGCAACATCAGTTTGAAAGAACAACATCGCTGGAGAACAACAATAGCAGTTCCGCCCCAGCCAGCCAGCCACTTCTGCCCTCTGCCTCCTTCTGCATGGTGGGCATCACTCCTTTGGAAGTCAGGTGGGCTTTTGCCAAATGCCAGACATCCCTTGCAAAGACAGAGAGGTGCCCCGGACCACACACCCCCTGCTTTTCCAGCCAGGTAATGAGTGTCTGATTGTGGGTACCTCTTCTTCAGCGGTGCCTAATGAAACTGGTAGGGCAAAAAGCAGGGAGCCCAACAGTAGGTGGCGCCAGAGTCAATGACAGTCAGTGACAGCAAAGTTCCCGTTTTGTCCCATATCCTCCTCCCGGCCAGCATCTACGAGGGTAACACCAAGAGGAAGGAAGAGGAAGGTGACAGGCAGGGTCACCCCCCAGACTGGTTGCAAGTAGGAAGGCAGGCAGTTGGGAGCTGTGCTGTGTGAGAACAGAATGAGGTTGGTGGGACACTGCCCCATCTGCCCCAAATGTGGACCAGCCTCCACTGATCCTCTCTCCTTCCTGCCAACCCATCAGCCGGCCTCTCTTTATTTCCCAACCTTCGACACCAATTTCACAGCAAGCTGGTTCCATCATTCCCAGACTTTCTGTGCCTGTTAATCATCCCTCTTCCACGTCAACCCCTAGCCCACCAAAAAAAAGGGGGAGGGAACCCTCTCTGCTTCTTGTCTCAGTCCAGGCTGCCTTGATCACTAGGGAGACACCTAAAGCCGGTCTGCTTGTCTTCGCTATCTGTATTTCCGAACTTTTATCAGTCTGTATCTGTTTTATCCGTTGCTGGCAATCTGCAGGGCTATCATTTAGGTAGAGAAGATAAGAGCGGGGGAGTGCTGGATTAGACATGATTAGATTAGAATAGCTTCATTAGACTGAGAGACTTAGATGAGTAAAGATAGATAGACCTACAGATAGACGGACAGACAGACAGGCAGACCTTGAGGCTGTTAAACTGAAATGATGGGTTGCCACCCTCACACAATTCTTCATCTGGGGTATAGAGCAAACACCAACCGACTTTGTACAACTCCCATCCATTTAGGGTGGCCATGTGTCCTATTTTACAGAGGACAGTCCCCTGTTTGAATACATCTTCTGCCTGAAGGACTTCCTGGTCCAAGTCTGGTTTAAAGATGGCGGACGGAACCCTAAGAAGGGGGTGCTGTTGTGAGTAAAGCAACAAGGCTTGCCATACGTTACTTGAACCAGTTGGAGGCGATAGAGAGAAAGGCAACCTGTTCCTCCTCCTCACTGGTTCCTTCTCTTCTTCCTGATAAAGTGGGATGCAGGTGGCGCTGTGGTCTAAACCACTGAGCCACTTGGGCTTGCCGATCAGAAGGTTGGCTGTTCGAATCCCCTTGATGGGATGAGCTCCCATTGCTCTGTCTGAGCTACTGCCAACCTAGCAGTTTGAAAGTATACCAGTGCAAGTAGATAAATAGATACCACTGCAGCGGGAAGGAAAATGGTGTTTCCATGTGCTCTGGCACTCTCATGGTGTCCCGTTGTGCCAGAGGTGGTTTAGTCATGCTGGCCACATGACCCGGAAAGCTGTCTGCGGACAAACACCAGCTCCCTCGGCCTGAAAGCGAGATGAGCGCCGCAACCCCATAGTTGCCTTGGACTGGACTTAACCCTCCAGGGTTCCTTTACCTTTACCTCCTGATAGAGTAGATAACATCCTTTTAGGCTTTGCGTCTTGCTTTTTCATCAAGTTAGTTAGCTGAAGCCGGTTAAGGACAGAGTAAGTGTGCGGCCGTGTTAACCCCTTGACTCCATTTCTGGCTGCATATTAAGCCTGTGCTCAGAACGGCTTTGTTTGCCATGAGTCATGA